TAGATACAGAGTAAAACCTCCTGCCTTAACTTGGGAACGATTCAATTCTATAATCGTAGAAAACACAATAAATCTGTGCTGTCTTTCCAACAACAGCAAAAAATTATTTATATATCGCTTTTCATATCAGGACGTACCAAAGTCCAATAAGACTTCCACCACCAATAAGACTTTCAATTCTCACATTAAACTTTCTCTCCTTGAACCGCATTGATATTACTCAATGGACATTTTGATGTTAATCCCCAAGGAGTTTATATTTGATTGCAGGTGAGTGTTTTCCCCCCCAACAGAGTTTATGCCTGGTGCAGGTGAGGAGTTAAGCTCACAGCCACTCTGATGTAAACGCCTGTTTGAGATTTGGTAATTCATTGTGGGCGAGACTGGCCTAAAGCCACGGAGGGAGGATTAGCTGAAGGTGTGTCTGAAATTCACATCTATGTGTTGCTGGGAGAGAAAGTGTGAGACCAAGAGAGAGAATGGGGAAAGCAAAAGAGCCCTCCAGTCCTGTCAGCCTTGAGAAAGAGAAAGTCCCAGTTGTGCCAGTGGGAGAGGAGAGGAGGGCCCCAGTTCAGCCAGCCCAAATAGAGAGAGCAAGAGTGTCTCCGTCTTGCCAGCCTAGAGAGTGAAGGAGAAAGAGAGGGAGGGTGTCACCATCCTGTAGCCGAGATAAAGTCCCAATTGTGCCAGCGGTGAGAAAAGAAAACGCAGGAGAGAGCACCCTCACAGCCAGGAATGAGAGAGCACGACAGAGGCAGAGTATCCCAGTCCTGTCAGCCTGGTGAGGAGATACGATGCAGACCTGATCTGAGTGGCCCCCTTTTACACCCAAATCTTTCTGAGCTGCCTTAAATAACGCTTTTACCTATCAGATTACAGCAAATTTCTCAAATTCCATTAAGAGGCTTCAGTGGCTGCGATAAAAGTGGTTGTTTACCCAGCACAGGATTCCTGTCACTGTGCTTCCAATGCTTTTGAGATTTTAACCCTTTTGAGGGTTTCAGTTTCCCACCCCCCACTAGCTATGACTAACCACTAACCAGTAATATTGTAAGGAAATTTGATCTTGCTCCCATTTCCAGTTTGCAACCTTCTCCTCACTCTAGCAAGGAATTACAGAAACCTCCTGGCTGTGATCTGACTGTCATTTTGCCAAATACTTACTGGACACTGTGAGAAATCACTGAAATTTTGCCCACTTTACAGTATATTCTGTGAAGCGCTGAGATGTCTCGAAGATGTGATTAGCACTATATCAAATGCAAGGATTATTATTATTAAACCTACAGCCAGGTGTGAACTTTCTCTCCAATTGTTAGTGAAAAGTTCAGTCAAAACCTACTCTGTTCGGGTCCTGTAAAGATGCAGAGCAGTTAAATTTGCCCTCAGAACATTTCATGTTAAATAAACTGCTATTGCTTATTTCTAGATGAGCCCGTTTTTGGATGTTTAGATTGTGTCTACCTTGTGATACAGGTGGACAAAAGCAACCATCCTGACATTACTATTTCAAAAATACATGGAGTCTTTCTCCTGGTTTATAAAATACTAGCTGTACCATTACAGCTTTGTTTGCAACCAAAAGATCCCATATGGAATGTAGATTGACAGACAGACCGACATTTCATCTTTATCTCCACTCACCTGGGAGGACTCATATTGGCCATGCTGTTCTTTGAGTGGGCAACTCATTTTGGCACCTGTTGCAGTCCTTGCAGCATTGAAGTGCAGCCACGCTGTTATTTGTTGCTTCAGTTTTATTTAATAGTCTTCTCTTTTGTCTAGCATTTTTGCTTATCCTTGAAAGGTTTGATTTTCACTTAGGCATCTTTACATGATAAACGTAAATGTATAATTTATAATCACTGGGATGTTCTCCCGATGTGAAAGATGCTTTAAAAATGTAATTTTGTGGTTGATGCCGCAGCTTAGCTTCATCTATGTTCTTTATTTTGTTCCCGTCACCACTTGGCTATGCGCGTGCTCTGGACGCAGGATGCCAGTGTGACGCACAATGCCACAGCGCCACGATCACCAGGTGTCACTGGGGGTGTGCGTACATACGTACGTGTTCTGTGACTCAGGATTCCACAGCGCTACTTTGACTTGGCCTCCACCAGGTGTAACTGCAGCGAAAAATGCAAAACTGAAATGCATTTTAGGTCATAATGCATGAACGATAGGAGAACTTGGAGTCCTGTAGCTCAGTGGTTAGAGCACACGCCTTGCAAGTGAGAGACCTGAGTTCAGTTCCAGGCAGGGCGAAACCTTGGGCAAGTTTCCTTACTCCACAAGCCTAATAATAATCCCTCCAAAACCCAAAACAATAATAAATTAGTCATTTTCAATCCACGACTGTTTGTGAGACATTGCTGTGCACAATTGGCTGCCGCATTCGCCCACAAATATACAGTCAATTAATTTTAGTCTATTCTGTGAAGCGCTTTGAAATGTCGAGAAGACGTGAAAAGTGCTATATCAAATGCAAGGATTATTATTATTATAGATACCCGAAAACAAATATGCCTATATTACTCCCAGGTGCAAGACCTTTCCGGTGAGGTTTAAGTCATGTCTCTACATTGATTGGTTATTGAAATCCTACTTGGAAGTGCAGACAGATAGACATTGTTGTTTTATTAGTATAGATTCACCCTCCTCAACGAAAACAAATTACATTTGTATAGTGCCTCTGGGACACTACTCTGCATAAGGGGCGCTATAGAAATGCAAGTTGTTCTTGTTTCACGTCAGGAGGACGTCCAAGGTGCTACTCCTCATCTATCCCAAATTTAATCCAACCATCGCTCATTTTCATAGGGCATTGCTGCCTCAGGTTGAGTGACTATTAACAGTATTCAGGTTCATTTCTTATCGCTTGTTTCATTAAAGGTTTTTGAGCGGTCTATCTCACTTGTCAGGCGCTATATAAATCCACAGTATTATTTTCATTTATATTGTTTGCAAACCGATTCTGAAAGTCACAAAGCATTGTTGTGTGGAGAGGGAAGCAGTGAGTGACTGGTCATTAATATTTAAGGCCCCACAAATAATAATAATAATCCTTGCATTTGATATAGCGCTTTTCACGTCGGGAGGATGTCCCAAAGCGCTTCACAGAACACACTGTAAAGTGAATTGACTGTATATTTGTGGGCGAACGCGGCAGCCAATTGCACACAGCAATGTCCCACAAACAGTCGTAGATTGAAAATGACCGATTTATTATTGTTTTTGGTTTTGGAGGGATTATTATTAAGCTCTGTGTGGAGTAAGGAAACTTGCCCAAGGTTTCGCCCTCTGCCTGGAATTGAACTCAGGTCTCTCGCTTGCAAAGCGAGTACTCTAAGCACTGAGCTACAGGACTCTTAAAGTCCTGACAGTCACATAAGATTGACTCGGTTCAGCCAAATTCTAAGAAATCAATCAAATTCAGACAGAACAAGACAGCATCCTGACTATGAAAGCCAGGCTCCAGAGTGAAAGAGCGGTCTTAGTTTTAACACCTGTACAAGCTCCAAGTCTCCACATTGTACCTGCACCCACAAAGCAGGAGCAAGAGCCAGTCAGAAGCGAGAATCTACAATATAATTCACAGGAATAAAAAAAACACAAAGAAATAAAAATGCATTATAAAAGTGAAGTTTTTTTATGTATAAAGTTTCTCATAAGTGTTAATAAATAACTTTTAATTGTAACATCACACATGTAGGACAAATCAACGTAACTTTCCCAGTGAGTGCAAAAGACTGGAGCATGTCCAGAGCCAGGAACCAGTCACAGAATAGTCATTGTCATATTTACAGTCTTAGCGCTACAAATCTACACAATCACCCCTTTAACACTGCAAACTGGAGTCTCCCTAAGTGAAACAGTGATTGAACAGCCACAAGATAAAAGGGATCGGTTCTCTCCTGTTGGGGAGTGTTTGGCTCATCTGTAACTCGTGTTATGTGTATCAGGATTATGTACTGTATGTACATGCACATGGGGTGAAAGACAAAGAACCAGTCCCATCTAGTACTGTATGGCTTGTGAGTGTCTCAGAATCAGCTGTGTGTGTAAACAGCACACACTGGGAGAAAGGGAATGATTGGCTCTTTTCTGGTATGATATGGCTGTGAGGATGTTTTACTGTCAGCTCCTCCACATGGAAAGTACACAAACCTGAAGCTAGGAGAAGGGGCAATAAGAGTTGGGGATATAAATTGAAATGATACATTCTTAAAGGACACGGCCCTGGATCTGGGACACTGGTTAGTAACAGTAAAAGCTTCAGTAGTGTGTGACAGCAGCAAGGCATGGAAGGCAAACAGAAGTTTAGCGTTCACAGTGAGAGAGAGTTAGAGTGGAAATCAGGATCCAATTACGGGTCTACATAGAACTTGGGTCAAAGCCCACGAATGAATTGAGTCTGCGCCCCCCACCCCTTTACTTGGAGTGTTTTGAACTGATGTGGGGTGTCCACTGGTAATATTCTGCTGGAGAATCTACAAGAAGGGTAGTTAGATCAAGCTATGAGAAAATATTGGAGAAGCTGGGAACGTTGATTGGAGCAAGTGAAATGGGGTCGAAGAGGAAGGTCTTCAGGCACGACCTGAAGAGAGCAAGTTTAAGAGGGAATTTGATATCTAATCCTGTCCTGGTAAAGAGATGGATTGAGGGGTATGTGTATGTGTGTGTGAGAGTCATGTTGAATTACTTTTCTTGTCTGTGGGACTGACTAGCTGGACCACAATAATGCTTTCTGGTGCTGTAGATTCCTATGTTCCCCCAACAGTACACATCTCTCTCACTCACTCACCTGATGCTATCCTAGCACACTGACAACTCCCTCAGACACAGCCCACATTGGCCACTCTCAGACTTTTACATTTACATAGCAATCAGATTTATATATATAATATATATATTAGATATATACATATATATACATACTGTTTGTATATATATATATACACACACACATATATATATATATGAAACTTTAGATTCAACACATTTATTTAAAAGATATAAAATACTGGTACAATTAAATTGAAAATAATGTTCCCAGTAAGAACACATTCAACACTCTCAGCTACCTCCCTCCCCAGGGTGGCGCTCATAGGGACGGAAGAATCCTGTCTGTCCGTCCCCTGTTCTAATCTCCTTCCATTCTGGTTTACACTCCAGCTTGTTTTGAAAGAGGTGCACACATTCTCTCCCCTCCTGAAATCAACCCTCCTTTACAAAAAAAAGTTCATAATTACATTTCTCATTGTCTTCCACAGGATTTACCCAATACATTATTTTCTGCCTCTGCCCCATGCAATCTCTGTCGGGACACACTCATGCATGTATACACACACACGCGTGCAACTTGCAAACTGTGAAATAACACTGAGCATAAAAGACAACAGTGGAGTGACGCACTGTTCCGCTTCCACCATGAGCATAACAAGCTAACAAGCAAACACAGCACGGTATGCCTGTCCTCCACTACCCAGCGCTTGTTACACTTCTGATAAACGTCATGATGGGGATTGAAAATTCAGGATTTGCTACATTTGTTGCCACTTACAATTTGTGACCTGAAATTGCAGGATTTGTCATGAAACACAATTTGGGGGGAACAAAAAAGGGTATGGGGGTAATGCAACTCTATTAGTGCCTGGCATTGGGCCTCACGGCTAGTGAGGGGAGAACCCAGAAGCTGGGACTGTTTATTGGAGATGAGATTGTCTCGCAGGATCTAAAAGGGCACAGACAAGTGAGCCTCCCAAAACCTTATTCAATATTGTCCTTCATCAAAGGCTGCCTTGGTGACTCATGTTCTGACCTTTGGCAGTCATTTTCTGGTCTAAGAGCAGAAAGCAACCGAGACTTTTGGTTTGTAAGCACTGCATTTTCAACCACACCAAGGCTGGTTGCCCTGGGAATGGCTGTGTCACGTTTAACTTGCACAACCGATGCTGTTGGGTGTGGCAGCGTCTTTCTGGCTCCCTGACCACCCAACTTCACGTGGATGTTGCCACCTTAAGAATGTTTTAGGCAGGAAATTGATGCATTCACTGGAGTAACTGCACAGGTTTTACCTGCACTGCCCAACATCTGTGATGTGTGGAGCAAACAGCCGCACTGCTCTGCACTCTACCAGTGCTCGAAACACTGCATTGGTGGCAGGTTGGGATGGGGTGTGTGTGTGTGTGTGTGTGAGCATCCCCTGGCTCCCAGCAACTGTGTCACTGCCACTCGAAAGTGTCAGGCAAGGTCATGCGTGTTTGCCCTTCGGTGGAAGAATCTAATGGGGTGGGGGAGATCGAGTGGGAATAACAGGAAAACTTACGTGGCAGTGCTTTTTTTCTCTTTTCACTCCCCCCTCCCCTACCCAAAAGACGGGTATAGCATGGCCTCCACGAGGGGGCGTGTAATAGTAACAGACAGATACAGCACAGCCTCATTGTGAGTATTGTATGTGTAACTTCTATGTGAGCATGTGTACCAGACTGGTATAGCATGGCTGTTCTGTCCCAGACTGCTAGGCCGGCCTCTCAGTGCCAGGAAATGACAGGGAGGGTCCTTTCAACCTTCGTCAAAACTCAGAAGGTCGATCACCTTATAACGGGGTCACGGACACAGCTCTCGCGTAGGTAATGTCAGAAAATCACCTCGGGCCTTTCACAAATTCTCCAGCATCGAGCTTGTCACACAAAGTGGTCTCCTCCCATCCCCGCTGGTACCTGTGTTGCCTTCACTCCTTCTGGGTCACCTGAGTTCCCAGATTACTTTTTCCATATCCCAGCAATTGCTTGACATTCTGCTCCCCACCCACCAGCAGCATCTACGCAAGGTCTGCCTTTGGCAGGGTGTGGGCTGAAGTTGCAGCAGGGGTTATGACCAGTTCAAGTTATAGCTTTTTGTAAGCATCACAGCCTCCAGATCCTTGTCCTCCTCTTTCTCCCGGAGCCGTTGTTCCTCCAGAAGAGCGACAAGTGAGTCCCGCTGCTCCACCACCTCCAGCATCTCGTTCAGGATCCTCTTCTCCTCTCCCAGCTCCGCACTGCTCTTCAGATTGTCTGCACAGCAGGGTACATAGCAGGACTCAAGTCAAGTACGCGGATACTAGGTGCAATCTGGCAGCCTTTATGTGTGGCACGGCCGATGGTAATAGGAAGTTACAAAGGGACTTAGATAGATTAAGTCAGTGGGCAAAACTGTGGCAAATGGAATTCAATGTGGGGAAGCGTGAGGAATCCATTATGGATCCAAAAATAGCATAACAGAATATTTTCAAAATGGTGAGAAACTAAGAACCGTGGAAGAGCAAAGGGATTTGGGTGTCCATGTACACAAATCACTAAAAACAAGCTCACAGGCACAAAAAAGTTATCAAAATGGGATGTTGGCTTTTATCTCAAAAACACTATATACATAAATATAACAATAATAAATTGGACATTTCAATCCACGACTGTTTGTGGGACACTGCTGTGCGCAATTGGCTGCTGCGTTTCGCCCACAAATATACGGTCAATTAATTTTACAGTCTATTCTGTGAGGAGCTTTGAGACGTCGAGAAGACATGAAAAGCGCTATATCAAATGCAAGGATTATTATTATCTCAAGGGGGCTGGAATATAAAGGAGAGAAAATGATGCTTCAACTATATCGAGCCTTGGTCAGACCCCATCTGGAGTACTTCGTTCAGGTTTGGGCACCGCACTTCAGGAAGAATATACTGGCTCTGGATGGGGTGCAACGCAGATTCACCAGGTCAATACCAGGACTAAAAGGGCTAAATTCTGAGGACAGGTTGCATAAACCTTGTCTCTATTTCCTTGAATTTAGAAGGTTGAGGGGTGAACTGATTGAGGTTTTTAAAATAATAAAAGGATTACATAGGGTAGATACAGAGAAACATAAGAACATAAGAATTAGGAGCAGGAGTAGACCATTCGGCCCCTCGAGCCTGCCCCGCCATTCGATAAGATCATGGCTGATTTTCTGACCTAACTCTAATTACCTGCCCTATCCCCATATCCCCTAATCCCTCTATTTTTTAAAAAAATATCAGTCTCAGCCTTGAAAATGTTCAAGGACTGAGCATCTACAGCCTTCTGGTGTAGTAAATTCCATAAATTCACTACCCTCTGAGTGAAGAAATGTTTCCTCAACTCTGTTCTAAAAGGCTGACCCTTAATTTTAAGACTGTGACCCCTGGTTGTAGATTCTCCTACCAGGGGAAACAGTCCCTCAGTTCTACTTTATCCAGCCCTTTAATAATCTTATATGTTTCAATAAGATCTCCCCTAATTCTTCTGTACTCTAGAGAATACAGCCCTAGTTTATTCCGCCTATCCTCAAAGGTCAGTCCCCTCATCCCAGGAACTAACCGAGTGAATCTACGCTGCACCCCCTCTAGGGCAAGTATGTCCTTTTTTAAATAAGGAGACCAAAACTGCACACAATACTCTAGGTGCGGTCTCACCAAGGCCCTATACAGTTGCAGCAAGACTTCCCTACTCTTGTACTCTAAACCTTTTGCAATGAACGCTAACATACCGTTTGCCTTCTTAGTTGCTTGCTGCACCTGCAAACTAACTTTTTGAGACTGGTGTACAAATCCCTCTGAATACTAACACTCTCTAATCTCTCCCCCTCTAGAAAATAATCTGTTTTTCTATTTTTTCTACCTAGGTGAACAACTTCACACTTCCCCACATTAAATTCCATCTGCCACCTACTCGCCCACTCCCCTAGCCTATCTATATCCCGTTGCAATCTTTTTGCATCATCCTCAGAGCTTACTCTCCCACCTAGTTTAGTGTCATCTGCGAATTTAGATACGTTACATTCAATGTCCTCGTCTAGATCATTGATATAAATTGTAAATAACTGAGGCCCAAGCACTGATCCTTGTGCGCTCCACTAGTCACATCCTGCCAATTCGAGAATGACCCGTTTATCCCTACTCTGTTTTCTACCCGTTAGCCACTCTTCAATCCATGCTAATATGTTCCCATTAATCCTTAACCTTGTGCAATAGCCTTTTGTGTGGCACTTTGTCAAATGCCTTCTTAAAATCTAAATATACTACATCTACTGGTTCCCCCATCTAACCTGCTAGATACGTCTTCAAAAAAAAACTAAAAGATTAGTTAAGCATGACTTCCCTTTTGTAAAGCCATATTGACTCTGCCTAATCTTGTTATGGTCTTCCAGGAATCCCATAACGACATCCTTAATAAAGGACTCAAGAATTTTCCCCACCACAGATGTCAGACTAACTGGTCTATAGTTCCCCATTGTTTCTCTCCCACCCTTCTTAAATAGTGGTGTTACGTTTGCAATCTTCTAATCAATGGAAATCCAGAATCCAGAGAATTTTGGAAGATCAAAGACAAGCCATCCACTATCTCAGCAGCCACCTCTTTTAAAACCCTAGGATGTAGGCCATCAGGTCCAGGGGATTTATCAGTTTTAAGACCTGACAATTTACCTAAAAACATTTCTTTACTAATATTAATTTCTCCAAGTTGCTCGCTTGGTCCCTCTATTCTTGGTAGGTTTTCAGTGTCTTCTAAGGTGAAGACAGTAGCAAAGTACTTGTTTAATGACTCTGCCTTGCAGAAGGCTACCCATGAAACCATTTCCTCTGGTGGGGGAATCCAGAACAACGGGGCATAATCTTAAAATTAGAGGTAGGCCATTTAGGAGTGAAATCAGGCGGCAGTTTTTCACCCAAAGGGTAGTGAAAATCTGGAACTCTCTCCCCCAACAGGTTGTGGATGCTGGATCCATTCACATCTTCAAGACTGAGGTGGATAGATATTTGTTAGGTGAGGGTATTAAAGAATAAGGGGCCAGGGCAGGTAATTGAACTTAAAGTAAAGATGGAGGTTTGCTTAAAGTTTTGCCCCGCCCGGGAATCGAAACCGGGTCCTCTCGCTTTAAGGCAAGTGCACTGACCACTAAGCTATGAGACTCTGTGTGTACACTGCATGCATGAACCTGTGGCCGTTTTACAAGTGCCTGGCCTGCATGGACTGGTTAGTTGTATTGCTGAGTACCCTTCTGCAAGATCTGAGCAACAGCTCTCGGAGCAGAAGCGGGCAGTGAATTCTGCTAACTCAGAACTGTCCATCTTTTATTTTATGCAGAGCTATAGAAATTTACAACAGGAGAAGGCCTTTCGGTCTATTGTCTGTGCTGGCTCTTTAAAAGAGCAATTCATTCAGTTCCATTGGACTCCTATTTCCCTAAAGCCCTGCAAACAAAGTGTACCTATACTATGCATTAGCGCTATTCAGGGTGAGTCAGAAGTCCTTACACATAGTTTTTAATTATTAATTATGTTTTTTTAAGACAACATTTGTAGAGTTTGCAGCTATTACAGATGTCTTTCATCGTATTCGTGAAAGTTTTTCAACTGAGTTGATATGTGTAAACGTCTACATAGCAAGCAATTTGAACATCTCATAGATCTACAAATAAGTACTTTTGATTTACAAACCCTGCCTGTATTATATCACGCAGGGTATGTGTATATTTTCTGACTATATAAGTATATTTGTGGAGTCCTGTAGCTCAGTGGTTAGAGCACTCGCTTTGCGAGACCTGAGTTAATTCCAGGCAGGGCGAAACCTTGGGCAAGTTTCCTTACTCCACACGCCTAATAATAATCCCTCCAAAAAAAAAAAAAAAACAATAATTAAATTGGTCATTTTCAATCTACGACTGTTTGTGGGACATTGCTGTGCGCAATTGGCTGCCGCGTTCGCCCACAAATATACAGTCAATTCACTTTACAGTGTGTTCTGTGAAGCGCTTTGGGACGTCCTCCCGACGTGAAAAGCGCTATATCAAATGCAAGGATTATTATTATTATTATTATTATTATATTTGTAATATACAGTGGAATATGTGAATATTACGGATATAAATTTAGAAAAGAATTTTCCACTGGTACATGCATGTATTGAAAGTCACCATCCTTTGAAGCAAGAGGACTCTAACTGTACAGTGTACACTGATGCAGATCAGCAAATTAAAAGCTTCCTCTCTTCCCCCTGTTAACTTAGAGCCACCTACCATCGATGGCCATGCGTTCTCGCAGCTCCTGCTGTAACCTGCTCTGCCGATCCTCCAGCTCCAGCTCTCGCGCACTGCACAGTGGGAAGAGACATACAAATCCCAGGTTAATCTGAGCACATTTCACTTTCTTGGCGACCAGACACGAACCGCCATTACAAGCACAGGCCCACATGTAGTGTGTGTGTGTGTGTGTGTGTGAGGGGGTTATAGTGAGCTCAGGATGAGTTTGCCCGAGCATTACATATTGCTAGGTAAATTCATGCCATCACAATCCAGGAGAATCTGAGCCTAATTAGGTGATCTCATTGGCGCATCTGAGAATATCACCAGCACAGAATAGACCGTTCGACCCATGGTGTCTGTGCTGATGTCAGATCCTCCCAAGGAGCTTATCCCTTTTCCTTATTCCTTCCCAATTGTGTAAGAGCTGGTGCTCACTATCTATTCCCATTGTTGTGCTCGCTTGGTTAATTTCTGTTTTGCCAATCCTTACAAATGACCCAATCAGAGATATGTACTCTTCTCTAATCCCACTCGTTTCTCCATCGTATAAGCTTTCACCCCCCATTGGAGTGTTTGACTATAATTCCATTCCCCTGCTCTTCTCCATCATGACTAAGCTGGTACACGTTCCCTCACCGCAAGTATCTAGGTCTTGTCCCATTCCCTGCTCTTTCTACATCGAGCTCTCACGTGGGAGTTCAGAAGGCAGGGATGAACAAATGGAAAGACTACTCACAATATCATCAGCTCAGACTCATACCGCACCAATGTGTTCTTCTCTTGGACCAATTTAAACCACTCTTGCATGAGTCGGGGGTCGTCTTTCTTTCCCATTCCTGTCAGAGAACATACACAGTCAGGGTCAACGCGGTAGCACGGCTGCAGTGGACTCTCAGGCCAGAGGAAAAGTAGAATTTCAATGGATTGCTCAACAACAGACCCTCTGCCATTGCTGCCTCTTGGCTCAGACTCATAAAGAGAGCATCTATTCTTAATAACACAGAAAAAGTCAATGTCCCGAGTTCCAGTATTGGGAGCTTTGCTGCTCTGAAGGAGGGCACCCTGAGAGTCAATGCCCCAAACTCCAGTCCTGGGACCTGTGTTATCCTCTTTCCCGGGGATTCGTTAGCCCGGTTACAGACTGGAGAGTCTAAACCAGTCGAAGCCCTGGTTTAGACTCCAGTCTGTAACTGGGCTGTAATCTGTACTGTGCGACACTGATGACCAGGCGAGTGGTCTTAGGAGGTGCCAAGGCAGAGAGAGTCCTGTTGGGAAACTGAACTCATTGAAATTTACCCATTGACATCTTGGAAACATGGATGCAGCCGGTTTCTGGTAATGAAATCAAAGCAGAATCTTTTCTGTTAAGGCAGTAAAACCATACCCACAAACACAGGCTGCAACTGAGAGCGAGAATCCATAAAAGTGTGGCTGTGCTTTGACTTATCCTCTTTAGGGGGGATTTGCACAAAAAATAAAATCACTAAATGTTACTTAATTGAAGCCTGGAAGCAGCCCAAACAAATCATTTTTAAACAATCGTTTTCCCTTGATCCCCTCTTCCTAATCGACTCGATTCCTGTACTCAAATTAATCTCTCGGGCAGGCTTAGATTGGGGCAGTCTCTTGTATTTCACTCAAGTGAACAACGTTGTCTTGCCCCCATTGAATTTCTCAGAGAACTCAATATAGATCAAAGGTTGATGCTTCCCTCTCTGTGTGGGATCAATATCACTCCAAATTGATACATTTATCTCCTGAGCTATTGGGGAACATTACCACTTAAATTTGCTTGCTCCCTATGTTCCAGGACTGATTGATTGGACTTGGGATGAAATCTATTCCTATTTCGTGAATCTGGTATGGCACCGGCGGAGATAAGTTTGATAAAATCATGGTTTATAAAGTGGCTGAAAATTACAGGAAAGGTTGTCATGAAATAACAGTGTAGTCACGTAGCAGTCCATACCCGCCAGCTACACTGTACTGATGGAACCCAAGTACCTTGTTTCTCAGCATCGGGCTGCCCCACAGCTCATGAAAGGAACAGTCCTTTTAGAAAGCAATCAAAACAACATTATTGAGTGAATGCTGAAAAGCTCTGCAGTAGGTGTGGGCTCAGGAACGGGACTTTGTTTTTAAAAAATGGTTTGTCACATTCATTGCCAATTGGGGAGAGAGGGGTTGTGCATCTGTGTGTGAGACCATTTTGAGTTTGTAACATTAAAATTGCTTTTGAGGGGGTTGTAAAATTAGAGATTTTTTCAAGATTTGGAAAATCCAATTCTGTATGCAGAAAGTGTAGAAACTGAAAGAGTCAGCCACTTCATACACCCAACAACTTTACACCAATAGATTTCACTGGGGTCCCCAATTTTGGCTCCTGCCAATCTCCACCCAATATTTTCCAGGATTTGGAAGAGAAAGTGCGCATTCCACTTCAGACAAATGGGACATTTCCCTGCGTAAATGGTACATAGATGTGGAACTCTCAGTCTGGTTAGGATACCCTGAAGCTTGGTGATGCTAACCAAAAAAAGAAATTCTGACAAATTTGTCTTTTGCTCAAGCAGATGTCTGACACAGGCAGAAACCCATCACCATGCTTAAGAGTATCCAAAGCAAAGTTCCAAGTATATACCTAAATTCTTAGAATAGACACACCATATTTTGTGACCGTCACCATCTATGTTCCTGTAGCCTATGTATTTCTATGGCTACTGTTTGCCACCTACTGTAGTTCCTCGATTCTCAACTCCAATTACATCTGCGGGGCTGAGATACAGCCATGTTCATTAGCAGCTCACCAAGGCTTGGGGGTATGGTGTCTGGAACAATGTGCTTTTCACAGCCAAAGGTAAGTATCAGGCCATTCACCGAAGAGTGCTTGCAGAGCTCAGGAGCGAAGCGGGCGAAGAAAGGAGCATGAATCAAAGCTCAGTCTCTTAATGAGGGTATCAGTGAGATGAGGAGACAGCCAGTCCGGTCCAACAGAACGTATGTGTTAGCGCGGATGGGATGGACGTTTTGTTATTGCGGGCAGGCAGAGAGGCTGAGTAGAGTCCCAGGAGCAGCCGTGACAGCTCTGGTCTGTGCAAAGCCTGTGGTAAAACTGTTATGAATACCATAAGGAATGTGCTGTTTCAAGGACCAGATTTCATAAAACACGTGTCAAGACACCCCACCCCATTCCTGCACCCACTCAGCCTCGCTCTCTCCCCCACTAACCCCACCCAGCCTAGGCTATTTTGCCTCTCCCCACCCTGCTCTGCTTTTCCCCCCTCACTTTTCCATTGAAACCATGGAATCTACACAGATGTAAATTCTGATGATTTTTAATAGGATCCTTTAATAAGATTGGAAACTGGTAAATGGGGATTCCTTCTGGTAACCGTAACTATGACATGCCAGGCTGTGGGAACGCTCCTCCAGAAGTATATCACAGACCTGTGGAATTGCATCCCATATGAGATGATGCACTCCTACTTGGTGAGAAAATTCCTTTAGAATTAGCTGGGATTTAGACAGAACTTGGGTATCTCCTCAGAACCTTTTCTAAACTCTGAAATGTATCTCTAGTTGTAAGAGGTTGCGGTGAACAACGAGCAATGAGCATGACTTACCATGGGGTGGGGGGGCCTCGGCTCAACAACCCCTCCCAGCCAGGCACTGATACACTTGGCATTTGAATGGCAACATTTTGCGATCCCAAACTCAAGTCACTGAGCTAGGTGTTGACCCCATTTTCTGTCCAATCCCAACAGGCTCCTAGAGCTTCTCCCCCACCCCCCCCCCCCCACCCCGCCGTTTTACTAGTGGGTGGAAGGTCCCTTCTCCATCGTGTTTCCCTCCCACCAATGGATTTTGTGGAAAGGTGCTGAGTGGAGGCTGGGTATTTGCAATTCGAGTTTTAGGTGAAGCCAATAGACGTCTTCTCACAGAGTGCAGATACGTGCCCTCTCAGTGGGACTGGTTCTTGCCACACAGGGAGGAGATGGGAGAATTAAAAACTTCAAACACCATCACCAGGTCATGTTCCCCTCCCTGGAAAACTGAGTTCATTATTGAACTGCTCCAGTTTGACTTAGCCCTGAATCCACTGCTGCAGCTCTTTGTGGATTTCCTCCTGTCCAAACTCCATTCCTTCTCAGCCTGTTGACCATCCTCCCCTCCTTCAGTCTTCGCTTCCTCCTAGACTCCACATTGTTTGATGTGTCCAAGCACGGGTTGGCTCCAACTCCTCCTCTGTCTGACTACATTAACCCAGATAGTCTCTTCACCCTAACTCTCTTACCCCTCTATCCCCCAGGCCTTGGTGCTTCACTCATATCTCTCACGAAGCAGTTAGGAAGATCTTTTGCATTCTTGTAAAATTAGCAGGCTTGAAAAAGGGCCAATTTGCAGTGGATTCACTAATAGTTACTCCAAGTTGACGGAAACTGCTAGTAAACGCAACGACCCATTATCAGAGTGAGTTCTGGCAGGCTGAGATCTTGTTTGACCCTCAACTGTCCTTTCTACCCCACATCCGTGCCATGACCTGCTCTGCGTTCTGCCACCTCTGCAACATCGCCCTGCGCCGCCAATGTCTCACCCCTCAGGCTGTCAAAACCCTCATCCACGCATTTATCACATCTAGGCTTGACCATGCTAACTCCACCATCGGCAGTCGGGCCTTCAGCTTCTCTGCCCCCACCCTTTGGAAATCCATCCATGATCCCTTGCCTCTTTTTCGGTACGTCTTAAGACGCTCCTTACCCTCCACCCCCGATCCCAACCCCCTGCTTTGGTCCACATCCCTGACTGTCCAAGGCCTTGGGACGTCCTCTGGACGTGAAAGGCGCTATACAAATGTAATTTTGTACTGTACTATAAAGCTCAGAGCTGTTGCTGCCACTCTTCCCTTGAAACATTACCGGTGGGAACCATGCGACCCCCCTCCCCCCGCACCTAGACTGTGACCAGGGCCTCTGCCCTCAGCCACACAGCTCAGAACGTGCACTCGAAACATGTCCAAGGGGACTCTACGGAACCTCCGGGGCAATGGCGGGTTGTTCTGAAAACCCTGGCGCTGTCATGGCAACCTTTCGTGGTGATGGTGTACGTTACCTCGATCGTGGGCGCAGCAAGGGCAGAAGGAAAGGGCTCTTCGGCGAGGAGTTCCGACAGAGGGCTCAACTTCAACAAGAGAGGTGAAAGATAAGCAAAGCACAGGAGCAGAGCGTGAGAGGGAGAAAAGAACAGAAAAAGGGGGGAAGGAAAACAATTGAAGGTCAGAGCAAGAAATGCAAGAGGAGGGAGTAAACACAGAAGAGAGGGCAGAAAATCAAATATAACAGGGAAGGTGCCCACTTTCTGCAGAGATTTCGGAAATAAAGCAGCCTCGAGATGTGGGACCCTACAGCAAACCAGCAAGTGGGGCTGCCAAAAGGTGGTGAAAGTGGTGCAGTTTTGATGATTTATTGCTGTCCCCCCACCACGCACACACTGCGGGCACTGTACAGTCTTGATTCTGAGACAGGACGCTGTCATCCTGGGGGCTGGGGAGATGCAGCCAGAACTGCAAAGCGCAGCACAGAACAAGTGAAACTATAAACCCAGCAGCAGAGGCACAGGCTTCCAGTCCAGACTGCGTTGCTTTCCCTTCTCGCACGTGGGTGATAGGCACTAAGGACAGGTTTTAGAGATCGCCCAGTGAGGGTATACACAAAGCACATAGAACATACACATCAAGTACAGCTATACTGACTATAGCGATCAATGTATATAAGGCAGCACAGCTCAGATTTCCTGGTAATATTCTTCAGATAAAATGGAATAATGCATCATTATCATGCAGTTAACTGGAAGGGTTCAGTCACTGTGTCCAATGCAGAATATTACTGCCAACCACAATGTACATGTACAATACAGAATAACATTATTCTTTTACGATCAACAACTCAACAACAGTGTTCTTGTACAGTACCGATAAAGTTTATTACTCCTTTACCGCAAATGACTATCTGCTTGGAGGAGGTAAGTAGGGTTTCTCTGGGGCCGAGTTGGCTCCAAGGTGGACACTCCAGACCAGATTAATAAAAACTGTACACTCTCCGTTGTTTGCCTCAAAGACTCCGAAGCATGGTGATGGGATTCTGTGGAAGTCACACACCCAAATGACTAAACAATTTCAAGGATAACAAATTATTCATAAGATTGCCCCATATACAGGACGGAATAAGGACAAATGCTCCCTCCACGTTGTCCCATTCAGCACCCTAAATTCAGGTACAGCACAGGTTAGATAGTGTAAAGCTCCCTCTACACTATCCTACCCAGCACTCCAGGATCAGATACAGCACATCCTTACACACCAATCCTTACACGCTTGCTCTCCAAACTGCGATTTTACGATTAAAACCAAACCTCAGAAGATATTGCAGAAAATACAACCTCCTACCTCTGTTATGCAACCAACACATTATGAACGAAGAGCCATCACCCAAACACGACAAAAGATCTGCCATGATCTTATAAACTGGCTAAACAGGTTCTGTGGGTTGAGTGGCCTGCTCTTTGTTCCAATGTAATCCTATTATCCTCCCCACCTGCTCTTTCTGGGAACTCAACCCAGCATTATTCCTCTCCAGCCAGGATAAGAAAACAGCTGCTTTTGCTGCCACACTCCAGCAAGGAACTTATTCAGGGTTGTGCGTTTTCTAGTGGTTATTGTGTCTCAGTCGCCTGAAGCGCATCGACAGTGTAACTTTTTTGTACAACTGCTCTCTTATTATCAGGTTTTCATTGTGACGTTGGAAATATTTATTGTGCTATTTTGTTTGAAGTGCTCCACACGAAGTCACCCTCCAGTCTTGCTATAAGATGGACTTTAAACAAGAAGATTACATTTGTATAGCGCGGGAGGATTTCCCAAGGTGCTGGACAGTGTACAGCATTTCAGACCCGAGCTGGGGTCGGCGGGGGGGGGGGAGAAGGGAGAGGAAGGGGGGTGGCTGATTGCATGGTTGAAAAGGAGGGTCTTGAGGCGGGACTGGAAAGAGGCTAAGGAGGGGGTGAGGCGGAGTGATTGGGGGATGGAATTCCAGATATTGGGGGCAGAGTGGCTGAAGGCTCTCCCGCCAATGGTGGGGCGGGTGGGTCGGGGGACGTGGAGCAGGCCAGAGCCGGCTGAGCGGAGGGAACGGGTGGGTTGGTAGGTTAGGAGGTCGCAGAGGTAGGGTGGGGCGAGGCCACGGAGGACTTTGTAGGTGAGGACCAGGATCTTGAACTGGATCCTCTGAAGGATAGGGAGCCAATGGAGTTGGACGAGAGTGGGAGAGATGGGGTCACGGAGTTAAAGATCCCATGACACAATTTGAAAGTAAAAAGAGTATTTCTCCCTGTGCCAAACTTCCAAATAAAACTGATCATTCTCCTCAGAACTGTTTGCAGGACACTGCTTTGTGCAAATTGGCTACTCTTTTTGTCCCGCACTTGACAGTAATTATGTGGGAGTCGTTGCAACATGATCAATACAATAATAATGCTCTCTCCCTGACAATGTATACCTTTAATCATTCCTTGAACTGTTTATTTTCATCCAGGAGAAATACAGTGCTCAAGAGTATTCCATCTATAATTCTGTTCGTCACTCCCATCACTCCCTCTCTCGCCCGACTCCACTGGCTCCCCATCCCCCAGAGGATCGAGTTCAAGATCCTCGTCCTCACCTTTAAGGCCATCCATAGCCTTGCCCCTTCCTACCTCTCTGATCTGCTGACTCCCTACCAACCTGCCCGCTCCCTCCGCTCATCAAGTTCCGGCCTGCTCCATGTCTCCTGCCCGACCCGCCCTACCATCGGTGGCCGGGCTTTCAGCCTCTCTGCCCCCACACTCCAGAACTCCATCCCAAGGTCCCTTTGTCTCGCTTCCTCCCTTGCATCCTTCAAGGTCGGTCTCAAGACCCTTCTCTTTGACCATTCCTTTGGTCTCCCTCCCACCTCTCTGCCTTCCCTCACCCCTGCACCACCCCTCCCCCATGCTCGGGCCCCAACATCTGACTGTTCAGCGCTTTTGGAAGTCCTCCCGACGTGAAAGGCGCTCTACAAATGTAATTTTGTTGTTGTTTTTGTTAGTCAAATAATCTGGTGATGATAAAAGAAGTTGTTTAATCTAAAACATGCTGGCATTAAGCGTTCGGTGTCAATTTGAGAGACTCCTACAGTGTGTGTGGGGAAGCCAAACCCAGTTACACAACAGCCACAATTTTATATAGTGCCTTTCATGTCAGTGCAAGTCGAAGTTTTTCACAGAGCCGATTGGGAGTTCAAGCTGGGATAGAGGGAGCTGAGGAAGTTGGTGGTAGGTGGCGGAAGGAAAGGTATCTGAAAGTGTAGTTGAGAAGGAATTGAGGTAGGCTTTATAGATGAGGAAGGAGGGCACGAGGCAGTTGGATGTTTCCGAGGGATGGAGTTCCAGAGCGCAGGACCAGAATGGCTAAAAGCTTACCGACAGATGGTTGGCAGTGAAGCAGGCCAGTGTTTGCCCAAGCAGAAGGAACGGCTAGGGCGGTAGAGTTGCCAGAGGGATTTGAACACACAAATCGCTACAAACCGGGTAATTGTGAACAGTCACAGAGCTCAGCAAAGACAGTCCACAAGAAGAGGGCAACAAGAAAGAGTCTGCTGATGGGAACCATTGGCAAACTACAGAATGATAAAGCCATAAGAACATAAGAATTTGCTATGGGAAAGAAGACTAAGATCCTCTTCAGCCAGGAACATGCATGTAGCAAGACAAGGAGAGCTTGGGATGTGTGACTGCGCTGTGACTTCAGACTGCTTGTGCACCAAACAATGAGGCTGTGTTTTACTGGAAGTGCGTATTATCCTGATGCTCTTACGTGGCAGCTAACTTCAGTTGGTAGCATTCTTGCCTCTTGTCAGAGGGTTATGGGATCAAACCTCATGCAATACACTGCAGTCTCTAACTTGTATCTAAATCTAATTTGTAATTGAAAGAATCAACACTTTCTGCTTCCACAGTTTCCCTATGGTGCCTGTTCCATAGGTTTATCACTCATTCACTGAAATTGTGTTTCCGCAGATTAGTTTTGAATTCACCCCCCCTTCATTCACAGGCCATGTCCTCTGGTTCTACTGTTCTGGACAAGGTGAAATGGCTCGTCATGGTCTACATTATCTAGTCCCTTTAGAATCTTAAAAACATCCACCATATCACCTCTCAACCTTCTTTTCCAGCATGACACTTCCTGAAACAAAAACAGAGATAGCTGGGAAGAGCATCTGTGGTATTTTTGTGTTTTGTAACCCTTCCTAACCCTGGTTTCTTTGCTTGTCTCTGTTTGATGACATCTGAGGGGCAAATACTACAATAAGGCTGGTGTGCAGCAAGGTTGGTAAAAGCGTGGCACCAAACCCTTATAGTGCTGTGATTGAAACATCCAATCCAGAACGAGGGGATGATTATGTCCTTTGCAACTCCCAGTAAATGTTACATTGGAGGATGGAGTCGCTCAGAGGTGAGCTTGATGTACGGTTCCAGTGTGGCATCAAATTCTTAAGATACTTTTCCTGACTTGTTCATTCTGGTTGGTTTGCATTGTGCCCTTCACGCAACATAGTGTCTTGGAGAGCTTAAAACTCAGACATCTGGGTCGTTTTATTCACTGCACAGCTGTGCACATTGAATCCTTTTCTTCACAATTTTACCCCCTCTCCTCTCATGAAGACTTCTTCTCACAGAAGTACAGTAGCCATAGGTTTCCTCGGTAACTCACCCCAGGAGTACATTCTTCGCTGGTGAGCCTTGACCATGTGTATTCTATGTGGTCTATACATGCAGGGATCACTGGGTGGAGAATTGGATTGGGAGCACAAGCTCAATGCCCCCACGAATGCAACTCTGACCCTTGCCCAGGGTGAGATCAGCATATCAGCACCGATGAGGTTGAAACTGATCAAAATCCCATTCTCTGTGGCTCAGCTATTCCACTGAGCTGGGAAAACAGATTAAGTCACAAGGGGAAACCACATTCAACAGTGCCCAACACACTCAGGAAGACACACACTAAGCTACTTCAAGCTACTTGTTTTTCTGCAGGTACTGGTCCAGTGGATGCCTTTGCCCCACATTCCATGCCCCACTCCAAGGTATCCCCCACACTCAATGTGCCAGAGCCAGATCTTAACCTCGTTCTCAATCGAATGTCATTGAAATTTCAGCTCGCAGGTTCTGACTTATAGTTAGCAGGAAACTGATTTTATTGCAAACAACGCAGGAGCTTCTATAGTTGGGATGAGAAAGCTACGATGTGGAAGTCAGTGAAAGTGTATTGACTGTGTATTTTGTGGGCGAAACACGGCAGCCAATTGCACACAGGAGTGTCCCACAATCGTGGATTGAGTGACCAATTTTATTTTTGGAGGAATTATTATTCCCTGGAAAGCGATCCGCCGATCGACAACAACCACACTTACTTACTGCTAGGTAAACAAAGGCGTGTGGAGTAAAATTTGCCTAAGGTTTTGGCCTACATGGGAATCAAACACAGATTCTCTCACCTTCAAGGCGAGTGCTATTGATATTGAAGTGAGTGCACAAAACTGGAAAATAAGACACTTTTTCTTAAAAGTCATTTCTCATTCAGGAATTTCCAGATCTGCTCGTGTACACAATCTGCAGCTTGGCTACATTTGTGCATTGATCTATATAGCATCGCATTCAACATTCATGTACCAGAGAGGACAACCCCTCTTCTCCTAATCCTACGCCACTCTCAATGGGAACCTCTGTGAAGCCAACATTAGACCTTTGGGTCGCAGGACACCGACCAGTTTCATACAAAACAACAAAATTACATTTATAGAGCGCCTTTGACGTTGGGAGGACGTCCCAAGGCACTAGACAGTCAGGGGTCAGGACCCGAGCATGGGGAGGGCTGGGGTAGGGGTGAGGGAAGGCAGAGAGGTGGGAGGGCGACTGAAGGCACGATCGAAGACTAAGGTCTTGAGATCGGCCTTGGAAGAAGGCAAGGGAGGCGAAAGGACTGTGGGATAGAGAGTTCCAGAGTGTGGGAGCAGAGAGGCTGAAAGCCTGACCACTGATGGTAGGGCGGGTCGGGCGGGAGACATAGAGAAAGCTGGAGCCCGCTGAACAGAGGGAGCGGGCAGGTTGGTAGGGAGTCAGCAGGTCAGAGAGGTAGGAAGGGGCAAGGCCATGGATGGCCTTGAAAGTGAGGATGAGGATCTTGAATTCGATCCTCTGAGGGATGGGGAGCCAGTGGAGTCGGGCGAGGGTGGGAGTGATGGGGTCAAGGAGACTGGTGCGCAAGAGTACATGAGCTGCAGAGTTTTGGATGATCTGCAGGTTGTGAAGGGAAGAGTTGGGAAGGTCGATAAGGAGGGAGTTTCCATAATTGAACCTTGAGGTGACGAATGCGTGGGTGAGGGTTTTGGCAGCCTGAGGGGTGGGGCAGTGATCAAAACAAATGATCATGTCACTGGCAGTTCAGTTAACGGGCACCACTTGCTGTCAGGCTGTGTGACCAAACATGACATTCTGGCTGTACCACCAGCAACCAGAATGTATGGGAGACAGGTAATTCAGGTCATGGACTATCTGTAGCGATAGACCCATTCCTGAAAATTTTGAGAGCTGTCACTGCAACAACCCTCAGGAGAATCATGGCTGATGCTCGGAATCCAGTCTTGAATCATTGAGTTGCTGCAGAGTTTGCTCAGGGTTAGGTTTCAGCACTGTTACAGATTGTCTCAGGCCTTTCACGGTGAGAAAGCCTGGTGTGAAGTTAAGGCCATCTGTCACAACTCACACGGAGACAATGGATTTGGCCTCTCCAGCAACAGCAATTTGCATTTAAGTAGCACCCTTCACGTTGGGTAGGGTGCTGGAGGGCTAGCAGAAGTACTTGGCTCTGGGGGCAATTTTTGTGACAATTTCCTGTGAGATTGAAACACGACTACTGGGCAAAGCGACAAGAACAAAGCGGTTTCCTTTGCAAAGACAAAGGCATGTACAAATCCCGGCCCCTTTACCTTCTGAACCAGTAACAGCCAGAAAATATCAATGACAAGGAGTTGGAAGTTTAAAAGGTGTTAATGGGGACGTTGGCAGGAAGCAGTGAGGCAGCATTAGACAGAGAAAATTGGGGTGAGAGTGGGGGGCGGTTAGCGAAAGAGGCAAGGCAGAGGGACAGCCATACGTACCACCCAGGTGCAAGTCGATGATATCAGTGTAACTAGACTCTCCCCAATAGTCTACAATAAGGATTAGAAAGAGTTATTGTACAGTCCCATGCAACACCCGAATGTAGCACATGCACAGAGAAAGGCAGCTCAGAACAGGTACCGGAACATCTACTGCTAACCACTTGGCTGCGGTCAGGGTGACCTCTGGAGGCCGTGTAATGAGGGGACATCAGAGATGAACTGAAGCAGCTCCTGTGGGTCATTAAGGCACCATTTTGTTTTTCATTTACTTTGAAAAGAATTTGTTCTGCTTGTTGGGTAGGATGTGAAGCTCTCCCAATAACCTGACCAGTCAGGTTAGTTCACTGGGATCACTTCTAGGATTCAAAATCAAATTGACTGATATCGAATCCTGCGGGTGCCGAATATGACGACAATCAGGATTCAAATCCAAGCTGATTTCACGAAGTTCTCAGCACATTGGCGTCCATAAGGAATTCCTACAGGTCTAACAGACATGTGATTGAATCTGGTAACCTTTTCAGTCAATGTATCTCAGCTTCGCATCATCATACAGGGATTCTAAACAGCATTCACAAGTGGTACAATGTGTCTTTCACAGTGACAGTGCTATAATAATAATAATAATAATCCTTGCATTTGATATAGCGCTTTTCACGTCGGGAGGACGTCCCAAAGTGCTTCACAGAACACACTGTAAAGTGAATTGACTGTATATTTGTGGGCGAACGCGGCAGCCAATTGCGCACAGCAATGTCCCACAAACAGTCATATGGATTGAAAATGACCAATTTATCATTGTTTTGCTTTTTTGGAGGGATTATTATTAGGCTATCAGGGTGTCGGCTATCTCAAGTCACAGTGACAGTATTGAGAGTCTTAGTACTGTGTTAAATGAATTGTTGCATGCTCAGAAACGCTACTCAAGTGAAGAGTGCTATATAAATACAGGTTGTGAGTCAGGTACATCAAGTTGTGCGGTGACAGTGTTGGCTGGCAGGTGTGTCAGTCACAGTCACAGTGTTGGCTGGCAGGTGTGTCAGTCACAGTCACAGTGTTGGCTGGCAGGTGTGTCAGTCACAGTGTTGGCTGGCAGGTGTGTCAGTCACAGTCACAGTGTTGGCTGGCAGGTGTGTCAGTCACAGTCACAGTGTTGGCTGGCAGGTGTGTCAGTCACAGTCACAGTGTTGGCTGGCAGGTGTGTCAGTCACAGTCACAGTGTTGGCTGGCAGGTGTGTCAGTCACAGTCACAGTGTTGGCTGGCAGGTGTGTCAGTCACAGTCACAGTGTTGGCTGCCAGGTGTGTCAGTCACAGTCACAATGTTGGCTGGCAGGTGTGTCAGTCACAGTCACAGTGTTGGCTGGCAGGTGTGTCAGTCACAGTCACAGTGTTGGCTGGCAGGTGTGTCAGTCACAGTCACAGTGTTGGCTGGCAGGTGTGTCAGTCACAGTCACAGTGTTGGCTGGCAGGTGTGTCAGTCACAGTCACAGTGTTGGCTGGCAGGTGTGTCAGTCACAGTCACAGTGTTGGCTGGCAGGTGTGTCAGTCACAGTGTTGGCTGGCAGGTGTGTCAGTCACAGTCACAGTGTTGGCTGGCAGGTGTGTCAGTCACAGTCACAGTGTTGGCTGGCAGGTGTGTCAGTCACAGTCACAGTGTTGGCTGGCAGAAGCACTCAGCAATTCTGGGACCAGTGCTGAGCCGCCTAATTGGACAGAAGACATACAGCAGTAAAAACAGGACAGCGACAGAGAAATGGAGGAAGCTGCCCACCCTCACAGTCTTTTCCCCAACAACCTCTGTCACCCTAGCATTCTTTCCTCAACCCTCTTAGCCTCTGCCACCCCCTTGCAATTTCTCCCCACCATCTAAGACATTCTTGATGTATCTTCACTAACCATGCAACCTCTCCGCCAGTCTTTACAGCCTCTACCACTCACTCGCAGTCTCTAATGAACACTCGCAGCCTCTCTCCCACCCATTCAGCCTCTCCACCATCCATGCAGTCTCTCCTGACTCTGAGTCCCTCCACCATCCCTTGAGCACCAGACATGACTCTGTCACATCCACACAGGGACAGTTAATAAGACACCGATGACTGGGCACCAGACACATCATTAGCTCCTACACATATGGCACTGGCTTGTCCTGTAACCACGGTGACTTACCATGAGGACATGGAGGTATTGGGCCTGGGCTAGAGAGGAAATAATAAACCAGCCAGGGTTCCTGCAATTGTCCACTCCCTAGTCCCTGCAAGATATTCCCATGTGTGGATGTTTTGTGAGAGCAGGATTGGGCTCAGTTGTGTTTCTCTCGAGACTGATAGAGTGAGCTACTGGCATCCACTGTGTCAGGCGTAACTGAGCACCAGCTCCATGAAAGGGAAGCAAAGGGAGAAGCAGATCAAAGGGAAGTAAGCGGGAGAGAGAAAGATCCAAATAGGATCGGGGCGGTCTTGTGGACTGGACAAGTAACTGGACCTCTGCTGCTGCTGAAAGGCTCTGCTTAAAAGTGGTGACTCTGCGTGCACACACCACGTTTCAGCACTCGAGGGAGCCACTGCTCAAGGCAAGGAACTGAAGTGCTCTTGGTGCAAAGAAACCCCCGGTAAACAAAACCATCCAGGGCGGGTTTAGTAACTGTGCGAGCCAGCGATGCCGAATCGCTGCCTGAATTGTAACATCAGGAAAACTGCACTGGTGTTAAAAGCCTAGGCACATCACGGGTCAGTTCTCCTTCCTCCCTCCCTTACTGACCTCAGAACCACACAATATCAGAAACACACAGTGATAAGGCTCCACGCGCAACACATACACTCCCAGCACTTGGTGACTGGGCTCAGACACGCACCCTGTTGAAAGAACCCAAGAGGAGATGAGGGAGAAATACCTGCTTCCCCTCGCAGTGCCTTCTCCACGGCCACACCTCGCTCCTCCAGCTCCCGCTGCTTCTCCTCCACCTGCTCCAGCTGCCTCTGGATGATCTACACATGCAAGACAGTGAAATAACAACCGTGCTCGAGTGGGTACTGGCAGGATCCAGTCTATTCCCTGAGACAAGACTGACACCAGTCATTGTACAGATATCTCCCTGAGAGAGACAGGCTGAGAAACTCCAGTCTGCACAGACACATCCCTGACAGACACCAGTCACTCAACAACAACAACAAAATTACATTTGTATAGTGCCTTTCACGTCGGGAGGACGTCCCAATGCGCTGGACTGACAGAGTTACGGACTGAGCTGAGGGTCGAGGTGGGGGAGGGCAGGCATGGGGGAAGCAGGGAGATCGAAAGCACAGTCGAAGAGGGCTTGAGGTGGGTCTTGAAGGTGGCAAGGGAGGGGGTGAGACGGAGGGACTGCGGGATGGAGATCCAGAGGGGGGTGCAGAGTGGCGCCCGCTGGTAGTGGTTCACAACAATGTGTTCACAAAGTCCTGTTACTGCACCCCCCGCCCCGGTTTTTTCTTACAATTAATTTTTATTTTCTGTTGCAGATGTGTAACAATGTCTGATACCAGTAACATCCTGTTCACTACATTCATGTTATGGAAAATGTCACACCTAACATGCCGATGGATCATGATCTGCCATGAAAATGGCACTCACACCAATCCTTAGGATATCTGAATACAGTTAAATACTTGTAATGAATACAATTAAGTACCCCTAAATACAATTATTATCATTCTTCCACATGTTTCAGTTGTTAGTGAGTGCAGTATAGAAAATAAAACATGGAGGTAACAGGACCTTATGAACACCCTGACCATTACCTGGCCCACCTACCAACCTGTGCTCTGTGCAGCCTCTTCAGCTCCTCCTGCTTGGCTTGTTTGCGAGCAGCTTTCTGCACCCTGCGAGTTAGCTTAGCGTTCAGCTCTTCCTCGGTGTAGGGTTTCTGTGGAAAGATAGACAGAGCAATGTCATCAGCTTCACTCAGCACCACACACACTGCACCTGGCCATCAGATTCATCAGATTGCTGAGGCAGCCAGTCACAATGCAGGTGATCTCTGAGCGCGGGGGGGGGTGAGGCTCAACACAAGATCACAGGATTCACTGTTGAACAATAGATCTCATCAACAGAAAAACTTGTGGAGTAACCGTGCTGAAAGCTTGAGTCCATTTCAACAATCACATCCACAAATTACTCCAGGTCCAGGATCTACAGCGCACAGCACCCAGAACACACAGAATAGAGCATGGGATCAATCCATGTCAACAGACCAGTGATTGGTGATTGAGGGCAGGGAATCATCCCACTCATCTCCTGTTAACCCTGCAAGCCAAAGCTCTAATAGGTAGGGTGGTCCTAGCTGGACAAGCAGCGGGAAAGTTTGCCTGACAGCGATGTCAATGGCAAGCTATGTGGTTTTAGCTGGTTAAACTCCAGCAGTTACTCCAATGCACACTCTGGGGTCCCCAAGCCTTTCTGGGGTACCTAATACTTTCTGAAATTAGGTAAGCAGGAAGCGTCCCACCAGGGAGAGAATGCGCATTCCATTCCAACAATCTATCTCTTGGATTTCTATGTGTAGATGGAATGCATGGAAATCTGTTTGTTTTGGATACTTGTAAGCATGGTGATGGTTTTCCGCATGTGTCAGACACCTGGCTCACCCAAAAAAGTGCTAAAAGAATATGTCTCTCATGTCACGCTGTAGCCTTATTTTCACGTGACTCTCCAAAGTCGCAAAATTCAACCTTGTTTTACCCGTCAGATTAGCTTGTCATAAAATTTAGGGTCTCAAAGAGTTGCGGAAAATCAGTCTTAAGGTAGCAGTCATTTATGTTTATACTTTCAAATTAAAATTTAATTGAAGAATCTTCCGCAATTTTGCCTGATCTTAAATTTTAAGGTAAAATAGTCTCACAGCTGACAGAGGGTGAGATTTCAGGATCCCTGATTTTCTGGGCAAATATCATCCATCCTTGTACCACAGGCCACCGAGTGCACCCTGTTCTTTGGTATAGTTTCCTATTAACTATGCTCTACAGGAAGCTATTGGCTTTCTTTTAGCCATGTACACTACCTTTGATGTGTATGATCTCTTGAATGCCAAGGCATGTGGAACATACATAGACTTTAAAAAAAAGAGAAAAACAATGCAGCAACTTAGGCAATGAAAGCAGAACATGAGACACAGTAATAGACACCCAGAGCATGAAAGTGTAACACACCGAACATACACGTCCACACAACCTAACATACTGTACCGCACATTGCACCACACACCGTACACACACACACTAACACACCGTACTAAGTGCTACAGTTAGGCTACATGCTAAAGCCACTCTGCGTGATACCGTCTGTCAGAGTGCTAGTCTGTCTAAGAGCTGGGAGGGAATAGGTTGGACATAGCTTTGAGTTTGCAGGCTCTAATGCAAATAGGAACATGCAGCGCTGCCCACTGTGAGGGGTCTGTGCTGGGAAAGGAAGCTGGTTGTCCTTCCAGTTTTATCCCCCGAACAACAACAAGAAGATTACATTTGTATACAGTAACAAAGGGCAGCCTTCGTGCTCCCTGCAGCCAAGTCACACTAACCATCTCACAGCAACGTGCTGGGAGACGTTTCACCGGCAGAGGGCAGGAGCGGTTATCTGCCGGCAGCGTACCGTCACAGCCAGTCAGCAGGCTGACACTAATAATAATAATCCTTGCGTTTGCGCTAGCCTTATCACGTTTTCAAGACCCGTCAAAGCACTTTACAGGATATACTGTGAAATGGATTGAGTGTGTATTTTGTGGATGAAAAGCGGCAGCAGGTTGCACACAACAATTTCCCAAAACAGCCATAGAGACAATTAGCGATTTTATTTGGGGGATTTGTTGGCCAGGACTTGAACCCAGTTTCCACCAAGTTCTCAGACCCACAGGCTGTTCTGTTTGTGCCAAGCGGGAATGTCGAGGCTGTGGCTTGCACTTCACACAAAAGATGCACTGACCCACAGAAATCCCCAGGACAGGAGAAGGCCTTTTCACCCTGGGGTTGGTGTTTCCACTTCCAATGAATCCACCTGTGCCAATCCCAATCGCCCCGCTGTTTCCTTGTACACTCTACTCCTCTCCTCCACCAGTGACCATCAGATTCCCTATTAAATGCTTGAATTGGCTCTGCTCCCCAACATCCACCCCTGGCAATTTGTTCTGTATTATCTGGTGGAATTAATAGCAGGAAAGGAAAGAGATTTTGTTTCCCCGCCTTAGGAGCCAGGTTTCCGTCGCTGACTGGCGGTCAAAGAACAAAGGTGCCGGAGTCCCCGAGTCAACACTGTTCCACGCACCCCACCCCTCATCCCTCCCCCGGTACCTCTTCCTTCCTTCTGTGCCAATCTGACACATGGTCAAATATGTCAACCAGCTGATGAGGCAAAGCGTGAGGGAGAGAGAGAGAAAAAGAGATTAGACCACGCCAGAGAGAAAGACTGGCAGATTCTGTCACTGCCAACATACAATAAACCAGCCTGGGCACCCACTAGTCAAGGTGCCATCACTGCACCCAAGCAACACTCATTGATCACGTGAGGATACAATGACTGTGGTGTCTGGGTCTCACTGCTGTACCTCACGCTTGGATTTCTGTGACGTGCGCTCCAGGATGTCGTCACTGGACAGGTCTGAGTCCTCCGAGAAACTGAGGTGTCGTCGCAACTGGAGCTCTGCAAAAACGGGAACAAAGGGTTAGCATCAGGTTTCTATGTCAACCTGTATGACCCTCACAGTGCGAGAGATGGAGAAAGCAGCAAGACATTTCCATCGTACCCTATTGAGCAAACATCTCAAAGTGCTTCACAGGGAGTTGGAGGCAGCAGGTTTGTGCACGGCAGTGTCCTACAAACAGCCATCAATCAAACAGTGATCAATTTTTTTTGGGGGGGAGGGGGTGAATGTTGGCCAGGATGATAATAATCCTTGCATTTGATATAGGGGCTTATCACATCATTGAGTTGTTTCAAAGTGCTTCACAGGATTTAATGTAAAGTGGATTGTCTGTATTTTGTGGGCGAAACTGTAGGCAGTTGTGCACAGCAATGTCCTTCTGTGCCAATCTGACACATGGTCAAATATGTCAACCAGCTGATGAGGCAAAGCGTGTGTGAGAGAGAGAGAGAGAGAGAGAGAGAGAGAAAAAGAGATTAGACCATGCCAGAGAGAAAGACTGGCAGATTCCGTCACTGCCAACATACAATGACTGTGGAGCCAAGGAGTGAGTGACCACATTTTTATTTGGGGGATTGTTGGCCAGGACACTGTGAGCGAGAAACTTCCTTTTCTTTTCAAATAGTACCATGGGATCTTTAATATCCACCTGAACAGGTAGGCGGGACCTCAGTTTAACATCTCATCTGAAGGATGACACCTCCGACAATGCAACACACCCCGGCATTGCATTGGAGTGTCATCTTAGGCAATGTGATTACAAGTCCTGACTTGGGGCTTCTCTTTTCAAACAGAACTGTTGATCTTTAATGAATGGTAGCACATTCCGACAAAGCTGCGCTCCCCATCAATGCCCTGGAGCATCAGCCGAGACTCTGAGCTCAAAGTCAGACTGGAAGTGTGGTTTACGAGAATGCTGACAACTGAGCCAATCTCAGGGGAGAGCCAGGCGGATTTGGAGTGGGGGAGGGGGGGGGGGGGGGGGTAGAACGTGAGGCGACATAAATCACTGTCTTCGGGAAACCAGGAAAGAAACAAAGCAAAGGCAGGATTTTCTGGAGTACCTGCTGCGGTGCGGAGAATGTCAGTGGTCTGCTTCCTGCCGGAGTCCATGGTGGTGGAGCTGGATGGGGAGCTGGAACACCCTTTCTCTTCTTTCTTCTTCCGGTCCTTTTTGTAGCCGGAGAAGACGGACTTCCAAATTGACCTAGGTTTGGTGGCCTCCTCGTGGCTGGTTCCAGCTCTGTCAGGCAGTGTGCCGTCCGTCTTGGATTTTTTCTCTTTCTTATTCTTGCGCGGCGAAAACAGCGAACTCCGCTTCTTGCTTTTACTGGCCGAGCTGTCCGAGGAGGCTGCCGAGCCCTGGTCCTGAGACCGGCCAGGTTGCCTGTCCACCGGCGTTTCCTGCAGCAGCCGGTGGCTGTCCTTCAGCCAGAAGACCTGGGGCTTTAGCGTTTCGGCTTCAAGCTCGAGCTCCCTGGGCGTCGAGGACATGGGGAGGTTTGGCCGGGGTCTGGCCTCACTCACCACCTCCATGTCCTTCATCTTACTCAACTGTTTGGCCATGGCATCCCGGAGTGCCCGGCTCTTCACTGACTTCTCCCGTGCTCTCATCCTTTCCTCAGCCACTTCCTTGGCCTCGGGCGAGATCTGGGGCAGGGAGCGCCGGCTGAGGATGGTTCCCGGCGATGGCGAAGCCTGGGACAAGGGTAGGTCAGGAAGCTTGTCTGCTCTGGGCTTGCCGCTGGGCGGAGTGTAGAATCTCTCTTGCAGGCTACTGTCGGGGGTCTTGTCCTCATACGTGTCCTCCACGTCGTCAGCAAAAGGAATCTCGTCGATGCTCTCGGCCAGCGACTTTCTCACATCGTTGGGCCTCGGTGGCGCTGGGGACGGAGACGAGGTGCCGGGGGCGGATAGTGGGGAGGGTTGGGTCTGGGCCTGCCAATCAGCATAGTGCTTCTTCCTGCGGAGGGTGGCCGGCTCCTCATCAGCGGGGGGTGGCGGGGGCGGGCTGGAGGGCGGTGTGAGCATGATGTCTGAGTTGTTGAAGCTATCACTGGTGCCTGTCACGGTCAGGGTTAGGCTGCCGTTCAGTCCCAGCCCGGAGGTGCTGGTCAGGTCCTTGGGGGCGCTGATCACGCTCCGGGTTTCACTGGCAGTGGATGTTAAGCCCGGAAGCCTCTGCCTTTCAGCCATGGTGAGAGTTGGGGTTCTGATGATGGGTTGCGGTCTCTTGTGCTCTTCGGGTGTCTCCTCGGGGGTGAAGGACCTTGGGGACGTGGACTCTGGGGTGGACAGGGTGAAGCTGGTCTCCGAGCTGCCCGATCTGTCCGCAGGTCTCACCCCGAGGCTCTTCCTTATTTCCATGCTTTTCAACCAAAACTCATCAATGGTGTCCAACTTGGAGACATGCTCTTCGTCTGAGAAGGTCCGGCGAGCGAGCTTGTGATCACACTCGCCCAGGCTAATCCTGACTGTGTTGTCATTTGCCGGAGTGGACATCAACGTGGTGAAGACTGGCTGGGACCTAACTGGCGACTGAGAAGAGGTTGGATTAGATGCTTCTGGTGAGGACAATGGTTGGGAACATACAGGGGACTGACCGGGACTCGCCACCTCAGAGCCAGTGAGTGACTGAGGCTGGATTTGCCTATTTTGCGAAGCAGCATCTGGGATGCTGGGCGCAGGCTGTGAACGGATTGGGAGGACAGCAAGGATCGCGCTGGTGGCTTGCTGAGAACTCCCAGACCTGGGCTCCAGACCTGCAGATCCGAGCAGGAACGGTACCGGGAATGGGAAGCCAGGAGATTTAAGGGGAGATACGAGCTCTCCCTCATCCTGCAAGCATGAAGAAAAGGATGTTAATTACTCGTAAAATAAATGTTCAAATAACCCTTGCATTTGATATAGCGCCTTATCACATCTTTGAGACGTCTCAAAGCCCTTCACAGAATATACAGTAAAGTGAATTAAGCACAATTCTGGTAATTATATTCAAACAGTGACAAACATCTTAGGCAGCTATTTATGAAATATGTTTATGTGTATACATGCAAAAATTGCAAATCTGTGCATTCGCACAAGGGTCTATGTTTGTGTCTCCGTGTACATCTACCTCTGTGTGTGCATGTGCCTTATACATGTGTGCACACGTGTATGCGAGACAGAGTTATATAAATGTGTGCGCACCCACTTAATACTAATAATAATCCTTGCATTTGATATAGCGCCTTATTACGCCGGTGAGACATCTCAAAGCATTTCACAGAATATATTGTAAAGTGGATTGACTGTATATTTTGTGGGCAAAATGCAGCAGCCAGTTGCGCACAGCAATATCTCACAAACAGTCATGGATTGCGGGACCAAATTTCTTTTTTTGGGGGGGGAGGAGGGATTATTACCTCTGGAATGCGATCTGTCAATTTACTAACAACCTGGTTCCTCCTTACTACTTGGTAAACAGAGGCATGTGGAGGAAGGAAACTTGTGTTTATGTGTCACGCGCATGTATATATGTGCGCGTGTGGAGTGGGAGGTAAGGATTTAGTTTGCTGTGCAGTTTATGATGTGCAATTCCTACATGTTTGTGGTGAGTTGATGCCTCCGTAGGAGCTTTCGCAAAGTAACAAGATTCAGAAAAACAATTATCATGACAGCATCAAACCTTACCCAGAGCTTTTGCATTAGATACTGAGTAAAGATTCCTCCACATCCTCTTGTACAGGATTCAGGTCAGCTACACCAGGGGTTAATTTCCACATGTATGCGAATAACACCCAACTCTAACTCTCTGCCTCCACCCTGAACTACAGGACTACTGGTGTCCTGACCGACTGCCTGTCCGACATCAAGTCCTGGACGAGGGCCAACTTTCTCCAACTCAATGTCAGCAAGACCGAGGCCCTCCTGATTGGCTCGTGCCAGCGCCTCTGCACCTCAGCATCAGCCTCCACGGCTGCACACTCAACCTCACTAAGCCAGTCAGGAACCTGGGTGTCTTGTTTGACCCTGAAATGTCCTTTCTCCTCCACATCCGCGCCATGACCAGCGCTGCCTACCATCACCTCCACAACATTGCCAGACTCCGCCACTGCCTCACCCCTCAGGCTGCCGAAACCCTCACCCACTCATTCGTCACATCAAGGCATGATTACGGGAACTCCCATTACTCTCACCCACCCTCTCCCGACACCACTGGCTCCCCATCCCCAGAGGATCGAGTTCAAGATCCTCATCCTCACCTTCAAGACCATCCATGGCCTTGTCCCCTCCTACCTCTCTGACCTGCTGACTCCCTACCAACCTGACCGCTCCCTCCGTTCATCAGGCTCCGGCCTGCTCCCTGTCTCCCGCTCTACCCACCCTACCATCGGTGGCCAGGCTTTCAGCCTCTCTGCCCCCACACTCTGGAACTCCATCCCATGGTCCCTTCACCTCACTTCCTCCTTTGCCTCCTTCAAGGCTGGTCTCAAGACCCTTCTCTTTGACCGTGCCTTTGGTCTCCCTCCCACCTCTCTGCCTTCCCTCACCCCTGCACCACCCCTCCCCCATGCTCGGGCCCCGACACTTGACTGTTCAGCGCTTTGGAACTTCCTCCCGACGTGAAAGGCGCTCCATAAATGTAATTTTGTTGTTGTTGTTAGTTATAGGCGAAAGCTCCTCTGCAATGCACCACGCACTCTCATAGTGAAAGTACCAAGTCTAACCCACTACATCGTCCAGTCCCTTCTCTGAAGACCTCACAGGTGCATATAGAGAATAGGTTGCCTATTAAGGAGCTGTCTGGAGTTGACCACTCTAAGATCCTATACCTGAGAGGACTCCGGCTTGGTACAGACTAATGGTTGTAGAGGCCTGTCCCCAACTGGTGATTCTGCTGGGCTCATTCCTTCAGATGTACCTAATATTTTAAACAGAGACAGTTTTTTTTAAGTCGTTGTAGCATTGGCACTACAGCATTACAGCAATGCATATTCCTCCTTCCTCAGACTTTTAACAACAACAACAAATTAACACATCGGCAGGACACCCCAAGACGCTGGACAGTCAGGGATTTGGACCGGGGGGTTGGGGCGGGGCTGTTGGGATCAGGAGGGGTGGAGGACGGGGAGGGAAGGGGTAGGAGGGTGACCAAAGGCAAAAGTAAGAAATAAGGAGAATATAAATGGTCAGGGAATTAATATAATTATAGAACAGAAGTGTGAAAACACTATCAAGAATAAAATGAGGAACAATTAATAGTAATGAATTGAACTGTCTGTTCAGCAATGTACACAGCATCCAAAATAAATAGGAGAACTGGAGGAAATAATTTGTAGTGAGGAACCAGATATAATTGGGATTACTGAAACGTGGCTACAGAAGGAACAGGACTGGCAACTAAACATTGCAGGATATAATGTATTTAGAAAGGATAGAGATGGGATAAAAGGACAGTGGAGTAGCTGCACTCGTCAGGGATAACATCATGGCAGTAGAAAAAAGGGACATAGTGACTCCACACGCTCTGACCTTATTCATTAGTCTACAGAAACAGAATCTGTGTGGATAGAGATAAAAGATAAGAAGGGATCAATAACACAAATAGGGCTACTCTACAGATCTCCTAACAGTGGAAGAAATATGCAAGCAAATTAGAGAAATGAGTACAAGACATAGAATAATAATCATGGAGGATTTCACCTAACCCCAAATAAATTGGCTAGAAGAGGTAGGTAAAATGGATAAGGGAATGGAGTTCCTTCAATGTGTACAGGACTCCTTTCTTACCCTGTCCTGTAGCTCAGTGGTTACAGCACTCGCTTTGTAAGCGAGAAACCTGAGTTCAATTCCAGGCAGGGCGAAACCTTGGGCAAGTTTCCTTACTCCACATGCCTAATAATAATCCCTCCAAAAAACAAAACAATAATAAATTGGTCATTTTCAATCCATGACTGTTTGTGGGATGCTGCTGTGCGCAATTGGCTGCCGCATTTCGCCCACAAATATACAGTCAATTCACTTTACAGTATATTCTGTGAAGCGCTTTGAGACGTCTAGAAGACGTGAAAAGCGCTATATCAAATGCAAGGATTATTATTATTATTACCCAGTATGAAAGAGGCCCAACATAGGGGAAATCCCTGCTGGATTTAGTAATGGGAAATGAACCAGAGCAGATAAGAGAAGTACGAGTAGTGGAATAACTAGGCAATAGCGATTATAACTTAATAAGGTTTAAGATAAAGATTGAGAAGGACACGAGTATGACAAAGACCAGGGTAATAGATTGGGAAAAAGCTGATTTTGAGGAGATGAGAATGGAAGTTGGGAAAATAAACTGGAAAACAATACTGGCAAACAAAGAGATAGAGCAGCAGTGGGAAACATTTAAAATAGTGATCAATAGAGTCCAGGAGAAATATATTCTACTAAAAAGCAAGACAAAGCTAAATAATAATGAGACACCATGGATTAATAAAGACTAAGGGCAAAGTTGAGACTCAGGAAAGAGGCGTTCACTAAGTACGTAAACAACAAGGGAGAGCGTGACAAAAAAGAATATGAAGAGGTCAGGAAAATAGTCAAAAAAACAATTAGGATGGCAAAGAGGAATGAATTATGAAATTAAATTATCAAGGAATATAAAAGGAAATAGTAAAATATTCTACAGACAAATAAATAATAAAATCAAAATAGGAATAGGGCCACTAAGGGATGGACAAGGTAAGCTCACAAGCCACGACAGTAAAATGGCAGAAATATTAAATAATTACTTTGCCTCAGTATTCACCAGGGAGACGGATCAGGTGGATATGACAATAGAAGAAGAGAGCAAAAATAATATAATACATTTAAGATACAAAGGGGAGATATAATCGAAAAACTAACGAAACTCAGAGAGGATAAAACCCCTGGTCCAGATGGATTGCATCCGTGTATATTAAAAGAATCGAGGGAAGAGATAGCAGAGGTACTATTACACATATATAATAACTCATTAGAAAAGGGAGCAGTGCCAGAGGACTGCAGAATAGCTAATGTTATACCTATATTTAAAAAGGGATATAGAACAAGCCCAGGGAACTATAGACCTGTCAGCTTAACATCGGTGGTAGGAAAGATAATGGAATCCTTACTGAAGGAGGTAATAGAAAAACATCTAGAAACAAAAATATAATAAAGAATAGTCAGCATGGATTTCAAAAAGGAAGGTCATGCTTGACCAACCTCATTGAATTCTTTGAAGGGGTAACAGATAGAGTAGGCAAGGGTAATGGGGTAGATGTAATATATTTAGATTTCCAAAAGGTATTTGATAAAGTACCACATAATAGATTAATGAATAAGGTCAGAGCATGTGGAGTCAGGGGAAAAATAGCAGAATGAATAGCAAGATAGAATGGATAGCAAAAAATAAAACAGAGAGTAGGGGTAAAGGGTAGCTACTCAGACTGGCAGCGGGGGGGCAGTGGTGTTCCACAAGGATCGGTATTGGGACCACTGTTGTTCACAATATACATTAATGATTTGGATTCAGGAATCAGCAGTACAATTTCAAAATTTGCAGACGACATCAAATTGGGGGGAGTTGTTAATACAGAGGAGGACTGCAATAAATTACAGCAAGACATTAATAAACTTGCTGAATGGACATTTAAATGGCAAATTTATTTCAATGTAGAAAAGTGTGAGGTGGTACATTTTGGTAGAAGGAATAAAGAAGTCACATACATCCTGGAAAATAAAAACCTAAATGGAGCACAGATGCAAAGGGACCTAGGGGTACACATACGTAATTCACTAAAAGTAGCAATGCAGGTTAATAATGCCATAAAAAAAGTAAACCAGGCATTGGGGTTCATTTCTAGAGGGTTAGAAATGAAAAGCAGGGATGTTATGGTAAATCTCTATAGAACCTTAGTTAAACCACACTTAGAATACTGTGTGCAGCTCTGGTCCCCACATTATAGAAGGTATGTAGAGGCATTGGAGAGGGTGCAAAGGAAATTCACAAGGATGATCACAGAATTGAGAGGTTATACGTATCAGAAAAGACTCTTCTCTCTTGAAAAGAGGAGGGTAAGGGGTGACCTTTTAAGGGTCTTTAAAATTATGAAAGGTTTTGATAATGTAGGCACAGGGAAGATGTTTCCACTTTGGGGGGGAGACCAAAACCCAGGGTTCATCAATTTAAAATAGTCATAAATAGATCAAATAGGGAAGTTAGAAGAAATTTCTTCACACAGAGAATAGTGGGAATGTGGAAGATGAGGAGTTGTTGAGGCAAATAGCATAGATGTATTTAAGGGGAAGCTAGACAGGTACATGAGGGAGAAAGGAATAGAAGGTTATGCTTGAAGGCTTAGTTGAGGAAGGGCAGGAGGAGGCTCATGTGGAGCATAAACACCGGCATAGACCAGTTGGGCCGAATGGTCTGTTTCTGTGCTGTATATTCTAATGTATTCTAATGTAAGAGGAGGGTTCTTGAGATGTGCCTTGAAGGAGGCAAGGGACTGAGCAAGGTGAACAGACTGTGGGATGGAGTCCCAAAGGGTGGAGGCAGAGAGGCTAAAGGCCCGATCTCCGATGGTGGGTCGGGCCAGCCTGCTGAGCGTGGAAGCAGACAGGTCGATTTGGTATTAGCAGAGATAGAAAGGTGCAAAGCTGTGGAGGGTTTTCAAGGCGAGGACAAAGATTTTTAATTCTATCCTCTGGGGTATGGGGAGCCAGTGGAATCAGACGAGGGTGGGTGTAATGGGGTCATGGAGCCTGGTACAGGAGAGGATACAAGTTGCAGAGTTCTGAATCACCTGCAACTTGTGAAGGGAAGAGTTGGGAAGGCTGACAAGCAGGGAGATGGCACAGTTGAACCTAGATGCATACGTTAAAAAAACATACAGGATACTAGGCTTTATGAATAGGGACATAGAATACAAAAGTCAGTAAGTTATGATGAGCCTTTATAAAACACTGGTTAGGCCTCAGCTAGTTACTGTGTTTAGTTCTGGGCACCACACTTTAAGAAGGATATGTAGGCATTGGAGAGGATGCAAAGGAAATTCACCAGGTTGGTACCTGGAATGAAGGGCTTCAGTTATGAGGAGAGGCTAGAGAAACTAGGTTTATTCTCCTTGGAGTAGAGAAGGTTCAGAGGAGACTTAATAGAAGTTTTCAAAATTATGAGGGGATTCGATAGGATGAAGAAGAAACTATTTCCACTGGCAGGTGGGTCGGTAACCCGAGGACACGATTTAAAATAGTTGTTAAAGAAACAGAGGTTAAGTGAGGAGAAATTTTTTCACACAGCGAGTTGTTTGGATCTGGAATGCATTGCCTGAAAGGGTGAAGGAAGCCGATTCGATAATGACTTTCAAGAGAGAAGTAGATAGTTATTTGGGGACAGCAAGTTTGGGGACGGCAAGGACTATGGGGAGAGCACGGGGGATTGATTTGTATAGCTCTTTTCAAAGAGCCGGAACAGACACAATGGGCCAAATGACCTCCTTCTGTGCTGTATAATTCTACGAAGGACGACTTAATGGAGGTGACATCAGAGTGGTAGGCTTTGATGTGGTCCAGCCAGATGGACCATTAAGTTATACTTGAGCAAAATGCGTTCAGTGGCACATACCGGTGGTGCCTTGAGAGCGCGGAGGTGGCTGGTGTACCAGGGTGATTTGCTTGAGTAGGAGGCAGTTTGGGAGGTGAGGGGCTTCAAGAATGGCAGATAGAGAGTTGTGAGAGTGACCGAGGAGAATATGTCGTTGCGCGGGGGGGGTCCAGAGGAGGAGGAGCTCAGATGACTCAAGGGCAGCGAGGAGGAAGTGGGGGGAGAGCTATTCTAATTCCCAGCTTCTCCTGCCATTTACCAGATCTGCATAAAGGTCAGGCTCCACCCGCTGTGTTGGGACCATGCTGACACATCTCAGTAACAAATCCAGTAGCAAACTGACTCCACTTTTCTCTGTAAGAAGGGCCTGACTGATTGTTTCTGAGCTGGATAGCAGACTCTCCCTGAGCTGTGTAATCAGTGGATGATGATCTACAGTCACCTCAGCTCAGCCCAGGTATGTGGTCAGTTGCAATGTTCCCTACCATTGACTTAGTTGCAATCAGGTGGCTCTGCACAGGCCTGGCACCCTGTCTGTAAGGGTCTTTGCTGCAGCAGAGTGTACATACCCACAAAGGGAACAGAGCACGCTTGGTCGAGTCCTGGTGATGAAATAGACAGAGCCACAGCTTACAAACCAGGAGCTTGTTGGTCAAATCATATTTCCTTCTAAATACAAGGGAATACAAGCCAAGTTTATGCAACCTGTCCTCATAATTTAAAACTTTAACCCCTGGTATTCTGGTGAATTTGTCCCAGCATTACCAGGATTGGGAGGGGTTGATCCTGGGGGTGCTGCTGGTCTCGTCCCTCTCCTGGTGTGTGAGCTTGTGGCATACATGTGAGGAGAAGTCAGGCTTGGCTGTGATACACACCCTCTGCAGTCAGGTGGCCTATCGACACACAGCCAAGCCTCAAGGGTGAACAACAGCCACATGGGTGATGCATTAGTGAGCAATCAGCATCCCCGCAAACAGAGGTCAGACCGGCAGACTTGCCACCCCCAGCTTTGATTCCAAGTTTTGTTAAGTGCCTTGGTACTATCAAGGTTACCCTATTCTTGCAGTCTTTTGTAATGTGTAAAGAATATGTATATAAAACTATATAATATTAATTAAGGGAAATGGAGAGGCCTGCCCCTTTTCCCTTTTAAAAGGGTTCTGTAAGATTCCAAGTTGCAGATGCTGCTGGCAGCACAGAGTTAGCAAGCAGCCTGCACTAGTTGCAACAAAGCAATAGATCCAGGGCTGCTTGATTGACAGTCAGCTAACAAGCAAAATAACACGTGGTTGCTAACTAATGATCATCATCCAGTACATACTGATGTGCGCAGGACAACTGTACAGTCAGGGTTGGTTTTATATTCCTTTACTAATGTAGTATTGTGCTGCCAGTTGTTATAGTTATGTGTGATTGTTATGTTTGCTCCTATTGCTGTATATTTTCCATTGTTGTGTTACAAGGTAGCCTAGGGTTGCTAGTTTTAATAAAGAGCTGTTGTTCCAATCGAATGTATCCTTGAGTCTCTAGTATTCTTGACAAGAAAAGAAGTAAGCACTTCGGAGGATAGTTGTCAACGTCGGAGGTCTACTCGTGCGAGCAGACTCCGATTAGACATTCCAGTTACCGGGCATTGGGGTTAACTGGGAATACCTGTTTGTGTGTGACTCTGACTTGGTTCAGTCACCTTTGAAATAGGGAGTCTCACCAACAGGGTTTAAAGAGAAGCAGAGGCCACTTAGTACAAAAACATTAATAAAATTTTCACCATTGCAGCATGTCCTCCTGATGTGAAAGGCGCTTTATAAATGTACATTTCTATTTAATAAATTATCAATTCCAAACCCGGTTCAATGATAAAACTGCTCATCCCAACTCCACTTGCCTCTTCGTGCATGTCTCTGTGTGTGTGTCTGCACTTACCCATCCTCCCTGGGTGCTCCATCTCCTCGCTCCCGTCCTCCTGCTCGGCCTCCTCCAGCCTGTGCTGGTCTGTAGCTAACAGACTCTCGGCCTCTGCATCTGATGCAATATCTGTTAAGAGCAGCAGTGAATGAGTTCTCCGTGCATTATGCTCTCTGCACCATGGCAGTGAAGTCCATGCCCAACAACAGCAAATTACATTTGTATAGCACCTTTATGTCAGGAGGATGTCCCAAGGCCTGTTCATGTCAAGAGAACAGCCCAGAGATCCCATCTGCCTGTTCTGGTAAACGTTAAAGATGCCATGGCACTGGACAGTCAAAGATTTGGACCCGAACTGGGGGTTGGGATCAGGAGGGCAGGGAGAGTGAGAACAGGAGAGTGACCGAAGGTGCGGTTGAAGAGGAGGGTCTTGAGACGGACGTTGAAGGAGACCTAGCAACAAATCCTTGCATTTGGTATAGTGCACTATTATGTTGGAAGGACCTCTCAAAGTGCTTCCCAGGAATTATGGTGCAAAGGAGTGAATGGCTAATTTTATTTGGGGGACTGTTGGCCAGGACACCGGGACAGAGAAACTCCCTTCTTTTTTCGAATAGTTCCATGTGATCTTTAACGTTCACCTGAACAGGCAGACGGGACCTCGGTTTAACGTCTCATGCGAAGGATGGATCCTTGCATCGGTAGGCAATGTCCGTCGTCAGCACAGTCACTGCAAGGAGCAACTGAGTTTCACTCGCTCCAGAGTACAACGACAAAATTAAATTTTTACAGTGCCTTTCGTGCTGGACAGTCAAGAGTTTCAGACCCGAGCTGGGGCTCAGGATTGGGGAGGGTGGAGGGCAGGGTCGAAGCAGACCGTGGAAAGCACGGTCAAAGAGGAGTGTCTTGAGATGGGAGGCGTGACGGAGGGACTGCGGGATGGAGTTCCAGCGGGTGGGGGCAGAGTGGTAGAAGGCCCGCCCGTCAATGGTGGGGCAGCGAAGCGGGGGACGTGAAGCAGGACGAAGCCTGCAATAGAGAGTTAGGGGGTTGCAGAGGTAGGGGGAAGCAAGACCATGGAGGGCTTTGAAGGTGAGGACTAGAATCCTGATCCTTACAACAACAAGATTATATTTGTATTGCGCTTTTCACATCGGGAGGACATCCCAAGGCGCTGGACAGTGTACAGCATTTCAGACCCGAGCTGGGGTCAGGGAGGGAGAAGGGAGGGGAAGGGGGGTGACCGATGACATGGTCGAAGAGGAGGATTTTGAGGCCAGTGAGGGTAACTTACTACATTAATTCATGAATAATTAAGGAATGATGCATCGGTAACTCCCAGGGACCAATCATCCCAAGTAAACAGTAGTTACATCTGATACAGGAACCTCAGACACTCTGCAGCTCAGCATACCATTGTCCTCGCCCCCTGCTCCCTCATCCCATGCCAGCTCAGGGCACGACTCCAGCTCATTGTCATCCTCCGGGACTGCAACACACAGAGAAGGAATTTACATCCAGACAACAGCACCATCCCACTGGCGACAATTCAATCAGAAACTATAATAAACTGACATCTCACACTGTATAAAGACAATAGCTGACATCTTACATTGTATAAAGATAATAGCTGATATCTCACACTGTATAAAGAGGATATCGACATCTCACATTGTATAAAGATAATCTGAAGTCTCTCACCGTATAAAGAGAATAGCTAATGTCTTGCTGTGTAAAGACAGTGAGGTGTGTTACACACCGATTTTACTGCCTCTCTTAGAAACCATCCAAAGATAAAAAGTTAAATGTGAATGCCTTCCCTCTCACGAGGTGTCGTTCAGTCCACGACAGAGTGAAAAATGGTCTTTTCTGACCTTTCACCCCCCACCACTGCCATACTTGCCCTTGCCCACCTTTTCAACAGAAAACAAGCAGCTCGGTCTGGCAAAAGAGAAATGAGTTACGTATTACAGCGCTCGGTCACGCAGGAAGGCAGTAGCTGAGCAAAGCAAATCCCCACTTCCACTGCCCCCACGCACACATCCCAATTACCAAAAGTGGCTACAAGCAAATGAATATTGGTTACTAACTAGAAGCAGGTTGGAGCAATAGGACCAAGGATTTCTGCCCTAGTGTGACACTCCTGGACACCTCGTATTTCAGGATGTCCCCACCTCTCACAGTGTGCACTACGTGTGTTATTGCAGCATCACAGTGGAGATGCTGCCCCCTTAGATTTCTTACAGAGATAAATAAGCACAAGTGACCAGGCATTCAGCAATCAGTGTGCAGAGAGAACAACTCCATCCCGAGCGGGGAAAGACCTGAAAGGTTTCCAAGGAGCCATGCGGAGGACCCCAGCATGCACTGACCTGCCCTGACATGCAAGGCAATGAGGCAAGGAAGAAAAAAAAGCAAAGGGAGCAGAGGAGAGCCGAAGAGCTGGACGGTCAAGCAGCCTTAAAAGAAACACAACTACCTCCGGACAGAGACTCCAACCAAGCCCGCACGGCTTCGTTCCGAACTGAGGGAGCGCTGGATGCTAAATTAAAAACAAACAAACAAAACAAAGAACAGAAATACAAAAGAAATTCAATGGAAGATGGTGATGGAACAAATGTTCAGTGTGATGTGCATGAAGAGTGAAAGCCCACGTGCACCAGCCTTTCAAGCTCCCCAAGTGTAGTGCACACAGCGCTGCAACCCCCGCACCCCCCACCAGCCTACTGGTCACAAGATGCACCCCCCCCTGCTAGTCATCAGATGTGAAGTCCAACACGAATTGCAAACTCAGCCTAATACCCCGCCCCCACCACCCATGTCACTGGCCGGCAAACACTGGACACTTCGCTGAGCGATGCACCCCCTCCATGACTCCTGTAGCACAAACTGTCACCTTCAAAGAGCAGGAAAGAAAAACGGTACAGAACAGAGGAAAGACTACAAACAAGAAGAGGTTTGTCAAACACCTGCTAAGATAAACCAGCAAGAATACAGATCCTGCAGCCGCTATAAAGGTTTACCTTGCCCCAGTGAGGCACTAATTGCTATCGCGTAGTCTCCAGGCTCGGTGTCTAGTCTGGTCATATGGTAAGCTGCGTGGTTTTAGCTGGTCCAGGAGTTGCCTCAACGCACACTCTGGAGTCCCCAAGCCTTGGCTCCTGCCAATCTGCTCCTAATACTTTCCGGAATTACAGAAGCAGGCTGCGTTCCTCCAGGGAGAGAGTGTGAATTTCATTCCAATAATCTATCTATGGAATTTCCATGTGCAGGTGGGATACCTGGAATTGTCAATTTGGTTTGGATACTCTTAAGCATGCGGATAGGTTTCCGCATGTGTCAGACACTCGGCTAACCAAAAAATCTCTGGGCTAGGTCAGTGGACCAGATAGGGTAAATTGGATCTCATTACGGCACCTGTCAAAATTGAATGGTCAGCAAGCACGTTTTGTACCTGCGGAGGGAGGGCTGCTGGGGGAGGCTGCATCTTCCTCGCCTCTGATGTGTGTCCAGTGCACGTCTGCTTTGATATCGAATGGGTCGATGGGGTTGACAATCTGCTGCACCCGCAGGCTCGAAGCTGAGCCATCAAAAAGTCAATCGATCCATGGAAGGATGGAGTGGTAGTGCGGGGGGAAGGGAGAGGGGGGGAGAAAGGGGTAAGAGAGAGAGAGAGAGGAGAGAATAAGTGAGTGATGAGATATCAATGGAAAGGAAAGCAAAAGGATTGTGAGATAACACAGCAAATCCAGACTGTTAAGAGAAAAGCAAGGAGTTTCACACTCAGACATGCACAGTACATATTGCACACTCCCTCTCCCTCATCAAGATCTTTACAAAGGAACATAGTTATTGCACAGGCAGGAGGGTCACTGGAGGCAGTCACCTACCGTAGTGCAGCACCAGTCACAAAGGCTCCTTTAACTTTCAAAGAATCACGGAATCATAGAATATTACAGCACAGGAGGCCTTTTGGCCAATTGTGACTGCGCCGGCCCTTTGGAAGAGCTAACCAATCAGTCCCACTCCCCAACTCTTTCCCTATACCCCTGCAAATTTTTCCTTTTCAAGTACCTATCTAATTCCCTTTTGAAAGTTGTTATTGAATTGGTTTCAATCACCCTTTCAGGCAATGCATTCCAGACTGTAACAACTCTCTGTGTAAAAAATTCTAGTCTCCCCTCTGGTTCTTTTGCCAGTTATCTCAAATCGATGTGCCCTGGTTACTGACCCACCTGCCAGTGGAAACAGTTGATCCCTATCTACTCTATCAAAATCCCCTCATAATTTTGAACGCCTCTATCAAATCTCCTCTTAACCTTCTCTGCTCTAATGAGAACAATCACAGCTTCTCTAGTCTCTCCACAAAACTAAAGTCCTTTATCCCTAGTACCATTCTGTAACTCTTCTCTGCATCTCCTTGATATCCTTCCTAAAGTGCCTTGATATCCTTCCCAAAGTGTCCTTCCTGTCCACATGGTTAATGTTTTCTGTTACTGCAGCCAGACAGGACGGTGACCACTCCGAAAAGCCTGCGTCACTCAGTTCACCCCAGCCTTCATCCGAGGCACATCCATATTTGGTGGATCAATGGGGTGTGGATCCACACAGAGGTTGGGTGACACTGTGCACACAGACAAACAGCACACTACACACGCAAAATGGGACCAGTGGATAATGAAGCTGTCAACCGCTTACAATGAACATACAGCCCCTGCTAGGCTGGGCTGCTTGCCCATCGTCCTCAGACCACGTACTGGCCAGTACCAGAAACTGCTTGATGTGCCAGCCCGGTGAAACCAGGGTAAAGTAGGATGGACCCAATGTCACACCTGAATTAGACAAAGACGACAGCAGTTTGGACGGCTGACAGAATACTCATTATCCAGCGCTTCCCAGTTGCACAAGACTGGCCACCACATAAACCAGTTTGGAGCATCTCCACCTTGATTCCCTGACTCACAACTCCAACCAAGGGATCAAAATTCTTCCCCCTAACACCACATTTCTCTTTTTGAAAGGCTGTTTACATTTTTGTAGATTTCATTCCGATTTATCTTATTTTGCTTTGAAAAGCAATGTAGGAAGGCCAGTTTTTGTCGCTAACAGGAGAAGCAGAAGGAGTGGTCTAGCAAGACAGCCTTGTGCAGCGATACAAAGCAGGATACCTCGGAACGGAAGACCGTCCTCTTCATCGGACAGGCGACGAAGCCAGAGTCCGAACTGGAGCTCCTTCTCCCAGGGGCTGTACTCCCCCTCTATACCAAAGGGAGCAGATACAAGAGAAACACAAAACAGCACAGCACACAAGACATTGCACACAGACAAGCAATCGGGACAGGAGAGAAGGGAGAATTAGGGTCAGAAATGGAAGTGCAGAGAACAACCAATCCATCAATACCTATGGGCTCCTTCCAGCTAGTGTTTCTCATCCACAAGTGTCCAGTGGCTCACCTCCTCTCGCTATCCTGCTCGAGGGGCGCTGTATAAATGCAAGTTGTTGTATATCTAAGATTCATGCCAGTGGGTCCCAGTTCACTTCTACTTCTCAACCAACATATCCTGCTGCACACTGTGATGAGTACAAGTTACTTCCTGAAACACAATCCCCACTTCTCCAGGTGTAGTAACTGCAACTGTCTTACGGGACTATCATTGTCTGGTTACAGGGATTGTCATTGCCTGGTTACAGGGTTACCCAGTTCACATCACTGAAGCAGGAGAAGCAGCGCTTCTGGACTGATGTCCATTCCATCAATTAGCTGCAAACCTCACCTTCGCTGGATTCAGACTCTTCCTCGGCCTCAGGATCTGTGTCTACCCCAGCTGTGCCTTTCAGCAGCTGATGTCTCCTCACTGCCTCATTCCATGGAACTCCACCCAGGTCTGATGGTGGCAACTCCTCACCTTCTTCCTCTTCCTCCTCCTCTTCATCTTCCTCCTCTTCCTGCTCCTCCATCTCTGATTCAGAACTGCTGCAATTGAACCAATAATAATAATAACCAAGAGACACACACACACACAAGTCAGACAACAACTGCAAGTTACATAGCATCCTTCACACAAGGTAGTGTCTCAGAGCGCTTAGAATGAGACAGAATGAAATCATATATCCAACGTTAACAGTAAGACATAATAATAATCCTTGGATTTTGTATCACGTCCTCACGTCAGGAGGATATCTCAAAGCTCTTCACACGATATTCTGCAGTTTGGTGGTGAATCTTGTGGGTGGACACAGCAGCCAATTTTGTGCACAGCACTGTCCCACAAACATCCATGAAGTGAATGACCAAATTTATTTGGGAGAGTGTTGGCCAGGACACCAGCTGAAATTCCTTTCTTGTTTGAAATAGTGCATAAGATCTTTAATGTCCATCTGAACAGGTAGACAGGAACTTAGTTTAACAACCAAAGGACGTCACCCCCAGCAATGCAGCTCTGTATTGGGAGTGTCAGTATCAATGCATCCCAAGTACTGACGTGGGGTATGAACCCACGACTGTTTGTGGGACATTGCATGCGCAATTGGCTGCCGCGTTTCGCCCACAAATGTACGGTCAATTCACTTTACAGTCTATTCTGTGAAGCGCTTTGAGCCTTTGAGAAGACGTGAAAAGCGCTGTATCAAATGCAAGGATTATTATTATTATAAGTGCTTTGCGACATCTCAAAGACTTGATAAAGCGCTATATCAAATGCAAGGATTATTATTACTATAACCCACAAGCAAGAGATGAACACTTGGACAGATATTACCAATGTACAGCCTGGCCCAATCTCATGATAGCAGCTCCACTGTGAACAGTACAACACACCTGCAGCACGCAGCAGAGAAGACACACGAGCTGAACAGTACCAGACAGCAGTGAATTGTTACTTTTTACATACTCGGTGCATACAAGAACACACAGACACACCAGCATCAACTGAACATATAGTAGACATACGACCCAACAACAACTTGCACTTATATCACACCTCGACAGTGGCGCAGTACGACACTGAGCTGGAGGGAGGCGGGAGATGATAGAAAGCATGGTCGAAGAGCAACGCGACCACCAATGGTGGAACGAATGCACAAGGGACAAGTAGAAGGCTGGAGCCAGTTGAGCAGAGTGACGAGTAGTGGACTATATAGTAGACCCATACAGTAACAGTCTGTAACCCAACATTCAGGAGCTGATAGAAACACACGAGCTGTACAGTAAGACTAGAGTGAATTGTTCCCTTTTAACCAGCACATACAGGATATTCCCAACACCACCAGGCGGTGTGGGTGATTTTGTGACAGTATACTGACCTGCTCGCAGGCTCCTGGCTGCCTTTCCCCAGACCACTGCTCAAGTTGTGCTCAGCGAGGGTCTCCTCAGGCACTTCCTCAAGCTCCTCTTCACGTTCCAGGGAGACCCGGATGTTCTCCAGCTCAATCCTCTCCGGCGTGCCACGCAGACGCTTCGGCTGACTGGGCTCTTCCACAGCAGCTGCCAGGAGAAAGCCAAACGTACAATGAGCACCAGCATTCACATTCCCCTCCACTGCACACAGCAGTGCGTGGGGGCTGCTGTCTGGGAACAAGGGGAGACTTAAGAGTGAGTTACAGAGGGAGGGAGACAGAGAGAGGTGGAGATGGAGTTACAGAGGGAGAAAAGGGAGAAGGCAGAGATATAAGAGCGACAGACAGAGGGATACGGAGAGAGATAAAAGAAGGGTGGAAGGGGCTGAGGAAAAAGGAAAGAGAAATGGGGCAGTCCCTTTGAACTCTCACCTCTGGTGTGGGTCAGATACAGAGTAAAGCTCCCTCTACACTGTCTCATATAAACTCCCAGTTCAAGTATAGCAGCAGATAAAAGATAACTGCTCTCTCTACATTTTCCCCCAAATTGTCCCAACCTGCCAACTAGATTGTGAAAGGTTCTATTCTCACGGCCAGTGCAAAAGTTTTGGTCACTTTTCTGCTGTACTGGTTCAGCCAATAATGACAGTGCAGAGTGGAGACTTTCACCACCTTGGACTGGGCACGAGGGGTCCCAGAAACAAAACTGTGTCTAATCACAATTCTACCTGACTGTATGGAATCCATCAAACGACCGCACGAATTGGAGGAGCTTTTCCTTCTCTGTTTTTCCACTTTCTCCTTCCGCTACTTCTGAAAGCACTGGGCGCCTACAACACCTCGATCTAATGGCCAGTCTCCTGCGGGAGCCGAGGCCGGGAGCTTGACAGCAGCTGAGCTGGATCCTCTCCTCACCCAACAGCAGCGCCACACACTCTCCAGCGAGAGGAGCTCGGACTGGAGATAAGAAGCGGAAACACTGGCGGCCCCCCCCCTCACACGCACACACACATATCAGATGCACTGAGGCCAACTGTAGCCCCTTTTAACTCTGAACAGATTGGGGGTTTGAAATCTTTCTCACTCTGCTGGTTCTTTCTCACCTCCAACTGCTACATGAGCTGCACTTCCTTGACCACTGCAAAAGGCTGTTCTTCACTTCACTGCTGGGAAATGCAAAACAAGGGCACCACCAACCTGACCTCAGAGCTGACCATCACTGGTGAGGGATAATGGGCCTGTTCACTCCTGACCTGGGAAAAGGCTCTGGTGATGGGTAAGCAGGCACTCGTTCGAGCGTTGCCCAGTGTGACTCAGCAGCCGACACTTGAAATATTTACAATTGGCAATTGAAATGTTGGGACTTTTTCATTGCAAAGGTTAGGAGTGACCTGACTGACAACAGCAACTTGCATTTATACAGCACCCTTCACATTGTTACTGTCTCAGAGCACTAAATAGTGACAGAGCCTGACGCCGAGACAGGGGGAGGTGAGCCGTAAGCACGATCAAAGAGGAAAGTCTTAAGGCAGGAATATGAAAATGGGGAAGGAGGAGGCAAAGCGGAGAGGTTCAGGAAGAGAGTTCCAGTTTCGAGCTTCATGCCTGAAAGTACGGCTGCCGATTGTGGAACGCAGGGACGAGGGACAAGCAGGAAGGCCGGAGCCAGTCAAGCGGATGTGGCAGGTGGTGGCGTGGGGAGTAAGCAGGTCAGAGAGATAATGATTACGAAGGGCTCTGACAGTACAGATCGTTGACAGTACAGACAGTACATAATCAGTAACAGATTATATCTTGACCATCACAAAGTGCCTTGAAGGACAGGTAAGACAGCTCAAATGCAAGGATTATTATTGTTACTACTATAAAAGTTCACCACTTCACAGTATAGCCCAGGAAGTGCTTTGGGACGTGATAAAGTGCTCTTCAAACACAAGGATTATTGTTTTAATAGATGACTGAAGAGGGAAAATATTAAAGGGTATGCAGAGGGAGCAGGGAAGTGTAATGAGGTTAGGAGGCTCATATTGAGAGGAACACCAGCACAGACATGATGGGCTAAATGGCCCATTTCAGTCTGAGTATCTCCCTGCATTCGTGGCTGTATCTGTAACCACGATTCTGTGCTGAAATATTCTGTAGTTCTGGTTCTTTCTAACTCAAAGAATGGCTCTGGCCGCATAGTGCTTCTTCACGGGAAGAGCACAGATTCACAGCCTTCAGCACCCTTGCTGTTCCACCTCTTTCTTCTCAACTCAATTCAAAACTCCAGGGCTAGTGACAGGAGTCAAAGAGCCCAGTTCAACGTAACAGTGCTGCAAAGATTAATCCTACATCTCATTCATTTCAATTTGCTAAATTCAACTCCTCCCTCACACTGTCAGTCTGAGTAACTCCCCTGGTTAGTGACTGTATCTGTTACTGATGTTAATCCCCTCTCAGTGTCAGGCTGAGTGAGTCACTCCCTGAGTTAGTGGCTTTATCTATAATCAATGTGAATCCTGCTCTAGCGCTTAAAACAGCCAAACTACACAGGAAGGCTCCAGATTTTATTCGAGAAAAGGTGCAATTGAAAAGCACTGCACGTTCAGAACATTTAAAGCAGCTTCAATGAAAGGAGCATCGGAAGCACAGCCAAGGCGTCCGGTTACTCTCCCAGCAGCCTGTAGAACTACATTGGCCATACTCTCTTTATGAGAGCCTGGTGAGGCACAGGAGCTATGCTTTCAGTCCCACAAATGGGTGGGGAGTAGGCGGGGGGAAGAGAATGGGTCAGCACACAACACAATCCACGGACTAAAATAATTCAGAGAGAGGTCTAACAAGTTCTGTGCTTCACTGAAGGGAGTGCACAGCTGGGTGATAACTGATGGAGGGTGAGCTCAGGAGAGCTCGCAAACTCCGTGAGGTGTGATCTGTCGCTCTTTGTCCACCAGCTCATCTGCTGTGATCTCCTCTGACTATGGCAGGGAGACGCCAGACTGAAGATTATAGGGGTGTCACCACACCCAGCAGCTCAGGCCTCAGCACATAGGAGGCTGCAGGCTGTGTTATGTCCTAGGAATGAGGAAACCAAGAGCAGAGTATCAGTGAAGAATTAGGGAGTGGACATGATTCCTGGGAAAGGATTCTCCAAAAACAAGGGGAGGGGTAGGATTGAAGCATTTTGAGTCTCCCTTCAATCTTCCGTCTGGCAGAAAATTGGGAGGAAGAAGGGACTAGTACGTCAACCCACTTTGAGTTAACCACAGAAGGCGTGTTGAACCTCGGGGCAAATGTGTCAGATGGCGTCAGGCAAAGATAGAGTGGGTTTAGAGTGGCAAGGCTGTGACTCCATCTAAAGAGAGCAAAATGGTCCCTTTCAACTCAGTGATGATAATGTTGCAATTGTGCAGTGTCAGATACATGGCCTCAGTCTCAAGAGAGAACGAGGCACCCACACTGAGAGCCCCACTGTCGGAGACCCTTCCTCAGCTCAAGTTGTCCGGCGAGCCGAGAGATTTGTATATCCAGTGGTTCATCCCCCGGTACATCTTGGAGACCCTGCCTTTCATCGTGCAGGAAATCCAATCTGAGTTATCAAGGACTGAGCAGCAGCTACCTGGGGAGTCTTCCTGGCAGGCGGTCTGGTAATGGCCCATTCCAGAGGATATCAGAGTCGGGCGCGGACGGGCAGACGCTTTTTCCTGCACCAGACAAGAGACAAAATAAAGCCACATGTTACAGTACAACCGGTCATTTCCGGTCCCAAACCATTTACCAATGAACAGATATCTTCTCCCTGAAAGGAATCTCGCCATCAATATTGAGTTTCAAGACTCGAACTGATAACCTCTCACACGGGTTATACAATACATTGTATTTTACACAGTCAATTCACCTTACAATATATTCTGTGAAGCTTTGATACGTCTCAACAATGTGATAAGGCTCTATTGCAAATGTAAGATTATTATTTTTCCTTGTTTGGGGGGGAAGCTCAGCTACAGATGAGATAAACTGTCTGAGACCTACATCAGAAGAGCTGGAAAACTTAAACAAGGTTCAATCTTCTTCCAGGCCACACGCTGGGAACTAAAAGATGTCGGGGTAAAAAATGCGTCCATTGTCGGGTTTGTGCAACACTGAATCCTGCCGGGACCTGGACCTGAGACTTATCAACCCGCGGGAACTCCGCTCTGCATTCCCGGAAGGAAATCCTGGCATTCTCAAGGGCGGGGTTGATACACACCAGGTCTCCGGAAGGATTCAATAGTTGGAAATATGGTCATTATCTTCAAATCTCTCAATTAAATTTCTAATATCTCTGCTCATTCAGTTGGTGTCCACATTTCCATGATCAACTATTCTGTGATGTTCCAGTATGGAAAGCCGCAGTATAACTGTAGCTGATGTTGATCAATCACTTGTAACATTTGTGACCTTGATGCTGAGCCTGGAGAGGTGACTAAGTGTTGTGGTTCATACCCGGAACCGAGATGTAGCCTCTGCTGGTCGCTTCCTGGTTGAAGACTGACGGTAATGAGGTTTGCAGTAAAAGTTTCCTGCGGGGAACAATGAGCAGACACAAAAGTCAGGGTTTCAATCATTCTCTCTGACACACCTACTCTCCCCGAGCCCAGCTCCTCTGCACAGTCTGTAGGGTGTGAGCTTAGTTAAAGACTTTCTCAGCCAGGTTTCAGCACAGGTGAGAGCTGGCAGGGTCCCAAACACTCAGTCCAGGACGTGCTTACAGTCCTGTAGTGTAGTGTTAAAGCACTTGCCTTGCAAGTGAGAGGGCCCGAGTTTGATTCCCGGGCAGGGCGAAAACTTAGGCAAGTTTCCTTACTCCCCACGCTTCTGTTTACCTAGTAGTAAGCAGGAACCCGGGTGCTAGTCGCTTGGCGAATTACTTTCTAGCGGTAATAATCCCCCCAAAAAAACTTTTGGTCACTCAATCCACAACTGTTTGTGCACAATTGGCTGCTGCGTTTCGCCCGCAAAATACAAGCCACTTTACAATCCACTGTGAAGTGTCTTGAGACATCTCAACAACGTGAAAAGGAGTTATATCAAATGGAAGAATTATTATTCAAAATGCAAGGATTATTATAACAGTGTGAAACGCCCAATAAGAGCAGGCTTGGGATCTCACTGTGTGAACAAATCAGTCACAATTAGAGAAAGAATTCAACTGACATGAAAGATCCCTCGGTCTGTTTGGAACAAAGAGTTGTCCAGGCTGTGTCCAATGAACAGTTCAGTCCACACTGTACACAGTCCATGCCCCAATATGCAGCTAAGTAAATACTGTACCCAGTTCAGTATAAGCTGCACACAATCCATGAACCCAGTTCTCAGCATAGTTACACAATCTGTTCACCCAGTGTACAGTTCAGTCCATACTGTACATAGTCCAAATTCCCAGTGTACAGTTTAGTGTTCAGTTCATGTTGTAAACAGTCCGTGCACCCAGTGTACAGTTCAGTAAATATTGTACACAGTCCGCACTCCCAGTGTATCATTTGGCAGAGATCCCAGAAGTTTTGTCTCTCATTGAAGCAAAGTAGGTCACTCAGTCTGCTTCTTGAGGGATGGGACAGCACATGGTTTCTGCTCATTATCCCCCACTCCTCACAGTAACTCTCCCTCCAGTAATTGCCCAATAAAGACTCCCAGAGCAGGGAAGGAGCAGCAATGTGTGGTGTGTGTAGTGTAGCGTAGTGGTTAGCGGGCTCGTCTCGCAAGTGACAGGCCCCAGGTTCAATTCCCTGGCAGGGTGAAACCTTACAACAAAAACAAAAATACATTTGTATAGCATCTTTCACGTCAAGAGAATAGCCCAAGGCACTGGACAGTCAGTTTCAGACTCAAGCTGGGGGTCGGAATTGGGGAGGGTGGAGGGCAGGGTGATCGAAAGCATGGGCGAAGAGGAGGGTCTTGAGATAGTAAACACACTTCACAATATATCACATGAAGCGCTATGAGAAGTCTCAATGATAAGACTCTATCAAATGCAATGATTTGTATTATTTGTGTTTAATCTTACCATCATTCGGGTTGAAGGCGTAGGAGGAGAGCCGCAGGGTGGTGCCGCAGTAGTTACATTTGAAGCAGCCTCGATGGAAAAAAACACCTTCTGCGCTCAAACGCTCCATGACGTACACCCGCTTTCCACAGAAGTAGCACACGTCACTGTCACCCATATACTGAGAGACAGGCATCCTCATCGATGGCTGTGGAGACACAGGGAGGTGGGGGTGGGGGGAGAAGAGGAGAGAGAAGCGCAGTCAATCGCTGGAGACCATGGACAAGCTCAGAAGCTGCCACTGCCCAGACTCAAACCTCTCCACAGTATCGGTCAGGGCACTCAAACTCTTACTTTGTTTTCCAAAAGCAGCACCACTTCAAGAAATAATCAGTCACAAAGCACAGCTTGAAATTGATAAGATTCCTTAAGTATCAAATGTGAACTGGTCCAATCAGCCCCTCCCCCTGTCTCCGATAGCATACTGAATTCTAATGTCCTCAAGCCAGGTCGTTTTTCATCAATGGATCTGGACTGCTGCTTAACAGGGTGCTGCCTTTCCCGAGAGTTGGGAGAAAGAGTCACCTCCTGCGATCTCTCCAGCTGGAGAGTGATTGACAGTGGGGATCACCTCCCAAACTCAGCAAAAGCTACCCAGTTTTAATGACTGCCATCTGCCCCAGCTGAGATCAGCAACGGCACAGAGCAGGCATTCGAACCTCTGACATTCTCAATCTCTCTGGCTCATGTTCACGATGGGCAGTGGCCTCAGAAGACTGTTCTTTTGTGCACAAGTGTCAACAGTAAAAGCAGTCACTAATCACTTGTAAGATTTGGCAGTGAGCATTAAGGAGCTGAACCTGACATCTCCTCACCCAGATGACATACACATGCCAGCAGACAGTGTGTGCCAAACAGGGGCAAACAGCAGAAGTCCTATCCCTAACCTAGGGGAAGGCCTGGGGCTAAACTCAGCACGAATCAGTTTAGAACCAGTGAGCTCCTGGTCCGTAAACTATATCGCCGTGTCTGCCCCGGATTCAAATTCACAATCTGGATCCCCAATGAGAATATGAGGAACAGAGCTTCCATCTCTCCGTTTTATTTGTTTATAACAATATTTTGTTGGGAAATCACAGGAGGAGGCCATTCAGTCCTACAGAGCCTGCTGTGAAATTTTATTGGATGGTGTTTGATCTTTAAATACCACCCCACCCCCACCTTTTATCCACATCCCTCAACTCCCCTTATTCCCATGATCAAGGCTGACACAGCTGGAGCTCTGCAATGTTGAATTTTAGGTGTGGTGTTAAAGCCTCTTCTCGCCCCTCTGATTTCAGCCTTCAGGCACACCCACCAATCAATCCCCCTCCATCACAGTGTCTGGCTGTGACAATTCTAGCCTTTAAATAGCCAAGAAGGAAGAAAGGAAAAAGAAGAGAATGTCTTTAGAGTCTTTACCCTCAGGAACTACACTGGCAGGTTTTATGGTATCTGAAAACGTCCATCCTTCTGCAATATTCAGTGTTTTGGATCAGAGCTCAATGCTAATGCACACACTCACTCACTCACCAGGACCCGTTTCTCCTGGAATGGCCCAGGCACATCTTGGCGGTGAAGCTGACTGGTGATCTGTTGTGCCAGTGAACTGACACCCCCTGTGTAAAGCCTGCTACATCCCTATTATCAGGAGCAAGAGAGACCGAGAGAGCAGGGAGAAAAGAGCAAATGGAGGGTAGAGAGGAGGAAGGAAGGGGAAAAAGAGAGGAAGGAAAAGAGGAAGGGAAGAAGAGAAACAGAAGGAAAGATGAGGAGAAAGGGAAGAAGACAGTGGGGAAGGAGGAAATTGGAGATTGGAAATGAAAATAGTAAGATTGAGAATAGACCAAAGAAAGCTAAGCAATAAGCAGTGGCACTATTTGAAGTGAAGGAGACATCAGTAATAAAGCACCAGCTTTCTTTCCAATTCACCTTCCACAAGCAGCCACCCTGTGTTAGAGAGCACACATGGGAACCAGCAGGCAGGTTTAAACCTTAAAAAAAACGTAGCGCACAGCAAATGGTCATGACAGCCCCACGCTATATTGCCATATGACCGACCACTCCACCCTATACCCCCACCCCCAACCTTGCAACTCCATTCTTCATACGACACAACTCATCGCCAACTCCACTTGACCCTATTGCCGACAACCATCCAGCACAGCCCGGACCCTTCAACCCTGGACCAGACCCTTCAACCCCGGCCTGGACCCTTCAACCTCCATCCCCACAGCCTGCTCATGCAACTCCACAAATCCGTTTATCACACCCCACAGTCATGCCATTCCTCTGTCCCATATGAGCCGACCGCTCAGTCCACAGAGCAGAGCCATGCAGAGCTGAGCAAACGCCAGGCTCTACCTCACGGTATGCACTGCGGGAAGGCAAAGAGGGAGGAGCTGAGGGGCTGCATCTAATCGGTTGTTGCCACTTATCGGCACACACATCCTCAGAGAGTATATCCATGTCCTGAGGAAGACATATCACACATCAAAAGGGAGAAAGTGAATCAGTGGAGGTGTCACACACAAGAGACATTTCTTGTATCTACTTAAACATTGCTTTAACTCCATCCAGTACTCTGCAGGGTGTGTGCTCATTGCCAATGGTGCTGCCCTTTGGATGAGATGTTAAACTGAGATTCTGTCTTGCTGTTCAGGTGGACATTAAAGATCTCACGGCGCTATTTGAAAAAGAGAGGGCATTTTCCCTGTGTCCTGGTAAGCAATTCCCTAGATAAAATTGGTCATTCACTTCATGGCTGTCTGTGGGATATTGCTGTGTGACACTGACTGCCGCGTTTGCCTACAAAATATACAAGTCACTCCACATTACAATAATTCCTGCTAAGCACTTTTGTCCTCATGACATGAAAGGCACTATATCAATTTGAAGGATTATGATTTATTATTTAAATTAATGTACAGGACAGGATTTTCACTTCTTAAAAGCATACTCCCAGAACCCACATGCACTCCAGGCGACAGTACTGCATGTGGTGGATGAGGTAGAGACTGTCTGGAAGATGCCAGTCCAAAACTGGAGACCACAAAGTATTGTGAGATTGCTCAGGTGCACCTCTTGGCTCAGGAACCCAATGCTGCCACTAGATTGCACCTATAGTAGACAGTCCAGAGAAGGCACCATTGAATAAGTGTCACCACCTGCTCAAGAGGCGAGGCTGGGATCAGTGCTACACTGCAACTGGCATGGAGAGACAAGACCATGCTGTGACTCAACAAGAGAAAAGGTTGGGATCATTACCACGCTGAAGAGGCAAGACGGCAAGATGCAACACTGTGACTGGCATGGACAGACAATAATGGGATTAGTGCCACATTGAGGTTGGCGTCGAGAGAATTGGGTGGGATCAATGCCCCACAGACTGGCATCAAGAGGCAGGACTCTGATTATTTTGCCACTATTAAACTGGAATCGAGAGGCAGGTTGGGATCATGCCACACAGACTGGCATCTAGTGGTAAAGCTGGTAAGAAGCTGGCACATTAGTTACCATCATTGCACAAGGGGTTTGGAGAAAGAGAGAACTATAAAGACTGTACGACACCACAATATAAAATAACATTCCGGCTACATGAGACACGGCACACAGCCACTCCATGCATTGTCATAGCTCGTTAAGGAGTGAACTGGAGGAAAGAGAACGACGAGAGAACCTGGTATGAGGGGAGATCGTTGTGATTGCCAGTGAGATGGGAGAGTTTTACCGGAGGAGTGTTGGTGAGAACACTTAGTGAGGGTTATTCTCATTTACACATGGGAGGTTAGTCCCGAGAATTGAAAAACCTCTGCAATGCCCCACCCAGCGCTGCCAGGTGAGGTACAGCATAATTTAGATTTGGTGTTAAGCTGTCCTATTCTGTGCGATTCCCAGGTCAGGTGGTACTGAAGGGAATCTACAGCTCCTTCTACACTCTGATCAATAGAATCAGTACAATGAAGGCACAAAAGTGCCAAACCCCAAATTGAACAGAGCATCTCCAACTCCACTAGTCTCAGTTCCCCGTAGCCTCAACCGAACGAGACTGTGGGGCAGTATGTGACCCACAGGCCCATGCCACCGGGCTGCCTGAACAACAAAATCTAGAACAAATTTAATTCAATCCCACAGTGAAACACAGTATCTAACCTACTGCACCAACCAGTCCTACAGTGAACAGTGTCTAACTCACTTTACCACCAGTTCCACAGTGAACACTGTCTAACTCACTTTACCACCAGTCCCAGTGAACAGTGTCTAACTCACTTTACCACCAGTCCCACAGTGAACAGTGTCTAACCCACTGCACAACCCAGTCCCACAGTGAAATAGTGTCTAACCCACTGCACCACCCAGTCCCACAGTGAAACAGTGTCTAACCCACTGCATCACCCATTTCCACAGTGAAACACACTGTCTGATCCACTGGATCACCTAATCCCAGTTAAATAGTATCTAACCCACTGCATCACATAGTCCCACAGTGAAACAGTATCTAACCTACAGCACCACCCAGTCCCACAGTGAAACACACCGTCTGACCCACTGGATCACCTAGTCCCACAGTTAAATAGTATCTAACCTACTGCATCACCTAATCCCACAGTGATACAGTGTCTCACCCACTGCACCATCTAGTCCCACAGTGAAACAGTATCTTACCCACTGCACCATCTAGTCCCACAGTGAAACACACTGTCTGACCCACTGGATCACCTAGTCCCACAGTTAAATAGTATCTAACCTACTGCATCACCTAATCCCAGTGATACAGTGTCTCATCCACTGCACCATCTAGTCCCAGTGAAACAGTATCTCACCCACTGCACCATCTAGTCCCACAGTGAAACAGTATCTAACCCAATGCACCATCGAGTCCCACAGTGAAACAGTGTCTAACCCACTGCATCACCCAGTCCCACAGTGAAAGGACAGCATCTACACACTCCCATAACAGAAGGCTTTTCGGTCTCCCAAACACGTGTTGTTAAGTGTAAAATATAAGGTGGTTAACTGGTTTACAGCACTCCAGTTACTGAAATAAGTCCACCAAAGACGGGAGCAAACAGGTTTAAGTGGAGGTATTAAAGGAGAAAAGAGAGGAGAGAGCAAAGTGCCATCAGCCTCGGGCACATGTGGAGCTAGCAACCCATGCTGTGACATCACCTGTCGGCAGCAGGGGTGAGCGGGAGACTGAGGCGAGGACAGGGAGATTATCTTCTTGGGACATGTTCCAGATCGGCTTGGATCTCTGCCCTTCATCAAAACAATGGAGAGAGGGGGAGAGGGAAAGAGAAGGAAGTAAATAGGAACTGTGAAAGGACACTGAATGCAACCAAAAGATGGACATCCAGTGTAGGATGTTTGTTAAAACACCCAATTACACAACACAACAGTGCAAAAGCCCTCCATTTACCCAATTTGTATCTCCACATGAGAAAACTTGTGTTAACCCCACTCTCCCACTTGCTCCTCCTACCATTTAATAATATTCCTGCTCCTAAAGCTGGCCAATTCAAGGATTATTATATTTTCATACTGAAAAATGTGAAGGTCTCTGCCACTATTTGTAGAACTGTTAAGATTTACAGCACAGAAGGCCATTCGACCCATCATTCTGTGCTAGCACAAACCTTTCAATCCCATTTACCTGGCTTTCCCCATCAACCCTGTTGTTGTGGCAGAGAGGTCCACATTCCCACCACCCTCTCGACTGCCTGATCTGACAGATTATCCAGCCTCAGTGCAGCACTGCCACGGCTCCTGGTACAACATATTCTCGTGCAGACGCACACTGAACTTCCATCGCAGCACTGGGAATGCCTTTCACCTACAGATGTGCATTCAGTCACTCAGTGTCACTGGGGAGCAGTAGCAGATCAATCCAACCCTTGAAGTGCAGTTTGGAGGAATCAACCTGGATAAAAACAGGTGTACATGCACACCTGCACCACCACCCACACACATGCTCACATCCATTCATCTGCAGCCATACACTCTCATTTACAACCACCCCACTCCCACACATACACTTACACCCTTTCATTTACACCCACATGTATATGCACACAGACTAATATACGCACAGCTACACCGACATAACCACATCAATCCCCCAACATATGCACACTATAATCATTTTGATGAGCCTCCCGAAGCTGAGAACGCTGTTCTGCCTCATGTGCCCCGTCACTGACACGAGCACACCAATGACATGGCTCGCCTGCTGCCTGTGCTTTCACTCTCCCACTCACCGCAGTTTCAACAACACCTCAGAAGGTGACTGCGCTGTAGGGGACAGCGAGGGAGCGACAATGGTGAGAACGAACACTGAGGCAGCAGAGTTACTGAGGAGCTCACAAGCATGGTCACACGAGCCACACTTCATGGGCCAATTTACCTGTCTCCACTGTGGTGCAGGAGCAAGCCGTGAGGGGTTCCTTTGCCTGCCGCCAGGTCGCTGGAGAAGGCGTTCCTTATGGGGGAGGTGCGGACGCTGCACAACCAGAGGGCGGGGAAGGAGGGTTGGGGGAGGAGCGCGACCCAGCAATAGAGGAGGCGTAGCAAAGACAGGTCGGCAGGTAGGAGACACGAGGAGGCAGTGATAGACAAAGAGAAACGCAGAATTAAACATTTGCTGGAAAAATACATTAAAAGATTGCGACCTATGGGATTGGAGAGCTCCCAATGGTATAACAGAGTCTCTACTCAAAACTGACTGCACCGAAATATCAGCATCTCAGTAATAAACTGCAGGACACCATCCCACAGTGAAGCCTCATCACTGGCTCAGTAACAAGAACTCTGAACCCTCTGAGTGATATCAATTGATACCTAATCTGTGCTAACCCATATCCTATTCTCTGTGCTAAACAGTATCCCATTGTGGTACGCTAATCCATGTCTCACGGTCCCGCCAACCCGTGTCTCACGGCACACCAATCCATGTCTCAATGTACTCTAACCCGTGTCTAGCTGTATACTAACTAGTGTCACACACTGTAACCCATGTTTCACACCAGTACACTTACACTATGTCGTAGAACGCATGTGATTAATACAGAGAGATTAGTGGCAATGGAGCTAAATATGTTCCCATGTCTGCGGATAATGACGAGATTTCCCAAGACATTTACAAATGTATAAACACAAGCTGATAACACAATCCAGGCACAGTCTCTCCTTGAACCTCGGGAATCCAATCACATCAGTGATAACGTGAGAGATTTGGTAGAGAAACACTTACCTCACTGAGCTCTCACTCCACTCTGTCCTCAAATATTTTTTGGCGACACAACCATATTGGGCCTCCTTACCTGTCTTTTAAAGGCTGAAGATGGGCCAGGAGCATTCACCTCGAATTTTGACAGCACAGACTTTACATCAACTGGCTTCTCAGGACGACAATCTTCCTGAAAGACATCAACAAAGCAGACCAAAGGTTAGAGACCAAAGCTCACCACTCCGAAGCTTTTCCCTGTTGTTTCATACACCTCTTACCCCCTCATATCCTCACTCCTATATATCCTCAGATACCTTCACACCTATGTCCTTCCTATATCCTCACGCCTTTTATATGCCATAGAAGTGCAATATAAGTGTAAGGCATATATTTTTTTGCCTCCCACTGCATATATCTTCACATCTCTTACCCGCCTTTATCTTCATACCCTTCTCCTATATCTTTTGTTTCCACACTTTTTTATATTTTATACTTATATTTCCATTCTTTCTCAATTTTTCCATTTTTAGCCATGCACCCAGAAAACTTTATATTGGTCACTGGTCCAGTTTCATTCAAAGCCCTTGTATGATAAACATTACTGAGAAGTTTCAGGTCAAATTGAGCCAAGGCAGCGAGAGGGAAAAAAACAAGATATGAGTGAAAAGCTCAGGACACTCGGTCTCCAACGTGTCCTCATAATAACTTCCAGCACAAGATTCTGTGTGTTAGCTTTGTCAAACCCACATTTGTCATGAGCCACATTAATGTGTGGGTCACACCAGTTGAAAAATGTTATACCAGAAACGAACATGTGAGTATCCAATTATGTTCAACTTGAATCAAAGACAAATGAAACAACAGTGCAGCATTGCCATTACAACAAAGACATTGCACACGTGTACATCGAAAACACTGGGGGGGTTCAAATATTTCACACTCAATTCAAACTTGTAGCAATTACGCAATAGAGTTAATTTTCAAATGTAACACTGAACCTTGTACTCTTGCACGTGGAGGTTGCTAGTATTTAATTGATACCCACTTACATAGGAAGAGAGCAGAGACATCATGAGGTGCAAGTTATATTCATTTAAATGCATGGAAAATGATTTGTGGGAATTGTGAGTTTAATAAATAAATAAATCTATATCATTATATTGTCACTCGAAAAACATGTATCAATTGAGTTTACTCATTTTGTTACATTATTCAGATGAGTAATATTTGAGATGATTATTTCAATTGAATATTCAAAAAGTCTGACTAGAGAATTTTTTACCGAATATCTATAACACGTTTAAAAAGCCCAGCACATCTCTCTCTAAGCAAATTATCAACGGAAATTATGAGACACATGCTTTCTGCTGAAGCTGACGATGGCTGTGAGCCATACCGAGTGCCTTCATAAGCCACTCGAAGAAAACTCCTAGCCCCCACCCTTGGAGTCAGCTGAACTCCTCCCTCTCTGGGATTCCTCCCGCAATGACCTATCCGCCTTGGTTACTCTCCTCCCCAACTCCCACTCTGCCACTCTCGATGCCCTTGCTCCCCTCACCACCAGCCATCTCTGCTCCCTCAAGACACAGGTGGTGCCACCAAGCACAATCGCAGACTCTTCTTCTCCATCACCAACCAGCTCCTCCGCCCACCCTCTCACGCCTCACCAGTCCTCTCCTCCAACCCAACTGCGAGGAGATGCTGGACTTCCTCGAAACCAAAATCGAGGGGATCCGCTCAGCTGCCTCTACTTTTCCAATTTCTACACCCTCCCCATCTCGCCCTCACACCCCAGCCCCTACCCATCTCTCCCTCCACACCTTTGAACCTGCCTCCTCTCGCATCACCATTATAACCCACATGAAACTGACCACCTGCTCCCTCAACACCATCCCTACCTCTCTCCTTACCTCCCAGCTCCACCTCCTTGCCCCCTTACTCAGAGACATCATAAACCTCTACTTATCCACTGGCACCATTCCCACTCCTTTAAAAACAACTGTCATCAACAACACATTTGTACAGCGCCTTTCACGCTGGGAGGACGTCCCAAGGCGCTGAACAGAGTACAGCATTTCAGACCCGAGCTGGGGTCGGTGGGTGGGGTGGGGTGGGGAGGAAGGGGAGGGGAAAGGGGGTGGCCGATGGCATGGTCATCCTTAATTACCACCCCATTTCCAACCTCCCTGTCCTTTCTAAGTTCCTGGAACAAGTCGTTGCTTCCTCTCCCTTCATGAATCTCTCCAATCGGGTTTCCGTGCCACCCACAGCACAGAAATAGCTTTGGTCAAAGTGACAAATAACATCTTGTCCATCTGCGATCAGTGCTCTCTCTGTCTCCTCATCCTCCTTGACCTCTCTGCTGCCCTCGATATCATTGACCATTGTATCCTCCTTCACTACCTCTCCTCTCACCTCAACCGTCATGCTTCAGATCCTACTTCTCTCACTATCTCCACTTAATCTCCACAAACAGCTTCTTCTCTATCTCTCCGCCTCCACCCTCGACTTCAGGAGGTCTGCTATGGAACGCCATCTTACATTCCTTTCGCCTCACTCCCTCCCTTGCCTCCTTCAAGGTGCACCTCAATACTCTCCTCTTCGACCAAGCCTTCGGCCACACTCTTACCCTCCACTCTTCCCGATCCTGACCCCCCCGGTCCAAATTCCTGACTGTCCAGCGCCTTGGGATGTTCTCTTTGTGAAAGGCGCCATACAAATGTAATTTTATATTGTATGTGGCCCATGGCGCTATGGTTCACAACCATGCTCTGCGTGAACATATCTGTCATGTGCCTTATGCAGCTACGTAGGCTTTGTAAAGGACAATAATTATTTTTAAAAGACGATCTACAGCTCAACTTCAAACCTACTTTGAGGTCTAGTTAAAGGGTGGAGTCACTTACATCTTCTGTGTCGAATGGCTTGGTCCTGCTAACTAGTTGTTTACTTCTCTCCTAAAAATATAAGAATAAAGCTGATAGCTGATAAGAATAAAGCTGTAGACGTACAGACAGACCATCCACCATAGCCCTGCAGAAGGTCAGGGAATGCAACTGTGCCCACATTCACTGCCCGCCTCTCCTGAAGATGCCAACTGCTATTGCAGCACAGCTCCATACCACAGGCATCCTCTGAGACTTCATCCAATTGGCCAATAATAATAATCTTTGCACTTGATATAGTGCCTTATCATTGAGATGTCTCAAAGCGCTTCATAGAATATATTATAAAATGGATTGATTGTGCATTTTGTGGGCGAATCATGGCAGTCAATTGCGCACAGCAGTGTCCCACAAAATTATTGCCCCTGGAAAGCGATCCACCAATCGACTAACAGCTGGATTCCTAAGTACTATTAGGTAAACAGCAACGTGTGGAGTAAAGAAACTTGCCTAAGGTTTCGCCTCATCCAGGAATTGCCTGGATCCTTTTGCTTGCGAGGCGAGCACACTAACCAATACATTATGGGATGCCATTGTCCTCATGTGAGCTCAAACAATCAAAGGTGGCAGGAGATTCAGTTTCAGCCAACTTTCCCACACCAACAACCTTCCAGTCAGGTAAGGGAGTCTGTGGAGCTGGACCTTGGCTGATTATCTCCTCTCTAAGCCAAAGGTGCTTGAGCCAATTGTAGACCCAAATGCAGACCTGGCTGAGATCAGGAATGGAAAATGTTCTGTCTGCATGGTTTTACCCCGGCATCAGGGTGTACTTCAGCAGCAGCAAGCCTCTATTTATTATTTACAGCACCCATATAGGCAATGCACATGGTCCCACATATCAGTGTATGTGGGTCCAGGTACATTGCCTGTGTTGTTGCATACGTGTCCATAAAATATCACTGTCTGTGTTACTATTAAACTAAATACAACTGGAATGTGAAGAACATTTCCATTCATTGTACAGAATCACATAGACAGCACCGCAACAGGGCATTTAACCCAACATGTCCGTGCTAGTGTTTATAGTCCTCCAGCCATCCGAATCCCCACTTCCCCATCTTCCATACCCCAGTATTCTCCCTCATGTATGCAAGAGAATCTCTTTCTATCTTGTTCTGTCTCTCAAATTCCCATTGTAGTCATACAGACCAGCACCCACCCCCCTCGCCACGATTAGGACCAGTTTTCTTTCAATATTTCCCACTGTTTTGTCACTTTGCTCAATATTCTCAACAACAGTGCAGTGTTTTGAGTCAGTCAGCGTTGGGTTTAGACTGAGATGGGCTGGGAACATCAATCTTTCACCGCTCTGATTTGCTTCAAACCTAGTCCAGCTACAGGGATGAAAGCCTCTTCCATCTACCACCTTTTAGCATCTGAAGGTTGGTCAGGAAGTCACTTACTGTGTCTTGCTGCAGTAACGCTTGCAGGTTGCTTGCTTTTCTAGGTCCCTGTCTTTTAACCTGCAGAAATAAAGCTGATAAAACTCCAGAACTACAGACAGTAACCATCCACCCATGTGCACATATTTACTTTTCTCTGTCCACCTCTCCTGAAGAGGCTGCCTGTCTCTGCGACAGAGTTCCAGGAATGTACTCTGGGACCTCATCCAAATGATCACAACATGTGTGAGTTCAACAACAACAACAACTTGGATTTATATAGAGCCCTCCACGCCGGACTGCGTCTCAGTGCGCTTCACAATAACGGATCCCGGGGCCGAGCCAGGGGGAGGGGGAAGGTGACCAAAGGTGCGGTCGTAAAAAATGTCTTTGGCTGAGGCCTGAAAGTAGGAAGAGAGGGGGCGAGGCGAAGGGAGTGAGGAAGGGAGTTCCAGGGCTTTGGGGCATAGTGGCTGAAGGCACGGCCGCCGACGGTGGAGTGGAGGATTTGGAGGACGAGGAGGCCAGACCCGGTGGAACGAAGGCAACGGGTACTGTTTTGAGGAGAGAGGAGGTCGGAGAGGTAGGGAGGTGCAGAGGAGTGGAGGGATTTGAAGACAAGGGTGAGGATCTTGAAATCGACATTCCCTGGGACAGGCAGCCACTGCAGTCTGGCAATGACTGGGGTGATCGGGGAGCGGAGTTTGGTGCGGGTAAGAATACGGGCGGCAGAATTCTAATGAACTGGATTTTATGAATGGTAATGGAGGGGAGACTGGCGATGAGGGCATTTGAATAGTCCAGCCGAGAGGTGACGAAGGCATGGACCAGGGTTTTGGCGGCTTTTGGGGTGAGATATTGGCAGAGACGGGCGATGCGTCGGAGGTGGAAGAAAGCGGTGCTGGTGAGGGACTGGAGTTCAGACTCAGAGAGTTGGTCAGGAGTTCAACAGAAGGGGGTGGAATCCCAAAATTACAGGCAAGCCTCATCTGATCCTCAGCCAATGATAAATAAAAATAATCCGTACATTTAAATCAACAGCTTTCACATCAGGATACACTGTAAAGTGCAGAGGCTGTGTATTATGTAAGCAAACATAGCAGCCAATTTGCGCAGAACAATGTTCGCAGACAGCCATGAAGTGAATGATAACCAATTTTATCTGATGGATCATTGGCCAGGACACTGGAGGCATCTCGCTCCTCTAAAAATACTTCAGTACAAATTTTTTGTGTGTCTTACATATTGTGCATCTGACCTGAAAGTGCTGGATGTAAAACTGTAGAAAGAGTTTTACTCTGTATCTACCACATGCTGCACCTGACTTCACAGTACTGGATGGGACTTTGCAGAGGGAGTTTTCCTCTGTGAGACATACTGTACTTGATCTGAGTGCTGGATTGGAAGGAGCTTCACTCTGTATCTAACCTGTGCTGTACTGACTGGAATGAGCAGTGTGGAACGATGATTGCACCACTAGTGCAGAAAATAGTAAAAGTGTTCTGTAGAGGGGCAGTGATGGCGAGAACCCAATATCAGTGTAGAGAATTGCCACAAGATGGCGATATGTACAACATGTTTGGTTACACAGACCAGAGAATCACCAGAAGGGGGCTCTTTGTATCTGAATAATCTAGTCACTTACCGCCTCACCATCTCCTTCATTGCTTTTATGTGTCCTCTACCATTAAAGCCCAAATGTTTTCGCAAGAAGTACAAGATTACGCTGATGAACTGTAGAACCACAGACACTTGCATGCTGCAGTTCGGGAAACGTTACTGCACACATATTCACGTTTCTCTACTCACGTTCTTTGCCCTCCTTACCTGAAGGTGCTGACTGTCACTTGGACACAGTTCCAGGGGTGCCCTCAGGGACCTCGTCCAAGTAGCTGCTCTGCGTAAGTTTTGTTTTTTTGGTCAGCTGGATGTCTTAACACATGTGGAAATCCATCACTTTTCTAGAGTATCCAACCCAGTCTGTGAGGTCCACATATCTATGCCACTTGCACATGGAAACTTACCAGGCTGCGGACCTATCTCGCTCAGAAATCGGACTTCTGAGACGGTGACAGATATTGAAACATTACACTGTCAAGTACGTCACTTTGGAGCCAGTTCAGCTCAGAGAGGATCCCGCTTACCTCCCTCCACAAAAGGAGGATTGATGATTGATGTGTGAAATCAGACTTAGTAGGAAGTTAATCTGACCTAACTTTCACATACCAGCACTTTCCAGCAGGAGAAACAGACCTGCATATTGTTGAGTGTGCATACTGACATATGCTGTTCTCACATGTACTGTGTATGTGCTGTTCACAGATGTCTGCTTTGTGTGTGCATGTGCTGCTGCGTGTGTGCACGGTGGTTCTGTGTATGCAAAAGCGTATATGAGAGTCTAAAGGTGTGTGTACATATAATTGTGTATGTATATGGGTAAGTGTGCGTATCATAATAATCCTTGCATTTGATATAGCGCCTGATCATGTCATTGAGACGTATCAAAGCACTTCAAAGAATATATTGTAAATTTGTGTATTTTGTGGGCAAAACGGGACAGCCACGCACACAGCAGTGTCCCACAACCAGTCGTTTCATGTTGTGGTTTGTGTGCGTGTTTTTTGTGTGTGTGGTTTGCTGTATCTAACTTGAGAGTGCTCAATGAAACAGTGCAGAGGGGGCTTTAATCTGTTTCTAACCAGGGCTGTGTACCTGACTTCAGAGGTAATACATTGTGGTCCCACCATGTCAGTGCAGATATTCACCAGCAGGCAGTGCTATGTACATGAAGAACAGAATCACTTACATTTCTCTGATCTCGCTGAAATTTTGTTCTCAACTGTCCTACACTAGCAACTTCTTCAGTGTTATCCTAAAAGTGCAGAAATAAATGTCAACAAACAGAGAGCTAAATTCCTGAGAGTTCGCTATAGGCACACTTCTGAGCACAGATTTACTGCGTGGTTTGCTATCCTCCCCCTCCACCAGGGTATGAGGAGGGGGTTGACTGTCAACTGTCAACAATTCCACAGATGTCTCCCTTCCTGAGCAATTTGTTAGTGATGACACTTGGCATTCACTTGCCTGGTCATTGTGTGAGGGGAGAATTGTGATGCCACTGAACCAAACAGAGAGGATGGCTGACAGTTCTCAGTAATGACAATCACTGTATAGAGAATGACTCATAGGTGTCAGTGTGGCAACAACAATTTGCATTTATATAGCGCCCTTCACGTGGGCAGCGTCTCAGAGCGTTCAATAGTCAAGGGTTGGATAGTCAAGGGTTTGCACCCGAGGTGTCTCCCCGTACTCCTTGACCTCTCTGCTGCCTTTGATACTGTTGACCACTCTATCCTCCACCACCTCTCAATTGAACCTTCATGGTTCTGTCCTGGAGTGGTTCAGATCCTACCTCTCACACCATCTCCACTTAGTCTCCTCAAACGGCTTCTCCTCCAGCCCCTGCACTGACTCGTGTGGCATTCCTCAGGGCTTTGTCCTTGGTCCCCTCCTCTCTATATGCTCCCTTTTGGTGACATCATCCACAGATATGGGGTCAACTTCCACATGGATGCGGATGACACTGAACTCTATCTCTCTGCCTCCACCCTCGACTCCAGAACCACTGACAGAATGTCTATCAGACATCAAGTCCTGGATGAGTGCTAACTTTCTAGTGACAATTTAATACTTGTCAGCCTTCCCAACTTTTCCCTCCACGAGCTACAGATCATTCAGAACTCTGCAGCTTGTTTCCTCTCCGAGACTCTGTGACTCTATCACCCCCGCCCTCGCCCGGCTCCACTGTCTCCGCATCTCCCAGCGGACAGAGTTCAAAATCCTTGTTCTCATCTTCTAGGGCCTCCATTGCCTTGCTCCTTCCTCGCTTTGTGACCTGCTAACCCCATATCAACCTATCCGCTGTAGCCTGCTCTACATACTCTGCCCTGCCTGCCCCTCGATCGGCGGTCAGACCTTCATCCTCTCTGCCCCCCCCACCCTTTGGAACTCCTCCCACAGTCCCTTCACCTCTCTCCCTCCCTTGCCTCCTTCAAGGTACGTCTCAAGACCCTCCTCTTCAACCGTGCCTTCGGCTATCCTCCTACCCTCCCTGATCCCAACCCTCCCCGCTAGGGTCCAAATCCCTTACTGGCCAGCACCTTGGGACATCTTTCCGAAGTGTAAATGTAATTTTGTATTGTATGTTTGAGGGAGTGGACAGGTCGATATGGCGTTAGCAAGTCACAGAGGTGGGAAGGAGCAAGGCCATGGAGAGCTCTGAAGGGTAGGATGAGGATTTTAAATTGTATCTCTGAGGGATGGGGAGCCAGTGAAGCTGGGTGAGGATGGGGGTGATAGATTCACGGAGCTTAGTGTGGGAGAGGACATGAGTGGCAGAGTTCTGAATATTCCTCGTCAGCTTGTGGAGCTACAGATTGTGGACCTCCCCTCTCTTTCCAGCTCGGGTGACCAAACATACGGTTGAAGAGGAAAGTCTTCAGGCGTGATTTGAAGGTGGGCAAAGAGCGGACAAGACAGAGGCAGGGAGTTCCAGAGATTCGGGGCACAGTGGCTGAAAACACATCTGCCTATGGTGGAGTAGAAGGGATGTGCAGCACACCCAAGCCAGATCATCAAAGGCAGGGGGTAGTGGAGTGTGAGCAGATCGGAGAGGTAGGGAGATGCAAGGAAATGAAGACAGAGTAAGGATCTTGAAATTGATCCATTCTACAACAGGGACCTAGTGGAGCCTGGCAAGAACTGGCATGATGGGAGTGTGAAGTCTGTCAGTAACTTGTGGGTGAGAGTTGTCCAGGCATCAGTCCAAGGCTAACATAATTCTAGAGAGTATTAGGTGCAGGTTGGCAGAAGCCAAGGCTTGGGATCCTCAGAGTGTTCGTAACAACAACAACATTATATTTGTATAGCGCCTTTCACTCGGGAGGACGTCCCAAGGCGCTGGACAGACAGAGTCTAACCAGCTAAAACCGCATGCTTTGCCATTGAAAACACTGTCTGGCATCCTTCCTGCTGGTTGTCCAGCTAGGACCACCCTACCCGTTAGGGCTTTGGCTTGCAGGTGAATGGGAGCTGACTGGTCTGCCTTTCCAAATGCTACCGATAAGGCTGGCTGGGGTGTCATCAGCAGTGCCTACCAACCCGGCTCATCAGTAACATATCCGGCATCAATTTGACACACACACTGTATGAACACGATTTCTGACTAATCTCCAAGTCACACAGTCACTACAGAGACAGGACGACTGACAGGTGTCAGTGTGACACACTCACTGTACAGACAAAATCATTGACAGATGTCAGTGTGACACACTCATTGAATAGACAGGATGACCGACACAAGACTCAGCCACAGCCCCCCACCCCACCCGAGGCCCTTACCTTCACACGCTTGCTAAGACTTTGTCCCAGTTTGCTCAGGAAGGAGATTGGTGATTTCCCAGGCAGATTATCAGATTTTTGATGAAAGCCCTGCAGGTATTCTTTAACAGAGAGAATTATCCCAGTTACTGTCTGCACTAACTTCTCAGAGCCATCACAGAAAAATGGCAAGAGTGACAGAGAGCACGACAGTGAGAGAGCGATGGTGAGAGAGTGAGGGTGACAGTGAGAGAGAGTGACAATGAGAGAGAGTGCCAGTGAGAGACAGTGACAGTGAGAGAGAAAGAGTGAGGGTGAGAGAGTGACGGTGAGGCTGAAATAGTGAGTGACAGTGAGAGAGAGTGACAATAAGAGAGAGTGAGGGTGAGGCTGAGGGATTGAGAGTGCGTGCGGTCGGAGGGGGGGATGCATGTGGTTGGAGGAGGGGGGCGCGTGCGGTTGGAGGGGGGGGAGGCGCGTGCGGTCGGAGGGTGGGGGGGGGGGCGCATGCGGTCGGAGGGTGGGGGAGGAGCGCGTGCGGTCGGAGGGGGGGAGCGTGTGCGGTCGAGGGGGCCGCGTGCGGTCGGGGGAGGGAGAGTCTGCGGTGGAGGGAGGGGGGTTCTGCGGTGGAGGGAGGGGAGCTTCGGTGGAGGGAGGGGGGCTTCAGTGGAGGCAGGGGGGGCTGCGGTGGAGGTAGGGGGGGCTGCGGTGGAGGTAGGGGGGTGCTGCGGTGGAGGGAGTGGGGGGCTGCGGTGGAGGGAGTGGGGGGCTGCGGTGGAGGGAGGGGGGCTGCGGTGGAGGGAGGGGGGGCTGCGGTGGAAGGAGGGCAGGCTGCGGTGGAGGGAGGGGGAGGCTGCGGTGGAGGGAGGGGGAGGCTGCGGTGGAGGGAGGGGGAGGCTGCGGTGGAGGGAGGGGAGCTGTGGTGGAGTGAGAGCGGGGTGCGGTGGAGGGAGGGATGCTTCGGTGGAGGGAGGGGGGCTGCGGTGGAGGGGGGCTGCGATGGAGGGAGGGGGGCTGCGGTGGAGGGAGGGGGGTGCTGCGGTGGAGGGGCTGTGGTGGAGGGAAGGGCGGCTGCGGTGGAGTGAGGGGGGCTGCGGTGGAGGGAGGGGGGGCTGCGGTGGAGGGAGGGGGGGCTGCGGTGGAGGGAGGGGGGGCTGCGGTGGAGGGAGGGGAGCTGTGGTGAAGTGAGAGGGGAGTGCGGTGGAGGGAGGGATGCTTTGGTGGAGGGGGGGTGCTGCGGTGGAGGGAGGGGGGCTGCGGTGGAGGGAGGGGGGCTGCGGTGGAGGGAGGGGGCTGCGGTGGAGGGAGGGGGGCTGCGGTGGAGGGAGGGGGGCTGCGGTGGAGGGAGGGGGGCTGCGGTGGAGGGAGGGGGGCTGCGGTCGAGGGAGGGGGCTGCAGTCGAGGGAGGGGGCCTGCAGTCGAGGGAGGGGGCCTGCGGTCGAGGGAGGGGGCCTGCGGTCGAGGGAGGGGGCCTGCGGTCGAGGGAGGGGGCCTGCGGTCGAGGGAGGGGGCCTGCGGTCGAGGGTGGGAGGGGAGGGTTGTCGAGGGAGGGGGCTGTGTGTCGAGGGAGGGTGCACATCGTTCATACACGTCAAAGCGCCTTATCACATCTTTCATACATGTCAAAGCGCTTCACAGAATACACTGTGAAGTGAAGTGTGTCTAGGGAGGGGGGGGGTGTTGAGGGAGGGGGGTGTGTTCGAGGGAGGGGGGTGTCGAGGGAGAGTGTCGAAGGAGAGGGGGGGTGTCGAGGGGGGGGGCAGTGTCGATGTAGGGGTATTGAGGAGGGGGGGGGGGTGTCGGTGGGGTTTGGAGAGCGAGGGGCGAGAGCGAGACAGAACACCATACAGCGAGCACTCATACCCTGTACACAGGAAGAGCTCACATACAGCGAGTAACTCACACCTTGAATACAGCCAGACTGGTGCACAGCACATTGGTGCACAGGCAGCTGCTGTGTGTTGGCAAAGCTCACCTTCAGGGGTCACGTCCTTCAACATCTCATAAAATTGGGTCAGGTACATGACCATGCTGAGCTTGTCCGGCTCCTCCACAGACGCCATGTCCTTCCCTGTCATGATCGGAGAGATTCCAAACTCGTGTTCTGCCAAGTCAAATGCCATCTGATTGTTCTTCTCCACATCTTTTTCATCCAGACTGTCAAATTCTCTGATATAACGAGAGTGGGGGGGGAGGGGGGGAAGAGCGGAGAGAAATAAAGCACGTATTTAAACTGTTAAGGGTAGAGCAGCAGGAAGAGGCGAGTTGCTTCCAACTCACTGCCACCAACCCTCAGCTCAGCTGTTACACTGAGAATCCGAGATGATACCAGGTGATCTATGTTGGTGGTTGGATCATTCGGGGACTCTTAAATTTTTGCACTTACCTCTCCAGTGAGAGAGCCCCAGGTTCAATTCATGGGGGGGTGAAATTTCAGGCAAGTCAATCCACTTCATAGTGTATTATAATTATATAATATTTGCATTTGATATTATCACATCTTTCATACATGTCAAAGCGTTTCACAGAATACACTGTGAAATGAATTGACTGTATTTTGTGGGCCATATGCGGCAGCCAATTGTCCACAGAAGCGTCCCAAACAGCGATGGATTGAGTAACCAATTATTAACCCCAGAAAGCAATCCACCAATCAACTTAACTATTGGGTTCCTGCTTACTGGGCAAACAGAGGCGTGTGGAGTAAGGAAACTTGGCTAATCTTTCGTCCTGCCCAGCCGGGAATTGAAACTGCGTCCTCTCGCTTGCGAGGCACGTGCTTTAACTACTACGCTCTGGGACTACACTTCAGATTTTGTGAAGCGCTTTGAGACTACTCAAATACGCGATAAGGCGCTAAATCAAATGCGAGGATTATTATTATAATTATTATTTGGGTTCAAAAAGAGTGTGAAAAATGGGCTGAAGGGGTAACTGAGTGCGAATGTTGGCAGAAGACCAAGGGATATTTCCTACTGTGCACATTCTATCTCATTCAGTCATTTTTCTCCGGGAACTGGGGTGGTCGGCCAGGTGTCTTTCACACACAGAAACCCATCACTGTCATTAGGAATATCCAAACCAAACTATGAAGAGTCCCACATATGCATCAAAATTTCCATGCACCTGGAATGGAATAAGCACTATCTCCCTTGAAGGATGCAGGTATTAGCTATTTGATCCCAGGTATTAGGCGCAGGTTGGTCAGAGGCAAGAATTGGTGACCCAGAGTCTATGTTGGGGTTCTGCTAGAATTTAAAACTTATATATAATAATAATCCTTGCATTTTGATATAGCGCCTTATCACGTCTTCGAGATGTCTCAGTGCTTCACAGAATATACTATAAAGTGTATATTGTGTGGGAGAAACATGGCAGCCAATTCCGCACAGCAGTGTCCCACAAACAGCTGTGGATTGAGTGACCAAATTATTTTAATTTGTTTTGAAGGAATTATTACACTTCTCACTGCTTGTCCATCCTACGTGTTAGAGGAGGGTTAGCAGGAGTCGAGTGGAAAGCCCCCGCCCTCAGTGACAGGTCTCTCTCTCTCTCACACACAGTTGAGAGGTGTTTACCTGTTATTTCACCTGAACCCTGATTTGGAAATGTGTGGAAAAGACAGAGGAAAATCAGGCAATACCCACCACATTGGATCCTCACTTTAAACATGTTACTAACTTGGTGAATAGGTTACAGACAATCCCACCCTGACATTCAGACACTGGAGAGATCAGCCTGGAAATACCCTGAGGGTAAACAGAGAGAGTTACACTCACAGAGAGAGTTGGGAGTTAACTCTCATTTGAAAGGAGAAAAAAGACAAACAGAAAGAGTTGGAAATAGAGTTGTGAGAGAGTAAAGAGAGAGAAAAAGAGAGACAGAGAAAGAGAGAGTGACTGAGCCCTGTTATGAGGTCACTAAATCTCTCTCTTTCTCTCTCCCTCTCTCTCGTGCTGACAGCCCTCAGGCCCCACATTCCACCCATGACTCACATTAGGTCTGGTCGATAGCGATGGATGATGGCGGAGAGCGCCAGGCCACTTTTCCACGAAGAAGTCAGATCAACTACATTGACATTCTTGTAACCCTGCGTCTGCTTCTGGCACCAGGTGAGCAGTTTGTGGGCACGGGCCATGCTTTCTGATAAGGAGGGAATTGGTGTACTGTTAGCAGCATGGCTGACCCTCCACATGCCTGGCTTCAACAAACAGGCGTAACAAGAAATCACCAGTACAAGCCACAACAGCCCACCCACCCGGCACACAGATATTGAACTGCACTTTCTTCTGAAGTTCTTCTGCTTATGCGGTGACAGATGAAAACTACGTTTCCCGCGATTGAATGCGATTCTCTTGTGAGAAGGCTGGTAAGTGCGTACACATTTTCAAGTCAGAATGTCAACTCCAATGATTCAAGGCCTCTGGTAAGTGTGGGAGTAATGGAGGATAGGGAAGCGGCGTTACAAGTTAGGAGGTGATTAATACGAGTCGTGCAAAGAAATCTAAGTGGTTTTGATGGGAATTTGATCTGCCTGTATTTCTGCAATAACTCACCATTGGGCTTGATGGATGGGGTGCGAGGAAGTTGGACTTCCAACTCTTTCCCCTGACCGGGATTATACAAGTGCCGGACCTGTCGATGACAAGGCCAGTCACAGAGAGAAACAAAGAACTCGCTTTTCACATTATCACATCTCAACATCTCAAGGTCCTTAACAAAAATTACTGTAAATTATCGTGAGAATTCTTAATCGGCTAACATTGCAGCACATTTATACATAGCGAATTCGATCATACAGCCACGTGATGAATGATTAGTTTCTCTGGAAGACTGTTGGCCAGTTCAACAGGAGTAAATTTTCCGTTTTCAACACTGACACGATTGTTAATAGTTACCAAAAGAGGTAGACAGTTCTTCGTTAACCTTGAATGAAGTTTAGAATTACCTGAGCGGGGGGACAGTACCTGATCAGTTGAAGTGATCTGGAGATTGAGTTTCGGGTAGCGGGTGCTGGGGTCAATGCTGTACTGGTTGAAGTTCTTATTGATATTCTGTGGCGTTGTCTGAGGCAACAATCTGTAAATCAGTTCCCTGGAAATCAAGCAGATACATCCTCTGAGGAAAAATCCATTAATTTTTTGGAAAGATAATGACAGATTCTTAAAGAGCAGGAGTATTAAAGGATACAGGGAGTTATCAGGAGAGGGGTCTTAGGTTAGGTCATGGTGGCATTGTCTGGAGAGGTCACACTCACACTGGCTGGAGTGGTCACATCAGGGAGAAGCTGGGAAGAGTCAGATGAATGTGACGTCACCCATTAGTCAATACCCTCCAACTGATTTCACTCTAAGGAGGGTGCAATGCCCTGGTGGTGAATAAGAGAGTTTGATCTGGCAAAGAGGGTGACCCAGCTGTGTATTTGCCCAGGAAGTGACCAGAGGGAAAAGGAGAAGCACACAAGGAGGACTCACCTCTCTGCCACAATGCTCAAGGGGTTTGTGTCCTGTGCCCATTTTTGCACCATCCAGGCAGAATCGAACGCAGCCAGAAATCCTCGGGCAATGCCAGTTCCCATTGGCCAGAACGGCTGGAAGAAAAAAATAAACACACAGGAACATTGCAGGAGACGAAAAGAAGCCAGACAAGAGCGGGGAAGGGTGTGAACTCCCTACACACTGCCTATTGGTGGTGGGTGGCTAGGGCTAGAGAGGGCTCAGCCCCCGCCTCAAATTCTATCTACAAGCTCATTGACTGTTCTCCTGTTTTAGCGTAAAATGTGCATTATAAACTGGCCAACAGCATGGCACTGCTATGCTTTAAGCAGGTCTTCTGTTCGTGTTGACGCTATGACTATGTCATGATTTGCATTTTCATTCAAACACAAAGAGGATTTGTTCAGAGAAGGAAAGAGCAAGTTTTTTTATTATTCATGTTTTTGCAAGCTGAATGTGTTTTACAACTGATTTAAGTGGACTAACACAAGATAAACAGATTAGCCACTAGATAATAATAATAATATAATAATAATAATCCTTGCATTTGATATAGCGCTTTTCACGTCGGGAGGACGTCCCAAAGCGCTTCACAGAACACACTGTAAAGTGAATTGACTGTATATTTGTGGGCGAACGCGGCAGCCAATTGCGCGCAATGTCCCACAAACAGTCGTAGATTGCAAATGACCAATTTATTATTGTTTTTGGTTTTGGAGGGATTATTATTAAGCTCTGTGTGGAGTAAGGAAACTTGCCCAAGGTTTTGCCCTCTGCCTGGAATTGAACTCAGGTCTCTCACTTGCAAAGCGAGTGCTCTAACCACTGAGCTACAGGACTCCAGGACTGTAGCTACAGGCTACAGGAATAATAGATGGTGGTCAGATATTGTATAGAGTAAACATGAAACATTTTTATTGTTATTATTTAGTAGTGTTTGCTTGTTTTAAAGTGCAGCTTGAATGTATACAATATTATATGCCATCGGCAGATAAAACCAATTCTGTAAACTATGAATCACACAATTGTGGACCGCACAGAATCACGGACCACACAGAGTGCTCAGTTCCTAAGCAAAAGCCCAGAGAAAATACTGCAAGAACTATAATAATAATCCTAATAATCCTTGCATTCAATATGGTACCTTATCACATCTCAAAGACGGGTCAAACCGCTTCACTGAATATACTGTAAATTGAATTAACTGTGTATTTTGTTGGTGAAACATGGCAGCCAATTGCACACAGCAATGTCCCACAACAACAACAACAACAACAAGATTCCATTTGTAAAGCGCCTTTCACGTCAGGAGGACGTCCAAAGGCGCTGCACAGTTGGGTCATGACCCGAGCAGGGGGGAAATGGTCAGGGTGAGGGGAGGGAAGGGAGGGAGAGAGGAGGGGGAAATGGTCAGGGTGAGGGGAGGGAAGGGAGGGAGCGAGGAGGGGGAAGAGAGTCGAGAGGGGAGCTGAAGGCACGGTCAAAGAGAAAGGTTTTGAGACCGGCCTTGAAGGAGGAAAGGGAGGAGGCGGCGAAGGCACTGGGGGATGGAGTTCCAGAGCCTGGGGGCTGAGAGGCTGAAGGCCCGACCACCGATGGTAGGGCGGTTGGGGCGGGGGACGTGGAGCAGACCGGAGCCAGAGGAACGGAGGGTACGGGCAGGTAGGTAGGGGGATAGTAGGTTGGAGAGGTAGGAGGGAGCAAGGCCGTGAATGGCCTTGTAGGTGAGGATGAGGATCTTGAATTCAATCCTCTGGGGGATGGGGAGCCAGTGGAGGCGAGCGAGGGTGGGAGTGATGTGGTCCCGAAGCCTGGTGCGGGACAGTACACGAGCTGCAGAGTTCTGAATGACCTGCAGCTTGTGGAGGGAGGTGGCGGGAAGGCCGGCGAGGAGAGAGTTCCCATAGTCCAGCCTTGAGGTGACAAAGGCGTGGACCAGGGTTTCAGCAGCGTGAGGGGTGAGGTAATGCCGTAGTCTGGCGATGTTCCGGAGGTGATGGAAGGCGGTGCCAGTTGTGGTGCGGATGTGAGGGAGAAAGGACAGCTCAGGGTCGAACAAAACGCCGAGGTTCCTGACTGGCTTTGAGAGGTGGAGAGTGCAGCCTTGGATGCTGATGGTGTCAGCGCCTGAGGTGCGGAGGCGCTGACGTGAGCCAATCAGGAGGGCCTCGGTTTTTCGCACGTTGAGCTGAAGAAAGTTGTCTCTCGTCCAGGACTCGATGTCGGACAGGCAGGCTGTCAGGACATCGGTGGTCGTGGAGTTGAGAGTAGAGGAGGAAAGGTAGAGTTGGGTGTCATCCGCATACATGTGGAAGTTAACTCCATGTCTGCGGATGATGTCACCGAGGGGGAGCATATAGAGGGTGAAGAGGAGGGGACCGAGGACAGAGCCCTGAGGGACACCACATGAGACAGTGCGGGGGGTGGAGGAGAAGCCATTCGTCGAGACAAAGTGAAGACGGTGAGAAAGGTACGACCTAAACCATTCAAGGACAGTGCCTTGAAGGTTGAGGTGGGAGGACAAGCGGTGGAGTAGGATAGCGTGGTCGACCGTATCGAATGCTGCCGATAGGTCGAGGAGGACGAGGAGACAGAGGGAGCCCTGGTCACAGATGGTCAGGATATCATTGGTGACCTTGACCAGGGCAGTTTCTGTGCTATGGGCAGCACGGAAACCTGACTGAAGGGGTTCGAAAAGAGAATGGGTGGAAAGGAAAGAGCGCAGTTGGGAGGCGACAACTCTTTCCAAGACCTTGGAAAGACACAAATAGTCGTGGACTAATAATTTTATTTTACGCGTTTATTACACCCGGAAAGCGATCCGCCAATCGACTAATAACCGTGTTCCTACTTATTACTAGGTAAACAGAGGCATGTGGAGTAAGAAAACTTGCCTAAGATTTCGCCCTACCGGGAATCGAACCAGGATCTTCTCGCTTGCGAGCCGACCGTGTTAACTGCACTTCACCCACAAATAATCAACACATTGACTACACCTACAAATAACCAGTAGTGACTACACACTAGTAGTAGTAGTAAGACAGGGTATAAAATGCCCACACAGTGAGACCGTCACTAGGATAGACATTGAACTATGATAGCAAACCTTTCATGATGAAGTTGACTGAATCTTCCACTGACCTCCAATAAGCTGTCCCCAACCAGGGTCACCAGCAAACGCTGTCCGCTCTCCTCCCGGATCAATGAGGCATTTTCTGAAGCATACATGCACGTGAAGTCGAACATGGCCACGTCAGGCTGCCCATAGTGGTTAATGGCAAAATCCAGGCGGGGGAGCTGTTGATTGGTGGAGAAGTCGGCTGCCTCCCTGGCGTAGTTCAGCAGTGCATCCTGATCCACGTTATTCCGGGAAAGCAACCTGTCTGTGTCAGGGTAATCCTGGGATGGGAAAAACACACACGTCATAGCTATCTGAATTCTGACCGCAACACTGTGACTTTTGTGGTCCTGGCACTGTCAGACCAGTGGAGTGCTGTAGCTCAGTGGTTAGAGTACTTGCCGGGCAAGCGAGAGTCCTAGGTTCAATTCCCGGCAGGGTGAAGCCTTGGGTAAATTTCCTTACTTCACACGCCTGATAATAATTTCTCAAGTAGATAAAAACAATAATAATTTGGTGACTTCAATCCATGAGTTTGTGGGACACTGCTGTGCGCAATTGGCTGCCACGTTTCCCCCACAAAATATACAGTCAATTCACTTTACAGTATATTCTGTGAAGCTCTTTGAGACGTCTCGAAGACTTGTAAAACACTATATCAATGCAAGGATTATTATTATTATTACAGTGACAATGCTGGTTCACCAAGCAGGGTTTGAAGAAATGATGAAATTTAAGGACGTTAAGCATAAGGTATGTTTTTTAGGCAGGATGAGAGGGTGCAAGGTAAAGGGAGAATTGCAAAGAGCGGGGGTTGAGATGATGAATCCTCAGTCAACGTTGTGGAGATCAGCTTCATACAGATATTTCGGGCATAGACATAAAAGGTGGGAAAATGGTTAAAAAGATTAAAAGGTTTGGCAATGATCTAAAATACTCAATGGTCTGAATGGCCTCCTCCTGTTCCCACAATCCTAAATCTGCCAAACTGAACATAGTGGGATATTCATCACCCAAAAAATAGTTTGCAAAGTGGAGCGGAATAACTCCCCGTGGTCTCGCTCTCAGTTGGGATTTCAGGTCCTGCAACTAAGGGGTTTTATATTTCAGCATCGCAGCAGCTAACTCAGCACAGACCAGGGATCTGAACAGCAGACTGAATACCTGATCGGCTGCTCATACTGACACCACTAAATGTATTTCAGGAAATCATGGGGACTCCGGAGTCACGTACAGTTTGTCATCAGTTTTTAGATTCCTGTTCAGGACCAGCTGACGCAGCTTCCAAACCCCGTTTTTTTCACATAGGATAAAGTTTCCAAGTGCGTCACAGACGACATGGATGATTGGGCTGGGTAGAAAGAAATGGGTGGAGGGGGGGGAATGCAGGATTTCAGTGAAGCCATAGTTGATAGGTTCTTAAAAGGGTTTGAGGAATGGGAGAGAGAACAAGGCAAAGGGATTTAGGGAGTTTTCTTCACTGCACTACAATGGGTGCCATTCACTGAGATAATATTAATAATCCTTACATTTCATATAGAACTTTAACATGTCATCAAGACCTCTACAGGATATACTGTAAAGTGGTTTTGACTGTGTGTTTTGTGGGTGAAACGCCTACAGGACCTTGGTTTAACATCTCATCCAAACGACAGCACCCCCCCAGCACTGCATTGGAGCGTCAGCTGAAACAATGCAATTCCAAGTCTCAATGTGGAGCTTAAATGGCACAACTTCTGAAGTGATGACACACTGAGATCAGAACAGCACTATCAGCCACCCTGAGTTGTAGAAGGTGTCTCACTTGAGTTGGGAGACAATCAGCTCATTCAATATAAAACGCAACAGCAGTGATATCTTATTTTGTTTCTGATAAGTACTCCAAGATGCTATCCTGCATGAAGGATGCTACATAAATGCAATTTGTTGTTGTTTTCCGTGCTTCCCCTTCCCTGTCTCCCACCGTTCCTGACCAGTCTGCTGGAATTGGTGCTCTCCTGTGCTGGGATCTGCGAGTCACACCCACCTGGAGTATGACGCCCTTACTCAGGAGGCTAGGCTTTTTGGCAGTCATCACAAAGTAGTGCGTATCATCTCTGTAGTAAACAATGTTCTCTAAATCGATACCTGTTGGAGACAGAAGCACAATGTTAAAAACAATAAAAGAAACCTTGCATTTCATGTAGAGCCCTTCATGTCAGGGGGACATCTCAAGTGTTTCACAGGATTCACTGTAAAGTGTAGTGATTGTGTATTTTGTCAATGAATGCGGCAGCCAATTTGCACAGAGGAATGTCCAACAGCCATAGCATGAAAGATCAATTTTATTTGGGGGGGGGGGGAGGTTGTTGCCCAGGACAACGGGGGAAACCCCTTTTGTTTTTGAAAATTGCCAATGGATCTACAACCTGAATCTCCCTGACCCACGGAGCAATGTCACCCTGACTGTTGGGAGGGACCAGGGACAAACCTGTGGCCTCCCGCAGGTCCTGGAAGAACTTCTGGTTGAAGATAAATGCCACGCCGCTGATCTCCTCCACCGCTGCCTCCTCTCTGGTGTGTCGGTTGATGAAGTTGGCTGTGATGGCGATTGCTAACTTGCCACGAAACTCTTTCCTCCGAAACCCTTTAAAAATTAAGATTTTAAATAGTAATGAGCGAGCTACCCCGAGGCTGCTGCTCCTCCTCAGCGGGAAACCCAGTCCCCATCTCCCACGCACCATCACATACTGACTCCGAGCCATCAACTCCTACACACTATCACATACTGACTGTCAGTGATCAACACTCACACACCATCACATACTGACCCTCAGTGATCAACATGCCCACACCATCACATACTGACCCTCAGTGATCAAGACTCAACACCATCATATATTGACCTCCAGTGATCAACACTTTTACACCATCACATACTGACACCCAGTGATCAACATGCACACACCATCTCATATTGACCCCCAGTGATCAACATGCCCACATCATCACATACTGAGCTAGTGATCAATATGCCCACACCATCACATACTGACCCCCAGTGATCAACAGGCACACACTGTCACATCCTGACCCCCTGTGATCAACACTCACACACCATCACATACTGACCCCAAGTGATCATTTCTCACACATCATCTCATGACGGGTACCGCCCAATGTATACAAGTGGCAGCCCATTTAAGTGCTCTGAGACGCCATCCGGCTTGAAGGGCGCTATATAAATCCAAGTTGTTGCTGTTGTTCCATCATAGGAACAGGAGGGATCTGCCATTCCTCTTCTGTCAGTTTATTAGATCAAGTCATATGTTTAAATCTTTTCCCTCCACATTCTTTAATATTCCTACATCACAAAATAGCCCAAGAAAGCACAAAGGAAGGAAAGTCAACCAGGGAATGAAAGAGGTTAACTAGGGAAAGAAACAGAGAGAGGGATCAACAGAAAAAAAATGAGAGGTCTACCTGCGAGACTGCCAGGGAAGAAGTCAGGAAGACCTCCTCCACTCACCTTCCAGAGTGTTCCTCCGCCCGTCTGCACCAATTATAACTTCAAACTGGAAATCTGCCACAGAGCTGTCGGAAGGTTTCAAATCCGCTCTCCAACCCAAAGCTAAATCAGAGAGCAACACTGACCATCAATACATCACAGGAAACCATAGGCAGAGCAGCCACACACACTCCTGTTACCAACAGACACACCCCAGCAGCATCACAATAATAGCTCAGTTTACGGATTCACAATGAATATAACACCTGTGAACGAACTTATATTTATATGGCGTCTTTCATGTTGGGAAGATGTCCCAAGGTGCTTGACAGTCCTGACTTGGCACTTGTGCTGAGGGTGGGAGCCAAGAGGGGTAGAGAGATGACCAACGGTGCGGTAAAAGAGGAAAGTTTGGAGAGGGACATTGAAAGAGGTGAGGGAGAGGGAAGCTGAAGGACTCTGGGGTGGAGTTCAAGAGATTGGGGGCATGTCCCTGCAGCACAGAGTGGAGTAGAATGGGGGCATGTGTGGAGTTACTATTCAGAGTAAATCTCCTTCTACATTGTCGCATCAGCCCTCCCAGATCAGATTTGGCAAGGGTTAGATAAAGAGCAAAACTCCCTATACATGACAGAGTAACAGTCAGTTACCGCATGCCTGGGACATAAAAGAGACACCAAAGTCCACACAAAGCAGACTTCAAACAGGAGCAGCCTGGCAGGTGGTCAGATGTGGGCTCACGTTTCCCAGCGATGGAACTGCAGAGTTCCAAAGGATTTATATTTAAAACAAACCCAAGTTAGTGAAGAGGTCAGATGGGATTTGTAAATAAAGCTGTGTACACCCACTAACACAACCAGAGCACTCCACCCGTCAAACACATACGGGTAGAGTCCTCCTCCACACACGCACACACACAGCCCCCCTCCACACACACACACGCACACACACAGCCCCCCTCCACACACACACAGAGCCCCCCTCCACACACACACAGAGCCCCCCTCCACACACACACACGCACACACACAGCCCCCCTCCACACACACACACGCACACACACAGCCCCCCTCCACACACACACAGAGCCCCCTCCACACACACACACAGTCCCCCTCCACACACGCACACACACAGCCCCCCTCCACACACACACAGAGCCCTCCACACACACACACGCACACACACAGCCCCCTTCCACACACACACAGAGCCCCCCTCCACACACACACACGCACACACACAGCCCCTTCCACACACACACAGAGCCCCCCTCCACACACACACACACACACACACAGCCCCCCTCCACACACACACACGCACACACACAGCCCCCCTCCACACACACACACGCACACACACAGTCCCCCTCCACACACACACACGCACACACAGCCCCCCTCCACACACACACACGCACACACACAGTCCCCCTCCACACACGCACACACACAGCCCCCCTCCACACACACACACGCACACACACAGCCCTCCACACACACACACGCACACACACAGCCCCCCTCCACACACACACGCACACACACAGTCCCCCTCCACACACGCACAGCCCCCCTCCACACACACACACACACACAGCCCCCCTCCACACACACACACACACAGCCCCCCCCACACACACACACAGCCCCCCTCCACACACACACACGCACACACACAGCCCCCCTCCACACACACACACGCACACACACACCCCCCCTCCACACACACACACACACAGCCCCCTCCACACACACACACACACAGCCCCCTCCACACACACACACACAGTCCCCCTCCACACACACACACACACACACACACACACACACAGCCCCCCTCCACACACACACACACACAGCCCCCCTCCACACACACACACACACACAGCCCCCCTCCACACACACACACACGCACACACACAGCCCCCCTCCACACACACACACACAGAGCCTCCCTCCACACACACACACACAGAGCCCCCCTCCACACACACACACACAGAGCCCCCCTCCACACACACACACACACAGAGCCTCCCTCTACACACACAGAGCCCCCCTCCACACACACACACACAGAGCCCCCCTCCACACACACACACACACACACACACACACACACACACACAGAGCCCCCTCCACACACACACACACACACACAGAGCCCCCCTCCACACACACACACACACAGAGCCCCCTCCACACACACACACACACACAGAGCCCCCTCCACACACACACACACACAGAGCCCCCCTCCACACACACACACACAGCCCCCCCCCTCCACACACACAGAGTCCCCTCCATACACAGACACACAGACACACAGAGCCCCCCTCTACACGCACACCCAGAGCCCTCCCTCCACACACACACAGAGCCCCTCCACACACACGCACTCACAGAGAGCCCCCCACCCCACATGCACGCACACACAGAACGCCCACTCCACACGCGCGCACACACAGAGCCCCGCCTCCACACGCGCACACACACATAGAGCCCCCCTCCACACACGCGCACACACAGAGCCTCCACTTCCACACGCGCGCACACAGAGCATCCCCTTCGACACGCGCGCACACACAGAGCCCCCCCCACTCCACACGCGCGCACACACAGAGCCCCCCCCACTCCACACTCGTGCACACACAGAGCCCCCCCCCACTCCACACGCGCGCACACACAGAGCCCCCCCCACTCCACACTCGTGCACACACAGAGCCCCCCCCACTCCACACGCGCGCACACACAGAGCCCCCACCACTCCACACGCGTGCACACACAGAGCTCCCCCCTCCACACGCACGCACACACAGAGCACCCCACCACACGCACACACACAAACCCCTCCACACATACACACACACACAGAACCCCGCCTCCACATGAGCGCACACACACAGAGTCCCCCCTTCACACACGCGCACACACAGAGCCCCCCCCCACTCCACACGCGTGCACACACAGAGCCCACCCTCCACTGTGTGGCTGTGTACACCCACTAACACAACCAGAGCACTCCACCCGTCAAACACATACGGGTAGAGTCCTCCTCCACACACGCACACACACAGCCCCCCTCCACACACACACACGCACACACACAGCCCCCCTCCACACACACACAGAGCCCCCCTCCACACACACACACAGCCCCCCTCCACACACACACACGCACACACACAGCCCCCCTCCACACACACACAGAGCCCCCTCCACACACACACACAGTCCCCCTCCACACACACACACGCACACACACAGCCCCCCTCCACACACACACAGAGCCCCCTCCACACACACACACGCACACACACAGCCCCCCTCCACACACACACAGAGCCCCCCTCCACACACACACACACACACACAGCCCCCCTCCACACACACACACGCACACACACAGCCCCCCTCCACACACACACACGCACACACACAGTCCCCCTCCACACACACACACGCACACACAGCCCCCCTCCACACACACACACGCACACACACAGTCCCCCTCCACACACACACACAGCCCCCCTCCACACACACACACGCACACACAGTCCCCCTCCACACACGCACAGCCCCCCTCCACACACACACACACAGAGCCCCCCTCCACACACACACACACAGAGCCCCCCTCCACACACACACACACAGAGCCCCCCTCCACACACACACACACACAGAGCCTCCCTCTACACACACAGAGCCCCCCTCCACACACACACACACACAGAGCCTCCCTCTACACACACAGAGCCCCCCTCCACACACACACACACACAGAGCCTCCCTCCACACACACAGAGCCCCCCTCCACACACACACAGAGCCCCCCTCCACACACACACACACACACACACAGAGCCCCCCTCCACACACACACACACACAGAGCCCCCCTCCACACACACACACACACACACACACAGAGCCCCCTCCACACACACACACACACAGAGCCCCCCTCCACACACACACACACAGCCCCCCCCCTCCACACACACACAGAGTCCCCTCCATACACAGACACACAGACACACAGAGCCCCCCCTCCACACGCACACCCAGAGCCCTCCCTCCACACACACACAGAGCCCCTCCACACACACACACTCACAGAGAGCCCCCCACCCCACATGCACGCACACACAGAACGCCCACTCCACACGCGCGCACACACAGAGCCCCGCCTCCACACGCGCACACACACAGAGCCCCCCTCCACACACGCGCACACACAGAGCCTCCACTTCCACACGCGCGCACACAGAGCATCCCCTTCGACACGCGCGCACACACAGAGCCCCCCCCACTCCACACGCGCGCACACACAGAGCCCCCCCACTCCACACTCGTGCACACACAGAGCCCCCCCCCACTCCACACGCGCGCACACACAGAGCCCCCCCCACTCCACACTCGTGCACACACAGAGCCCCCCACTCCACACGCGCGCACACACAGAGCCCCACCACTCCACACGCGTGCACACACAGAGCTCCCCCCTCCACACGCACGCACACACAGAGCACCCCACCACACGCACACACACAAACCCCTCCACACATACACACACACACAGAACCCCGCCTCCACATGAGCGCACACACACAGAGTCCCCCCTTCACACACGCGCACACACAGAGCCCCCCCCCCACTCCACACGCGTGCACACACAGAGCCCACCCTCCACACGCACGCACACAGAGAGCTCCCCCCTCCACACGCGACACGGAGCCCCCCTCCACACCCACACACACAGAGCCCCCCCTTTACACACCCACACACACACAGAGCCCCCCCTCCACACACACACACAGAGCCCCCTCCACACACACACACAGAGCCCCCCCTCCACACACACACACAGAGCCCCCGTCCACACATACACAGAGCCCCCCCTCCACACACACACACAGCCCCCCCCCTCCACACACACAGAGTCCCCTCCATACACAGACACACACACACAGAGCCCCCATCCACACGCACACAGAGCCCCTCCACACACACACACAGAGCCCCCCACCCCACACGCGCGCACACACAGAACGCCCACTCCACACGCGCGCACACACAGAGCCCCGCCTCCACACGCGCACACACACAGAGCCCCCCTCCACACACGCACACAGAGCCCCCCTCCACACACGCACACAGAGCCCCCTCCACACACGCACACAGAGCCCCCCTCCACACACGCACACAGAGCCCCCCTCCACACGCACACAGCGCACCCCTCCACACACACAGAGACCCCCTCCACACACACACACACAGAGCCACCCCTCCACACACACAGAGACCCCTTCCACACACACACAGAGCCACCCCTCCACACACACAGAGACCCCTTCCACACACACACAGAGACCCCCTCCACACACACACACACATACACACAGAGCCACCCCTCCACACACACATAGAGAACCCTTCCACACACACACACACACACACAGAGCCCCCCTACACACACACACAGAGCCCCCTTCCACACACACACAGAGCCCCCCTCCACACACACACACACACAGAGACCCCTCCCTCCCCACACACACACAAACAGAGCCTCCATCCACACACACACACAGAGCCCCCCTCCACATGCGCACACAGAGCCCCCCTCCTCCACACACACACACACAGCCCCCCTCCACACACACACACAGAGCCCCCTCCTCCACACACACACACAAACACAGAGCCCCCCCTCCACACACACACACACACACAGAAAACCCCCTCCACACACACACACACACACACAGAGCCCACCTCCACACACACACAGAAACCCCCCTCCACACGGGCGCACACACAGAGCCCCCACTTCCACATGCACGCACACACAGAGCCCTCCACATGCGTGCACACACAGAGCCCCCACTCCACACGCGCGCACACACGGAGCCCACCCCTCCACACGCGCGCACAGACAGAGCCCTCCACACGCGCGCACACACACAGAGCCCATCCTCCACACACACGCACATACAGAGCTCCCCCCTCCACACGCACGCACATACAGAGCTCCCCCCTCCACACGCGCACACACGGAGACCCCTCGACACCCACACACAGAGCCCTCCCTCTACACACACACACAGAAAGCCCCTCCACACACACAGAGCCCCCTCTACACACACACACACAGAACCGACCTCCACACACACAGAGCACCCACCACACACACAGAGCACCCACCACATGTGCACAGAGACCCCTCCACACACACACACACAGAGGCCCCCTCCACACACACGCACACACAGAGCCCCCCTCCACACACGCGCACACAGAGACCCCCTCCACACGTGCGCACACACAGAGCCCACCCCTCCACACGCGCGCGCACACACACAGAACCCCCCCTTCCACACACGCGCACCCAGAGCCAACCCTCCACACACACGCACACACAGAGACCCCTCCACACGCGCGCACACACAGAGCCCCCCCACTCCACACGCGTGCACACAGAGACCCCCCTCCACACGCGCGCACACACAGAGCCCACCCCTCCGCACGCGCGCACACACAGAGCCCCCCTCCACACACACACACACAGATCCCTTTACACACACACACACACAAAGCCCCCCTCCACACACGCACACAGAGCCCCCCTCCACACACACAGAGACCCCCTCCACACACACACACACACACACACAGAGCCACCCCTCCACACACACAGAGACCCCTTCCACACACACACAGAGCCGCCCTCCAAACACACACACACACACACACAGAGACCCCCTCCACACACACACACAGAGACCCCCCTCCACACACACACAGAGAGATCCCCCTCTACACACACAGAGAGACCCCCCTCCACACACACACACACAGAGACCCCCCTCCACACACACACACAGAGACCCCCCTCCACACACACACTCACACACAGACCCCCCCTCCACACACACACAGACCCCCCTCCACACACACACACACACAGACCCCCCTCCACACACACACACACACACAGACTCCCCCTCCACACACACACAGACCCCCCTACACACACACACACAGACCCCCCCTCCACACACACACAGACCCCCCTACACACACACACACAGACCCCCCTACACACACACACACACACAGACCCCCTACACACACACACACAGACCCCCCTACACACACACACACAGACCCCCCTCCACACACACACACACAGACCCCCCTCCACACACACACACACACACACACACACACAGACCCCCCTCCACACACACACACATACAGTGCCCCCCTCCACACACAAGTGCCCCCCTCCACCCACAGAGTCCCTCTCCACGCACACATAGCCCCCCTCCACACACACAGAGCCCCCCCTTCCACACACACAAACAGACACACACAGAGAACCCCCTCTACACACACACACACACACAGAGCCCCCCACACACAGAGAACATCTCTCTCTCTCTCTCTCTCTCTCTCACACACCCCAAGAGACCCTCCCACCCCCCCACATGCTTAATGTCCCCTCAGTGTGGAAGGTGTCCTGTTGACAATACTTACGTGTATTCCCGGTGCCTCTGGGTGGAATGAGTCCACGGAATTCTATGTTTAGATGGATCTCGATGCCCATGATCAGGGCCAACTTCAGCAGCACCAGCTGTAGCTGTCGGATACCTACAGCATGATAAAGAGAAATTACCCAGAGCTGTGTGTGATACTGGCACCAGCATTGCCCCTCCTCCCCTTCGCCATCCCCAACACTAAAAATTATCTTGTACGCAATCCAAGGCTCAACATGAAACTGTGAGTAGTTCCTCCCAACAACACTCTGAAACTGTGAGCAATTCCCCCCAACAGCACCCTGACAGTCCCATCCAACACTTCCTCACATACAGCATTAGATACAGAGTAAAGATCCCTCTGCATTGTTCCATTAGCACAGCTAGCTCAAGTACAGCCAGGGTTAGATACAACGCAAAGATCCCTAAACACCCCTGCAGCACACCCACATCAGTTACAATACGCGTTAGTTGCAGAGTAATGAGGTCTCTCTATCAGCTATCATGTGCAATTTTGGCAAAACACAATTTTGTTGTGTTAATTGATATCTGGTTTACGATTATTGGATGCTGTGTGGTTTTTAAGATGCTCAAAACCGTTTTTTTATGGTAACATTTAACATGAGTGGAGGGCAACAAGTGAGAGAGTGAGTAAGTGAGGGAAAGAGACAGTGAGAGATAACAAGAGACAGAAAGAAAGACAAGAAGGAGAAGCAAGTGAAAGAGAGCAGTCGGGAGGGCTGGGCTAGGAGCGAATGCAGAAAGCTACTTACTGATATGGTCGATGGCTCCAGCACAGAACTTGCCATAGATTTTCTTGGCGCCCAGGTTGCGTAGGTCGACAATGGTGTATGGCCAGAGATGCAGCACGTTGTTGCGGGAAAACGTGTCCCGCTTTTCAACCAGGATGACTTTGGCTCCAAGGAATGCTAATTCGATGGCTATGCGCAAGCCACAGGGACCAGCTCCGATCACCATACACTGCTCATAGGAGAAAAGATATAACATGAATCCAAATATCACCCACACCCTCACCATCACCCCCACCCACACCATCACGGCAACCACCACCCATAGTTGCAACCACCTGTTGTGGATGATGGCTGCTGTGTACATGGTGTCGCGAGATTATTGGCTGCTGAGGCACACGTTAAACCCACCACCACACCCTTCAGGCTCAGGCTGGGAACTGGAGGGTAATGCCAATCTCTCCACAGAGAGAGTGAAGGCTTTATGTTCATCAGAAGAAAACACAACTTCAGGCAAACATTCAACCTAATGGGTTTCTACAGACTATGTTGTAAAAGAGATGTGTGTAAGGCCGGGCCCGTCACACACAGCTGGGAGGCCAAAATAACTCCAATACCTTGGTGTCAGCACAGGCGTTGCCCTTCTTGTAGTCCTTGTGACTTGCTCGCTTGTCCAGTTTAGCAAAGATAGCTTTTGCTTTCCAGTAGTTGAGTTTGGCCTTGAGTTTGGTGAAGAAGTTGGGGTAGTCAGGGATTTCAAGATCCAGGTTCTTGCACAGCTCCTGGAACCCATGAAAGGTGGCTTTGCAGGTGGTGGCCTGGATGAAGCGGTCATACAGGACATGGCTCAGGTTGTCCAGTGGCTTCTTGCTGTCTCCCATGGTCACAGAACACTCTGCTCAGACAGTGCAATGGAGGGTGACTTCACCTCACCTCTCGTTCATCATAAACCTGCAAAGAAAAACATCAAAGGATCAATTCCTCACAAACCAGCCACTATCTAGCCATTCAAAGCCCAGACAGGAAGAACTCAACAAAGAACCATTTCTGTAACACAATATTCCTCACGATATGCAGATTCTCCACAATACACTGAAGAGTACAAAATGTTCGGACTCCCCCCACCTCATTAACAGTCTGAGATCACCATAATTCTGCTGATAATTTTGGGATAAATGAACATTTGCCTACAAGTCGTTTATTTCTGTTAAGGCATACACTACCCTTGAAGCCCACGTATGTATCCCAGAGCTTTGTACGTGAGTACTCCTGCCAGCGTGAGACTCAATGAAACAGCTGCTTTTAGTTCTGCTTTTTCTCCTCAACGGTGTGGGAGCAGGAATCTCATCTCATGGTTCAATAGTATGTGAGTCGAGTTCCACAATGTGTGGGTCTATGATGTGAGAGTCTCACCATGTGCGTCCCTGGGGTTTCCACGTGACTTGGGTGCCCAGCCACTCTGCTCCCTAGGCATTGCTGTGCACACAGGCAGGATATAGGACAGAGTGCAAACAGTTACCAAGGTCAGTGAACACAGAACCCTTTATGAACCTACTAAGCATCATATCTATTAGTGACGGATCAACAAGCCCAGTGGCACACAGGCCGCTCAGTGACTAAAGCAAACTGTCTTTGAGAAGCACGATCTGCTCATCTGCTACATTCACATTTAATATAATAAAAAACAAACTGTCATTGTGCTCCTCACGTCCACAACACATTCCCAGCAAACACTCAGATGCATGGTGAAGCAAATGATTCTGCGAAAGGAGGGAGGCTACAACTGGTCAGCAACAATTTCAGAGCTATTTGCCAATAAGTGGAATGAAGGGTCTGAGAGATAAAAAAGCAGCTTTATTCACAGTAGTCAACATAAATTTTTTTCAGTCTTCAAAATACTTAAACTACAAATACAGTGGAAGACGGTTAAGGCTGACACCTCGGGGACAGATGTATTGTCCAGTTTAAGAAGCATCCGAAGTTAATTGAAATACCATTCCCGCTCAGCAGAGGAGTGGCGTCGGCACCATTTAATAATATATAATAATGTTGTTTCACTTGAAGACATGTTGACTATCAAAAGAGGGCACCAAGTATTTTAACCTTGGAGATAAAGTTAAATCACTCTCACAGAATATATTTCCCTTTGTTTGGTTGCAGTATACAGTACAGTCTGTCCCGCCAGCAGAGGAGCAGCCCGGGGCTTCCTCCCTCTCATTGCTGTCCCCATCGGACGGGAAGGGGACCAATTAGCAACGGCTCTGAGGTGGTTGACAGACTTGGAGGCACTTGACCCTCCACCCATTCACAAGTGGCTCCGGCTGTCAATCAATCACAGTTCGACTCCTCCTATTCCCTCCCTTGTTATTCCCCATTTCTCTGCCCCCTCAGTGATTGACTGCCCAACTCCAGCCGCTTGTGAATCGCTGGAGTCCTCTGTCACTCAATCACAAATACACTCCTCCCATCTTGGAGTCCTGCAGCTCGCTTCAGGAGCGAGAGACCTGAGTTTGATTCCCAGCAGGGCGAAATGTTGGGCAAGTTTCCTTACTCCATAAACCTCTGTTTACCTAATAGTAATTAGGAACCCGGTTGTTAGTCGATTGGCGGATCGCTTTTCCAGTGGTAATAATTCTTTCAAAACAAAATAATAATAATAAATTATCAAAGTCACTTCAATCCATGACTGTTTGTGAGACACTGCTGTGTGCAATTGGCTGCCGAATTTCACCCACAAAATAAACAGTAAATTCAATTGATAATAACACGAAGATTACATTTGTATAGCGCCTTTCATGTCGGGAGGACGTCCCAAGGTGCTGGACAGAGTACAGCATTTCAGACCCAAACTGGGGTCGGGGGTGGGGGGAGGGAAGGGGGATGGCCGATGGTATGGTCGAAGAGGAGGGTCTTGAGGCGGGACTTGAAGGAGGCTAAGGAGGGGGTGAGGCGGAGTGATTGGGAGATGGAATTCCAGAGGTTGGAGGCAAAGTGGCTGAAGGCTCTCCCGCCAATGGTGGGGCGGGTGGGTCGGGGGATGTAGAGAAGGCCAGAGCCGGCTGAGCGGAGAGAGAGCAGGCGGGTTGGTAGGGGGTTAGGAGGTCCCAGAGGTAGGGTGGGGCGAGGCCATGGAGGGCTTTGTATGCGAGGACCAGGAACTTGAACTGGATCCTCTGAAGGATAGGGAGCCAATGGACTTGGGTGAGAGTGGGGGAGATGGCGTCACGGAGTTTGGTGCGGGAGAGGACACGGGCTGCAGAGTTCTGGATTATCTGCAGCCTGTGGAGGGAGGAGTTGGGAAGGCTGACAAGCAGGACGTTTGCATAGTCGAGCCTGGAGGTGATGAAGGCATGAACAAGATTTCAGCAGCCTGAAAGGTGAGGTAATGGCGGAGTCGGGCGATGTTTCGGAGGTGAGGGAAGGCAAAATGGGTCATTGCTTGAAGAAAGACATGGGAGAAAAGACAGTTGAGGGTCGAACAAGACACCAAGGTTCCTGATGGCTTGGTGAGTTGAAATGTGTTACCATGGAGGTTGATGCTGCCAGAGCCTGAGGTGCTGAGGCACTGGCTCGAGCCAATCAGGAGGGCCTCAGTCTCGTTCACATTCAATTGTAGGAAATTTGCCCTCATCCAGGACTTGATGTCCAACAGGCAGTCTGTCAGGACAGCAGTGGTCCTGGAGTTGAGGGTGGAGGCAGAAAGATAGAGTTGGGTGTCATCCGGATACATATGGAAGTTGACCCCATGTCTGCGGATGATGTCACCAAGGGGGAGCATGTAGATATTAAAGAGGAGAGGGCCAAGGACAGAGCCCTGGGGGACGCCAGACAAGACAGTGCGGGGGCTGGAGAAGAAACCGATAGAGGCAACAAAGTGGAGACGGTGAGAGAAAAACTGAACCGATGGACAAGGAGAGGAGACAAGGAGAGGTTGATGACATTGGACAGGAGAGGGGCCAGAAGGTGGAGCTGGGAGATGAGGAGAGAGATGGGATCGAGGGAGCAGGTGGTGGGTTTGAGTTTGTGGACAGTCATGGTGAGGGAGGGAGAGATAGGGTCGAAGGAGTATGGGGGGATGGGCGGTGGTGGATCATGAGGGAGAGGTGATGTGGGGGTGGCTGTGGACGGCGCTGAGAGGGCTGAACGAATCCCCTCGATTTTAGATTCGAGGAAGTCCAGCATCTCCTCACAGTTGGTGTTGCTATATCAAATGCAAGTTTTATTATTATAATAATAATGTGACCAAAAGACAGTCAACCCGTACAGTGTCACCTACATCTTGTCCGCAAAGAATCCTGAAGACAAACAGAGTTGTGCAGGTTGCACCCACTGCGAGGCAGCTCTCTGAAGGTGACCAACTAAGCCAGCAGTGTACTGGAAGGACTTATCTTCAGGGGGCCCACAAGATTGGAGTTGGGATTTATCCACTGTGGGCTGCACAGTGCTCTACTCTAATTAGATATGCAATTGACAAAGGTCTGCTGAGAAGTGAAGGAGCCCCTGCCACACTAAAGGTGCATCCCACAGGAGTGTGGAAAGTAAATGTAGTGGACACCATGGTGTTTGATTTGAAGATCTTGACCAAAATCATGATCAAAGATACGTTTTTTACAATACATTTTATGCCCCTTCCTACCTCTGTGATCTGCTAAGCCCTATCAACCTCTTTGCTCAGTAGACTCCAGTCTGCTCCACATCCCCCACCCGGCACACCCCACCACCAGCAGTTGGGGTCTTCAGCCTCTCCTCCACCAGTCTTGGGAACTCCATCCCACATTCCTTTCGCCTCACTCCATTCCTTGCTTCCTTCAAGGCACTTTTCAAGGAGGCCTTAGGCCACCGTCCTTACCTCCTTCACCACAAGCTGTCTGTCTAGCGCCTTGGGACGTCCTCCTGATGGGAAAGGCGCTATACAAATGTAATTTTGTATTATACTGTATAGAAATGTCTTAAAGTATTTTCCAGTAAGCTACTATCAAGTGTGATGACTGCTTTTGTCGAAACCCAGCAAACAGCCTTTTGTGAACACCAATATCTCAAATGGAGGATTGGTTACAAGGACAACACAGAGAAACTCTCTTCTCTTTTACAACAGATCTTTAACAGCCAACTGAAAATATGAAGACGGGACATTGGTTTAATGTCTCACCACCCACAATGTAGCCCTTCCCCAGAACTGCCCTGGAGGGTCATCTTAGATTGTGAATTCAAATATGAATGTGGGGCTTGAACCCACAACCTTTTAGCCAAGAGACAAGAGAGCTACCAACTAAGTCAAGCTAACATATAACTGAGGAAGCCCACAGGTGCTGATCTCAACCTCAGTTCCAATTGCTGTTCACATAGATGTATAAAGCACAGGACTAAGATCTGCTGATAGTCAAAGCCTCTCCTCCCACTCACCATGATCTGACAGGCTTCCAAACCCTCATAACCAAAACTCACCTATGGAAAGATAAGCTGCCAAACATCAAATACTTCTCTGTTGCTTCCTCCTCTTGCTGAAGAAATATTTCACTGCAGCCTTGATCTCAGTCAGAGACTTGAACTCTCACACCATCTTCCCTTCACCTCCACAAACAATTTCTCTTCTAGACCCCACACTGTCTCGTGGGGCATTCCTCAGGGCTCTCTCCTTGGTCCCCTCCTCTTCAATATCTATATGCTCCCTCTTGGTGACATCATCCGTAGACATGAGGTCAACTTCCACATGTATGCAGATGACACCCAATATCTCTCTGCCTCCATCCTCGACTCCAGGACCACTGCTGTCCGACCACCACTTCATCTCCTTCACCACCTCCACCCCCCTCCCCACCTCCACCAGACCCACCACCATCTTCTACCGCCCCTGGAAGAAGTTACCCCCTCAATCCCTAACCGCTGCCTTAGAGTCCTCTGAACTCCTCTCCCTCTGGCCTTCAACCCTCACTGATCCCTCTTCTGCTCTC